TGCTGGCGTAATCTGTATGACGAAATTTCAGGAGACATACTCCATGAGACTCCAACACATGCAAACACCTGCCAGGATATCAAAAGATTCCTATAAATACCAGATAGTTAGTGTCTTGAAAGTATCGAGATGGAGTCAGTAGTTCAGGACTTACATAACAACTGCGATAGCCCAAGCTATAGCCTTGCTACTCTTGATACCCAAACAGCCGATAATCAGCATCCCAAGAGTGTTGACAAAAGTTCCCCAAAGAAAGAGACGGCGACGCCCGATTCTGTCGCTATAAATGGAGCTAAGCACGATTGCAACGGCGCCCAGGAAAAATCCGCCAATTCCGATATCAAAAGAGTGAATAGCGGGAAGTCCTACTGTCAAGAGGAAATAAATGTTTTGGGCAAGAAAGCCGGCACCTATCGTTCCATTACTGAACATCAGAAGCATGATTGTCAGCGTTCGCTTCAAGTCCGGCCCTTTGAAGCATTCCGAGAAGGAGGCCTGCTCGTTCTCGAGCGCTTTCTCTTTCTCGTAGGTGTGCAAGAGTAGTTCATAGCGGATCTCGACTTCTCTCTCATTTCCATAGAGGCGTCTGAGCATTTTGCGAGCCTGTTCGTCTTTTCCTTTTGTGACCAGCCAGAGCGGGGATTCAGGATAGAAAATAGCCACCATAGGAAGAGAACCGAAGACCCACTGTAGGGCAAAGACCGTTTTCCAAGCGGAAGGGTTCAGGTTGGGAACAAACGCTCGGACAACACCCAGACTGGTTCCCTGCATCGCCACGGAGAAGAAGACCAATGTCTGCAAGAGAGGGCCTCGTAGCCTGACCGTCGCGATCTCAGAGGCGTATGTAGTCCCAACAGCAAGCAAGGCTCCGACAGTGACGCCGTTGATGATCTTTCCGGCAAGCAGCATACCGCGACTGTCTGCAGTGAACTGAACGGCAGTACCTGCAATAGAAAGAGCCGCGTATACAATAATGGCATAGCGTCGCCCGATCAGCTGAGCTACCGGACCGACGGTGAAGGACCCGACAACTTGCCCGGCATTTGACATGGAACTCCACAACGATGTCCACACAGAGGGGGCATACAACGAGCCGGTCTCATCAACTGCACCGAAAGAAAGCAAGAAAGCAGGCATCGCAACAGTTGAACCGTTCGCGACAGAATCATAGCCATAAGTCATTCCGCATAGAAAAGAGATGGTGCCTATCAAGAAGGTGGAATAGTTAGTATCGTGGGTTCATAATGCATGCTTGCTTCTTTAACAAAACAAGATAACAAAGAGAAGTCACATACAGTAAGCGAGGATGCGCTTATGTGTCTTTATCGCGTCCCGTACAGAGATTGCCTTCTCTTCTCTGATGAGCTGCTCGATTTGCTCTTCAGTCATCTTCCGACGTCGGGGAATGCCATCTTGGGTCTTCTCTGCATCCTCAACCTGCTCAAGCTCCAGCTTAGCTTGAATGTCTTCTTCACTGAGATGGGGTTCGGACATGATCTCAAGGGGTGGGTCGATAAAGCGCAGGATGGATATTGGGCTATGGCTGGCGACGCGGCCGGTTGCAACTATATAGACTCCGGAAAGTCCAGAAGTGACCTACATCACGATCCTTGGATATCCATGGTTCATGTGATGTTTGGTACGGGTCCTACCGCGCCAAAGAGAGTGAAACAGAAGATTGGCGAGCGATTGCGGGGCAGCATCGCAGGAAGATGCGGGGAAGTAGACGCGCAGAGCTGAGGACGGGTCACTGATAGACACTCAAGTTGCTCGGATCATGAACTGACCGCTGCGGGGAATACAGCAGCCTCTGAGCGTTGATGCGTGCGGATCGTTCCGGTGGACGCATTGTCCTGTTCCGACAGCGCGGGTAAGTGCAAATAATTTAAACATTTCTTTGTTAAAAGTAGTTTTTTATTCGAGCAACGTTGATCTGCGTAGGGTTCACGCTGAGAGAGTCCAAATTGTGCTTATTTTATAGTGGGTCTTGTAGTGAGGTTCAGGAGGAGGGGTAGCAACTAACTAACAGTGAACTACAGACTGAACTACAGACTCTCAATAGCTCCGAGATGGTGTATTTATGTAGTATAGAGCTATGCTCTTATCGCTATTTGTTACATTATATTGCTATAAGTTACAGTTATACTATCTATATCCATACTATCGCTAATTCGCAAGCAAGAACAGCGTTTTGTTGAACTATACTATCACATATCAGTGCTCTTGAGCGTGAAAGCATTTCCAGCCAAAATCGTGCAGAGCTTCTTGTTTCCGCAAACAATCAATTCGACTTCAGCGTCCCAAGACGTTTTAATATGAAGTTCATTGCTGTCCCATCGAATCTCAACAGACCCTTTGTGCGTAGAAAACGAACCTCTTGCTGATTTAAAAAGTTCCATACGAGGATTAATTCTCAAGAGACTGTACCCAGGGCAAGTAGGGCTGAGTCCAAATAATTGGGCAACAATTTCGTAGATTGGAACCGCACTCCACAGATGACAGTCACTTCGACAAGACACATTATCTTCTGCCCACGTCGTCAGATTATTGGCCAGCATTTCACGCCACGGATCCAAAAGACGATCATAAAACACATCGTACAGCCCGACTTTCTCAATCGCTCGAAAGATGTAGAATATCATGGAGTAAGAGCACTTGGCAAACGACGAGTCGGAAAGTGCACGCTCAACCAAACGTCGCGCTTCATCACCCGAGATCGCACCTGAAAGTACGGCAAAGATCTGTGCATGCTGACTCTTGTCTTCCGTTCCTGGGCCGTCATTGTATACCCCTCCAGTAAAGCAAAATTGATTGACAGCATCGTTCAACGCCTGCGCACGTGCTCGATACTCGCCCGCTGTTCCAGATCGGCCGATAAAGTCCGAAAGCTCAGCTGCATACTGAAGAGCCACAGAATAGATCAGACTGTTATAGGTTGCAACACCAGTCTTGTTGTAGATGGGTGGGACAGCTACCGTTTTGATATCGCCAGTCCCGCTCCACTCTTTGACCCAATCAACAAACGGCCATGATTCTTCGTCAAACCTACCAACAAGACCTTGCTTGTTTAGAAGACAGTCAAAGTGATTCAATATAGAGTCAATTGTACCGGCATATCGTTTAACTAAAGATGCATCACCAAAGTACATCATGTGGTCGTAAACCATCATAATCCAATAAAGCGAATATTGTGGGATAACAATCATTCTGTAGGCACAAGGGGCGTTGGTCTCAAGAAGCCCATCGGGACGGCGACTTGCGTTGAACTCTTCGAGTGTCTTGCGAGCTAGCCGATCATCCCTTGAAACCTGATAGGTGAACAGTAGGTTGACTCGACCGTCCATGGTAAACTGATTTTGCTCATAAAACGGACAATCCTCGTACGTTTCGTGCATGCAGTTTCTCAACGTGTTCAGACTGATCTCCCAAAGTTTTGCGTGCTCAGCATCCAGTTCGACAGTGGAAGAGATATCGAGAGGGTAGTGTGTCTCACGATAAGAAAAGTCGGTGATTTCAATAGATGAATCAGCACAGGTGATCTCCAACTGGATGTATCTGAAGGTACGAAACCAGAAGGGCTCGTACACAGTTACTTCTGAGCCTCCTACGGCTAAGAAATCCTCAACTCCATATAGCCTTCCATGCTCGTGATCCGCCCGGTTGCCTTTTGTTCTTGGAACCGGGAACGGGAACTTGTCCTTCCCGAGATCTTTCTCATATGCTTCAGAACATAGTATGCGCACCTTGGCTCCTTTTCCTCCGCTGCATCGGAATACCAAAAATCCAGTCGTCAGTACTAGCGACTGGATATCGACAGTAACCGACTCCCCAGATCCAATTTTGACAGGTTCTCCGCATTTGAGAAGACTGTCCCACTCAGATTTCTGTGTATTTCCCCTTACTTTCACAGCTCCGTCAAATATGCGCGGGATCTCGGGAAGAACTGGAATTGTCCGTCGATGTAGTTTCCACGGAAGCACAGCTGGCAACATTTTGACATTTGTTGACTGATTCTTGGCATGGGCCCACTGTGAGTCGTCAAACCTGGCATCCGTCCAATTACCGGGAGCCTTGGATGCGTCGGCTGACTCATAGATAGATAAAAATGGAGGACCAAGCAAATAGTTCCATTCATCAGCAGAGAGAATAGTCACAGAGCGGTCCTCATAGCACTTCCATGATGGGTCGGTCGATATATCAATATCCTACCATAATGTTAGTAGAACGATTGGCGGCGCAGGGTTTAAAATTCAGCAGACTCGATTTACCTCGACGCGTCCGTACACCATAAGGCCAGGCATGTTGGTGCGCACTATACAGGACGTGCCATACTTCAGAGGCGAGTATCGCAGCACACGCGCACTGATGCAGTTTTCACCCTCAACAAGATACGGAGCGATGTCGACGGTCTCGAGATACCAGCGCTCGGGATAGCTCTTGCACGGCCCAAAGCTCACGCTGATACCATTGACAAACAAACGATAGCGGCTGTCGGCTGAAACATGAACCAGACACTCAGTTGAAGATAATGCGTTTTTTGGTAGGGTGAACGTCTTTCTGAAAAGCACAAAGCGGCCTGGCGAAGACTGTTCGGCAGTGTCGACATAGCCTGGCAGCCAGATCCACGGAGCCTTGAGCGTCCAACTATCTTCAGACGTCATAGAGAAGGCACGATTGATACCACCACTGCAAATGACGGTAATGAGCAGTGCTGTAGAGCAGCGTCGGGGTGTGTTTGAACATATCGGAAGGTCTGTGATGGTAAATAAGAAGAGAATCCGGGGCCAGCTGATAGCGTAGGGTTTGATCCTCCTCTCGGATTTACCGAGGCGCGTAAGCGATCTCCCGCGTAGCCCCACACTTTCTCCAATATTAAGTCTGTAGAGAGCTCTACGCAAGCTATGTAAGGATCCCCGATTCTGTTCTTCTGTTCGCTTTAGAACAGCAGGGCAGGGAAAGCATCTGTGAACTATTTCAATCAACATGGCCGATACCTTGCGTTATGTCTACAAAGTCGTCGATGACTGTGTCATTGGGACTGACGTCCATCTGCCTGCCCCAGTCTCGCAAGAGCCCACTGCCTATCCTGTTTGTATGTAGAGTGATTCTAGTTGATCTGTTATATATCAGTATTTCTTACAACTAACTGTCTAGTGTTTATGATTCACGGAGGCGCATTTGTTCTTGGTTCCTCCAAAATGGTATCTGCCGATCAGATCACTGATTGTACGGAACGCGGGTGGATTGTGCTCGCTCTAGATCATCGCCTCTGTCCGCAAGTGAAGCTTCTAGAGGGTCCTATGCAGGACTGCCGCGATGCTTTGAAGTGGGTTCAAAGTGGAGGGCTGGACAAGGAACTAGCCAAGGACCCCAAAACCGCCATGTACAAGGCCGATCAAGACAAGATCGTTGCATATGGAACCTCAGCTGGTGGACATCTGGCACTATCTATGGTCCGCGACCTGCTCAATTCTATTCCATACAAGTCCCATAACATAGCTAATAATCAGCCCTCTTTAGGGATTTGACGTTGAAAAACCTGTCCTGGCAATTCTCGACTTTTACGCTCCCAAAGTCTTCAACGATCCGTTTTGGACTTCCACGATCCCGTCCCTTGAACGCATGCTTCCCAAGGACTTGACTCCTGAGTTCCTCAACAAAGTATATGACGAAAAGCCGGTCCCTATAGAGGGTGGCGTGTCTTTGGAAGGCCAGGCTACTAAAGGACCGAACTTTAGCGATCCCCGCCAGGCTTTTGCCTTCGTCAACATGGCCTATGGAACTCTTATGAGGACGATCCACCCCTTCGATGATGGTTATAAGCCGGTCGATCCCTATCTCAACGTTTCCAGCTCATTTCCGCCCACATTTGTTGTTCATGGTGGCGCTGACGAGATGATTATACCGCAAATGAGCCGGCTTTTTGTTGAAAAGATGCGTGAAGTAGGAGCCACTTGCGAGATGATCGAGATAGCGGGTCAGCCTCACAGTTTCGTGGGCCGTATGCAGAAAGGCGACGAGACATGGAATCAGCAAAGAAAGGGATTTGACTGGTTACAGTCAATCATCGAGAAAGGAGTTCCTGCGCAGAAATAAAGCAGCAGTATAGGGTTGCAGTTATTTAGTGCGGAAATAATAAATCTTACGTAATAGCTGAATCACCGACATAATATATTTGAACTGTAGAAAGGGTCGAAAGGCTAATGAATGCCCCAGGTCCCGACCCCGCATTTTTCCCAGTGTGGATCCGTCTCTGTCTTCAAGCTGAGAGGGGCCATGATCTTCTGCTCAACATGGAGGTCTCTAGTAAGCCAGACTTGCTATCGTCCAGTGCTATCTCTCTTTCTAGCCTCCCAAGCTCGAGGTGCTGCCCACGATAAGCCATGGCATCTGGCTCAGAGCAAGACCAGGTGAAGAGGCCGAGGAGACCACGAGTTGCCCAGGCCTGCGAGAGATGTCGACAGAAGAAGTACAAGTGCGACGAGCACTACCCGTGTACTCACTGCAAGAGTATGTATATCACTTTTCCATGAGATTCACCGATGCTGACCCTATTTGTCGTCATAGATCATAAGGCAGAATGTACCTACAAAGCGCTGAATATGTCAAGAGCGGAGAATCTTACTATAAGGTACGGCAATAACTATGTATGCTGTTGTGTCGACTCAGGTTCAAGTCTAACAAACACTTCATAGCCACGTGCGATTCTTGGAGAAAAAGATTGAGCAGCTTTCCGCCGAAGTCGTGGCCTCGCGAAGGCAAGCTATGGCGGTGGCCCATGCCGCAGAGAGTAGCAATGCAAATGGTCCTGCTTTTTCAAACTTTGCAAATGGAGAACAGAGATCATGCTCGAGTGGTCATGCTATTCAAGGATCTCAGATACCGATCAGCAACGATAACAGCGCTTCAGCGGGGACGCTCAACTCTGCGCATGGTCTAAGCGGTACAAACAAGCGGCCACCATCGTTGACACCGAGCTCTTTACCCGAAAGTCTAGCAGAATCAAGCACTGTGATAGAGAAGGGATCATCGACTTTAGATGAGGCTGAGCAGTGCCTGACTGAAGACAGTGATAAGGAAGTCACCGGGATGAACAACCACACTCTCTCCTCAGAGTTCCATGGAAACACCTCATCGGTTGCATTTCTGGATTATCTTCATAAGAAATTTCAAAATTCAGACCGCTCAGATTCGAGGGGTGATTTCGAGTCGTCTCTTGTATCTGCGCTTCATAATGACGCATTTCTTCGCGATATGACTCGTTCCTCGGCTCTGCATTCGACAACCGCTCGGCTAGAAAGCGTTCAGTATTATTTCCGTCAGGCGCATCAGTTTCTCAAAGGATACTTTGAGCAGCTGCACTATATCCATCCTTTTCTTGACAAAAATTCCTTCATGGCGCGTGCGGAGGATCTGTGGTTCGGAAGAACATCTGCCGTATCCGAGAGTTTTATCGCTCTATATCTCAGTACTCTGTCTCTAGGGGCGTTGATTGGATCCTGGGACTCTCTAGAAATTGAAGACAAAGATAGATTTCAGTGGAGTCGTCAGCTTTTCAATGATGCTCAGACCATTCTCCGCGATCTTCAGTACTCTCATGATTTGGAAACCGTCCAATGCTCGATAATAATGGTTGCATAATGATCTGCTCTCATATCTGTATTTTGAATCATTCTAATTCTTTAACTAGGCCAAGGTGTGTCAGAACGAGCTGAATCCGCACCGTATGTTTTTGACAATTTATATCACTCAAATAGCTCAAATGCTAATTAACTGATTCAGTCGCCTACATGTATCTTGGACAGGCCTGCCGGATTTGTCTTTCTCTTGGATTCAACCGTGAGATGTCGACAAAGAGTAACCCGGAACAGGCGGATTCGATATCGAAAACTTGGTGGTGAGTTTGTGTCTTGTGCGCAGTTATTGAATTGATTGAGCTTACTCGTCTGTAAATAGGGGACTATACTCTCTGGAAATGTACGTTGAAAGGATATGAGTATGTTTTACTTTTCCAATGCTGACAATCGCACAGAGAGATGAGTTTCTCGCTGGGACGGCCAGATACGTTAGGCATGGACGAATACCATAACCAGATCATGCCTCCTATAAACAATACCGAGACTGATTTAATTCCGCTGATGGTGGATTGCGCCAAGATCATGCGGAAAGTGTCTATTGGCGTTTACCATTCCAATGCCAGCGTGCGGGATAAGCTTGATTGTGCACTGCAGCTGAATGCAGAATTGACAGCATGGGCAATGCGCTTGCCTCTGAGGCTTAAACCTGCTAACCTTCCGGGGGATACACTTGCTGAGAGTTTGCGCGATCCTAGATGGATTAAAAGGCAGAGATTAGTTTTGCAGATCAGTAAGTCTGCGTTCACGTGTCTGCTTTTTACAAATATCTCTCGCTGACATCAAGAAAAGGATTCTATAATATCCAGATGCTCCTGTTTAGGCCGTTCCTTGTCTGTGTTCCTAGCGACTTGACTAAGCTGCCCAGTATTCTGGAAGAAGCTATTCAAAAATGCGTGGAGTCTGCACGGGCAACTATCGATATAATATACGATATATATCGTACACATACGTTCTTCCAGACATGGTTAGTAGGCCTTTCGTGTTTGATTGATATTGATATTCAGCTATTGACAAGATCCTAGGTGGTACAACACGACATATGTCATGTTTGCGGTTACGATGCTGCTTCTACATATCAAGAAATTTCCAAGCTCTCCCCATAAAAGACAATACCTAATCTCGCTGGAAAAATGTGTTCAGATTCTTAATGCCATGGATGCATCAGTTGTCGCGAGAAGGTTGAGCGAGATAGTTACGACGAATCTGGAGGCTCTAAAAGGTGTCGATACGCCGGGAGATAACAACGTGGCTCTTTTGGCTGATGCAGATCCCTATATGGAGCTTAACCGTGAAGTGGTATGTTGCCTATTCTTAAAGTTGCGTGTGATGATACTAATACGTGCTTTGCTGGTTATAGGACTTTAGTTCGGTGATGTTGAACGACAGCCTGTTTGATGGTCTGCCTGACCTTCTTTATGAGGAATGGGCATCAAATATCAGTCTGTCTGCTCCACCAGGGCCAAGAGCATGAGCATTTGATAGTTTGGCTAGAGATTACGACTCGATAATAGTTTCATATTTGTATTTAGCTCACTATAAATACTACTATAAGCATACAGAGCATCGCGAGACAATCGTACGGCTATGCGGGGGGAAAGGGTTCATTAGCACAGCTTTCTTCTACTTCTTTCGTTGCATCATAGCCATATATCCACGGCTGCACTTCGGGGCAGGTCCTGAAAGAATAGACATATTCAATTAGCGAATCGAGTAACAAATATACTGGGCCAGGTTGTAGTTACCATCTGCTGGGAAACGCGCCCTTGATTTCCTTGCCGAGCTGCGAGAGGAAAATCTGGTCCCGCTTTTCTTGCTCAGGCCCGTTTGGTAGATGAAAGTCGCGTCTCTAGATGGCTTGTTAATAAGTGAATAGTGACTGTTATATAATATCTGAGCGCGAGAAACATACCTGCAAGAATGTCTCGCGGACAATGGCCTCGCCTCTAGACTTGCGAAGAGACTCGTAGCGCTCGAGGGCGTACGGTAGCTGCGCCTTCGACTTTATTTCACCCAAGAGAGCTCCTAGGACTGCTCCATCTTCGAGTGCAGAGTTGGCTCCCTGCGCAAGATATGGCAGCATTGGGTGGCATGCGTCACCACTTTCAGGCGCTTTAGTATGGTATTTGGATATGTAGAGGATGGCAGGCACTTACAGGAAAACTAGATTTGACTGCTCGCTGACCCAGTGATCCATTTCCTGGCCTAGCCACAAACGTTAGTGCTGTGATACGAATCGTGTAGAAAGGGTGCAAGCGTACGATGCATTAGTTTCCACTTCTCGACGGACTTTACTTCCTTTAGAAAGCTCGTCAATCTATGCAAATAAACCTTGTTAGTTCAGGTTCGGCCATAAAAAATACCGTCTCCTACTTACATGGGGTCCCAGTCGTTGAAGAGCGCTTGCATTTCCTCTATGTTTCCTTCGTCTTTGGCGACGCCCTGAGGCAGAGTATCTGGGACCAGAAGCACGATGTTGTACATTTGGCCAGCGCGTAGAGAGTATCCGACAGCATGTGCACCAGGCCCGATCCAGATATGGACTTCAGGATTCTTGACCCATTCGCGAAGCTTCTCGCTCTTGATATCGTCGAGGGTAAGAACGATCCGGTAAGCTAGATCGCCGGTGGGAAGAGGACTTGTCTTTGCATGCAAAAACTCTTCACGACACTTAGACCACAGTCCGTCAGCGGCAACGACCAGGTCACCCGAAAACTGGTGTCCAGACTGAGTACAGACAACAGGCCGTGGTTTCGAAGTCTCGAGAGATAGCACGCGCTCGCCGAGATGGAAAGTAACGCCGAGCTCGATTGCACGTTGGTAGAGTGCCCGTTGTAAATCGACGCGGTGCAAGTCTGCGACCGGCGAGCCGTATTTTGCGAGAATGTTTTTGTCGAATTTTTCCTCGCGAGCTAAAACTGGACCGCTATAGCGATGGACGGTGATCACGGTCGGTATGGCGGCGGCGTCCCATAGCGATTGCGGGAGCTGCCATTGCTTGAGAAGTCGGGATCCATTTGGTGTTATTTGCAGCCCTGCTCCGATCTATGTGAAAGAGAGAGCTGTTAGTTGTCAATCTAGATACATAAATCGAATAAAGCAAATTTATGATACCTCAGCGAGCTCTTTGGCGCTCTCGAGTACCGTGACGGAGTGTCCCGCCAGCGCGCAAGAGATGGCGGCAGCTATGCCACCGAGGCCAGCGCCTACAACGACGATGTTGAGTTTCGAGACAGGAGAGCTTTGAGTCATGGATATTAGGTACGCCTATGCAGACGGTAAAAAATTGAAGAGGAGGGGAGGATAGAAGAGACGAGACTGTGCTGCTAGAAGTAGGCACGAAGATGAACGCTCTGCCGGAAACTGTAGACAGCGACTCGGCATCGCCGTCTCGATATCACCACCGAGATCTGCTATCGTTCAGAGACAAGAATATCAGACAGCATCAGTAGCGTCAAAGATCATGTTGATGCGGGGTGCTGCCCCGCACACCCCACCTGCCTTTGTTTCTTTCGGAGGCCTCCGAGAGCAGCAGGGACTCGTGATGCCGGAACACCCAGAACCGTGTTTCTCCTCACATGATGTTCGCGGAATAGAGATAAATAATGTCAAGAGCGGGTAAACATTCACTGTGAGCTCATTATCAATACCAAGGCCTGAAAGTACGCCGGATGAATATTCTTCTGCTTCTCGCTGCTTTCTCTCGATATCCCTCGAAGCCGTCGGAGGAGAGTAGTTGTAGGGTGTTTGCAGGGTAAAGACAGAAAGCCGCATAGGAAGTGGCTCAGTGAGAGCTGATAGGGTTTGGTCCGGAGCGCGCCGGGTCTGTCGAGTTAAAGCCTTCACTTTGCACTGAGACTACAAGTCCACCACAGACATCACCATCATCAAATCATCGTCATCAACAGAGGCATATTCATAACGACTAGGTATTAATTATGAGCACTACTGCAGGCCGCCCTCTTCTTCTTCTCACTGTCAACACCGCGCCAGAACGGGCTCGTCGGCTGATTCCTCGAGTGCTCGAGAATTTGAAAGATCGCTACAATATCGTGCATGCTGCTAACGTCGCCCGTGAGTCAATATCAGAATGTTTATCAACTGTCAAGCAAGAAATTGTATTCTAATTGGTTCTTTAGGAATCTCGGACGTGAAGGCTGTAGTCGAGGCTGTTCAGCCCGACGTCGTCGTAAGTCATTCATTTCGTCCATATTCTATCAACACTTGTCGTCTACTAACTACATCCATAGTGCTGTGCCTCAATGTGGACCCCGGAAGAAGTTGCTCAGATTCACGCGATGTCGAGAGAGCTTGTGCCAAATGTGAAGGCGACTTTTATTCCCCATGGACTTCAAGTCGAGAAAGGACCGGATGCTGTTGTCGAGTTTTTGACTGCGGAGTTTCCCAAGCTTCTGGCGGCATGAGTTGTATTTGATTCTTCTAATGTAACTTATCTACAACATCCTAAAATAAACATAACATATTACACATATCCATTCTACGAGCACTATTGTTAGGAACTGTCGTGATAATGGCCCCTCGCTATGGCTCGGTCTTTCCGAGTAAGTAAATTACCCCGCAGCCGCATCGAGCGCGGCGAGGGGCCGAGCAGCCGACGCTACGCTCGCCAGGGACAATTAAAACAGCCATCCGTCCTGATAATCATCACCATCATCATCACTATCTGCTCTTCTTCCTTGTGTTTGCATCATTTGTCGTTTGTCAAAGTCAGTATGGTTGCAGGAACAGAGCGCACACTCGGCGACTTTCGCCAATACCTCCCCGATCTCTCCATCCCGCGCTTCACTACAATGAAGGAGCAGGATGCGCACGAATACGCCGACGCATTCAAGACCAACAAACAGCCGCCGTGGGTCCATGCTCTTTACATGCACTGGCTCAAGTTGTACTCAGATTCATTTAAGGGAGTTACGTCTGATGGTAAAGTTGAGCCTGGTCTCTATCAGCTGCAGGATGATGAGATCCCTATCGACAAGATCGTTGCTACCGCCAACACCCTTCTCGGTCTTTTGAGCGACGACCAAAAAAAGAAAATGCTCTATCATGTTGATTCTCCCGAATGGCGCACTTGGAGTAACCCTGAATTCTTGTTGAGCGACAAGGGCATCCGTCTCGATGAACTATCAGCAGAGGTTCGCGATGCAGCACTGGCAGTCGTTCAAAGCACTTTGTCTCCCGAGGGCTACGAGAAAGCGCTCTCGACAATGCGTATCAACGGTTTCCTAGGAGACTTGGTGAAGTCTCCGCGCGTCATGAATGAGTTTTCCTACAACCTGGTCTTTTTTGGCACTCCGTCGGCCGACAGACCGTGGGGTTGGTCATTCTACGGGCACCATCTCTGCCTGAACGTGTTCTTCTACAAGCGACAACTCATTCTCTCTCCTTGGTTCACCGGTGCTGAGCCCAATCTCATTGACGAGGGCAAGTACTCTGGTACGCGAATCCTCTACCGCGAGGAAGAGCTAGGTCTGCGCTTGATGCAGAGTCTGAGTGATGACTTGAAAGCCAAAGCGCAGGTTTACAAGGAAATGAAGGACCCTGCCATGCCTCCTGGAAGATGGAATCGCGACGACCAGCGTCATTTGTGTGGTGCCTACCGTGACAACCGGATCGTCCCATACGAGGGCGTTCTTGCGAGCGCGTTTGATGCCTCTCAGAAAGAGCTGCTGTACGATATTCTTGAGCAGTACTTGCTCTTTCTACCCGAGAAAGCGCGCAAGCTGCGCATTGAGCACATCAGAAAGTACGAGTCTGAGACCTACTTCTCGTGGATCGGTGGCTACGACGACAGCTCGCCATTCTACTACCGCATACAGAGCCCTGTTATTCTCACCGAGTTTGACCACCACTCGGGCGTCTTCCTCACTAACGAACAGCCGGGGAAGTTCCATGTCCACACTCTGCTGCGCACGCCCAACGGCGGCGACTACGGATATGCGCTTCGGCCGCTCATCCCGCCAATCGAGGGTGCCGAGGGAACTGAGATTGTGTGGTGATCAAAGTGTGATTGATGATGTTGTATTAGACCATAGTTGAATATGTCACTGTATTTCCTGCCGTATATTCTTGCCCTCGGAAGCCTCCCGGACCGCACCGAGTTCACTGCGGACCCGCTCGGATAATTCCAGGGGTTTGTGCTTCCCCGCATTTTGCGCGCCGCACGGTGTTTGACTTCTGTGTAGGGTTTTTGTCATCGCGGGGTTGAACAGATCCAGATAAATACCTTTCTTTCCCAAATGCCGCTTCTATCCATTTATAACAATTACATTTTGCGTCCAATAAAGCAGAAACTATAGGAAATAACAAGATAGTATGCCTATCCAACGTCTGTCCGAACCACCAACTGACGGCAGTTCCTACGTCATCCCTCAGCTCGAGGGAGAGCGCATCTCGATTCCCGGCAGCAAGAGCATGTTCCGCATCCTTGCATCTGCTATTCAGACAGAAGGTGCACTGTCTGTATTTTCTTCCGGATCCGCACTTGCTGATGCTCCGGGTTTTCATCACCATAACGAGGCGCACGACGTCTTTCTTGTCACCAAGGGTTTTCTTAAGATCTGGATCGGAGACAAGTGCAAGATCCTGGGCCCTGGCGACTTTGCGTCCGTTCCTCCTGTACGTACAATATTTATATCTGACGCTGAGCTCCAGCTAACACATATTATCAAGGGTGTGGTCCACAACCCCCACTGGCTAGGACCTCACACTGAAACCTACGGACTCGTCAGTCCCGGCGAGTGGCTCGACTTCTTCCGCTACATCAGCGAGCCCAGTAACAGCATTCTCCTGCCCGAGTTTGACGACCGCCACATTCTCGAGATTCTGATCCCAAAAGTCATGGCTGCAAAGGGAAAGTACGATGTTGTCTTCCACCCTACTCATGTGGGTTGCGAAGTCTCCGAGCTCGATGATAGCGACAAGGTGCTCCCTGATGGACTTGAGCCCTATTATCTCGTTGCAAACACCGGGCCACGTTGGATCCTAGGCGGTGTACTTTCGAGACCGTTCATCACCACCAAGCAGAGCTCAGGAAAGTTTGCTATTTCCAGTATCGAGTCCAGCTCAGAGCTCAAGCCCACGCTTCCAACAATGCAGTTTCCCAAAGTCCATCACTGTTTCTGCGTCTTCGAAGGTGTCTTGGAGGCCACTGTAGGCGACAACGAGCCCTGTCTTGTTCGCGAGGGTGAGACTCTCTTCGTCACTGCAAACACTCCTTTTACTTTCAAGTTTGCTAGCAGATTTGTTCGTCTTTGGAGTTTTACCACCGGTGATGGCATTGAAGCTGTCATTCATAAGGCTGGGGTTCCTTTCAAGGGCATTGTCTTGCCCGATACCGCAGAATCTTTTGATGGCAAGAAATTTGAAGCTGCCTGCTCTGAACTAGGTGTTGAGCTGCTTTAGATTACTTACTATATGTCTCTTGAATAAACTCCTATGATTATATAAATTCATACGACTCTTCGACTAAAGCGTAGATATTTAATTAGTGGGTTAACTACTTTATTCAGAAAATATCCTATGTAGGGTTAGCAGGTGGGTTAACTCCGACTAAACCCCGGTCCACATCAACTCGCTCGCAACAGTAAACTGTCCTGCAAGATCTCCAACAACAACGCCATAAACACCACTCTCCATCTTCCACTTGCAACTGCTCTCGTCCCAGAAGCTACACGCATACTTCTTGACCAGCTCGATCTCAACTTGCTTTGACTCTCCCACTTCCAGCCAGACCTTGTCAAAGCCTTTGAGTTCTCGCGCAGGCCGCCATACAGAGCTGTCAGCTGGAGGTGTAATGTAGAGCTGCACGACCTCGTATCCCGCGCCGTCGCCTGTGTTCTCAACAGTGACTCTCGCAGATACATTACTGTCGTCGACTTCGTCAATGTTGAGGTTGGAGTAGGTAAATGACGTATACGACAGCCCGAAACCGAATGGAAAGAGCGCAACCTCGGCCGTGTTTGGTGCGCGGTATCCAACCTTGATTCCTTCAGTATAGTCAACAGTGTACCCTTCGTCAGTAAGTCTCGCGGAAAAGCTGTTGAACGACGGTACGTGCTGCTCATCTAGCTTCTTTCGCCATGTTGTAGCCAGCTTCCCGCTTGGATTGACCTCTCCTAAAATGACATCCGTGACTGCGCGACCGCCTTCCTGGCCTGGATAATGCGCAAGTATGATTGCATCGACATCGTCCACAAATTCACTTAGGTCGACTGGGTTTCCGCAGTACAAAACAAGCACTGTGCGCTTAGATGCTGCAGCAACAGCCTTGATCATAGACGCCTGCAAACCCGGAAGAGCCATGTCCGCCAAGTCGTAGCCCTCAGATTCGTATTCGCTCGTTCTACCGGCGTATATGATGGTGGTGTCCGAAGAAGCAGCTACGCTGACCGCATCCGCAATGGCTTGTTCGTCATCCGTAAACTCTTGAAAGCACAGACAGGCTCCATGGGGGTTGGGCTCGTAGTCACCAGGAGCCGCTATCCGGTTTTGCATCACGAGCTTCACTGCGTAAGGGCGTACTTCCCGCATTGGAACTTGAACCCTACGCTCTAGCAAGAATGGCTCGAAGAGGAAGTTTTCCATCGACACTTCGTATTGTGGAGAAGACAGCACCTGGGATTGATCAGCATATCGGTTCAAAAAAATAATAAATAAGTAGGGGTCATACCAGTTCATCGTCCAGAAACAGCTCGAATGCGCCCGTCACACGCACGGCCAAGACGTGTTCACCAGCAAACTTAGGCGTCAGCTTTGTCGATATTTCAAAGTAGAACTTGCCCTCCTCCAGACCAGGAATTAGCTGCCTGACCATGTTCACAGCAGGATTTCTGACGTGATCCACAGCCACGGGCCCTTTGTGATCCAAGCTATAATAGCGAACGTCGAATCCGGGTTCCCCATTATCCGCGCGGCTTTGCACTAATGGAACGGGAGGCACAAGACGATTGACGCTAACTCCTAGGGTGTAAGTCACTTGGGAAGGATCTGAGAGACTCTCTTTGAGACACTCGAGCGGCTGTTGCAAGTACTGCGGAGCAGCTGATGCGCTACCGCCGCCGCAGATAGCAGGTTGGACGGCATGCATGCCAATGACGGCAAGCTTGGACTGCCCGACAGGATTCAAAGGCAAAACATCGTTTTGATTTTTCAAAAGTACGATACCTTCCGAAGCAACTTTCCTTATCAACTCATTTGCACTTGGGTCTTCTACCACCTTCTCAGGCGCGTCAGCGTATGAGTCGCGCGTGTCATCGAGCAGGCCGAGGACCGCCGCAGCGCGCTCATCAATGATAGACTCGTCCACGAGACCCTTTTTGACAGTTTCTAGTAACCGCTTACCGCGAAAAACTGAAGGACCCGGCATCTCAAGATCTGTGCCAGCTTTGACCGACTGCTCGCACGACCTGGTGGCGTACCAATCTGAGAGAAGACATTTACTGTAATGCCATTCGTCTCGCAGGATGTCCTTGAGAAAAGGGTGCTCGGTGGTGTAAATACCGTCAAGTTTGTTGTAACTGAAGTTTGGTTGTTAGAAAATCCACACATAAGAGCGCCCATGGAATAGAAACATACCTAATCATAAGAGCAAACGGAGAAGAGTGACGTAGCAACTCTTGAAAAGCAGCCATATAGATCTCGCGAGCAGCACGACTGTTTTGAGTCTCAGTGACATTATACCAGCGTCTCTGAAACTCACTGTCGTTGCACACAAAATGCTTCGGACACGACGACACGCCTTCCTGCTGCAACCCGTTCACGATCGCAGCACCGAGCTGGCCGGATAGAAGCGGATCCTCACTGAAGCACTCAAAGTTGCGTCCGCCTCTGGGGTCACGGTGGATGTTGATTGTAGGCCCAAGCACTGCCTGTGCGGATTTCAGCTTTGCTTGAGCGGCAAGACCGACGCCGAGCTTGTGCATCAGGTCACGGTTCCAGGTGGAGCCGTAGCATGTTGAGCTGGGGAATATTGCCGTCGGAACTCCAGCGTGGACTTCCGAACCTTTGACTCCATTTATGGAATCAACCAGCTTCACAGAATGTTAGCCTCCACTTATGACTGGGTGGGAGTGATAATCAGCATACCTTGATCGAGGGAATACCGACTCGAGGAACAGAAGTGGTTCTCATGAAATCTGAGCCGGAGAGTAAGCTGACTTTCTCTGCCAGCGTAAGCTCTTCCAGCTTAGCCACGTAGGATCCGATTTCTGATTTAGAATTGGTCATTGTTGAATTTGTGATATAACTTGATCAAAGGTTGCAATGCTGTGAAGAGAAGGCAGGTCATCTACCAAGTTGACGACGCACACTTTAAGAATCATGGCAGGAATAAAACTGCCCCAGACAAGCCGAAAAACCCATAATTAAATGCATTAATCCTATAAGAAAATATCGCTATCATTGTGCAGACCCGGTCCAATGAGCATTGGCTGCATCCGTAATCAGAGCAGGAGCAGAGTCGGAGGCTTCCGAGCGCAAGCTGCCCCGCGCCCGGAACAGTGCTCGAGCCCAATTTGGCTTTTTGCGGGGTTTGCCTACGCAGAATAGACCTAATCTACCAGCAATACTACGTCTACGAAGCCAACAATTACGAACTATAATTATAATAATAATACTTGATATTGAATAATAGAACTATAAAGGAAGTAGCAAGCCGTTGTGTTTAGTAAGAATCTAGTAAAGCCCTACTACGAACTTCGGGTTGAATCTAGACCTTAAAAAACGAGCGACAGGAGCAATACAATAAAGTAAGGGCAGTAACAGTCATAACAGTAGGCAGTTACAGTTATGACCGAGAAGAAGAAAAGAAGGAAAAAAGTGATGATGATCAACAGAGAAGTAATACCGAACTAGAGCAGTAGTTCGGTTTCAGCAGAGTATTCGTGATTTCCCACAAGCAGAGCAGTGCTTTGGGAAATCAAAAGTAACAGAAGCGAGGCACCATGACAGATGGTGAAAATCAGACCGACGGCAGACAGACAGTAGAAAGAGACTTGGTATCGAGTATGTGTTCTCAATCTTCTCCTTGTTCCTCAAGATTCCTGGTCGTGTGTGGTGTTGCGTAGATGTGTTGACGATATTCCTATCATCTTCCACTGGTGTAGCGCTGCACATAGTGTTTCAGATAGCATGATATGCAGTGTTGTATGCAAGTATATCCAAACATGTATGCGATGGTGTGTCTAAAGTGATATGCGATGATGTGTCCAAAGTGATATGCGATGATGTGTCCGAAGTTGTATGCGGATGCGATGTTGTACGCGAATGTAATGGTGTATGCAATGGTGTATGCAATGGGGTATGCGATGGGGTATGCGATGTGTCCAAAGTTGTATGCGAACGTAATGTTGTGTATGCGATGTGGTATCCAAAGTGATATGCGATGTGGTATGCGATGTGGTATCCAAAGTGATATGCGGTGTTGTGTCCAAAGTGTATGCGGATCCGGTGTTGTGTCCAGAATGTTATGCGATGTGTATGCAGTGTTAAATGCGATGTTGTATGCAATGTCGTAGCCCAAGTGTATGCGATGTCGTATGTGATGTTGTGTCCAAAGGTGTATGCAAATGCAGTGTTGTATGCGAATGCGATGTTGTATGCAAATGTAGTGGTATATGCAATGCTGTATGCGAATGCGAAGGTCCAAAAGCAGATGCTCCTGAAATGAAATGTGCGTGGAATCAGAAGTAATACCCTCATCCCACCACTAGAGCCGCTTTACCAAGGAATGGTAGACTCGTCAATCAAAAAGATAGACAAGCACGGCTCCATATCAGAAATCTGATAGTGCGAACCATCGCCTCCGTCAAGGCCTTGCTCGTAATCGGGAAAGTACCAGTCGGAAGGACAGTTCGTATGGATCGAGCTATCGCCCTCCCCCCTATAATATTCGATCTCATCAGGGATCGCAGGGGAGTAGTCCATCTCATAATCCAGTTCATCGTCGTGGGACGCGTCCTCCTCAGTGCCGTCCTGGGAGAAGGGCTCAGGCTTCTCCAGGACTGTGTTAGGCGAAGGCACCGAAGAGGCTGGCGATGAGGCTGGAAGAGACGGGTTAGAGAGGGGGGATAGCTCCAAAGAAGAAGACTCAGTAGCCGGGCTACTGTCCTCCATACTCGACTATTACAAACATTAGTATTATTGAACGAAAAACGGTAGCAGGGGTTTATTCTCACGATAGCAAGCTCCGTATCAAGCGTAAGGGAAGGTCGCGCATCGATATGACTCGCACCACTGGTCGTGGGTGCGGCCGCAGCGATAGCCTTCTCTTGCTCTAGCTCTCTGTCGTGCGTTTCAAACTAATGTCATCCTGTTAGCTGAGATTCATTTTCGAGAAGTAGGCTGGAGGACTTACCGTCTCGTCTGAAATTATCTGTTTGTGCTCGCTCTGCACAGTCTGCAGACTCTGCTCTCTCTGCTGAGAATCATCATGAAAATAGGGAATAGAAGAAAAAAGGAAAAAAGAAACCATAATAACAAAAAACTGCCCAAACACACGCCAATTCGCCCGCAAAAGCACCAAAAGTTCAGAGAGCTGCCTATCTCCCATGTTGAACCGATACTTCACAGTCAAATAATAAACCAACAAAACAAACCGCCAAAGGGAATAAAGGGAAGACCCGTTCGTGGTGATGAAAGTGCGCGCCGCGGTAGTCGCAATGCGGACGAGCTGGGAGGATCTCTGGAGACCGCGGGCGAGTCCTGCCAGCAGAATAATGATCACCACAAGAACAACTTTGAAGCTGAGATCCACGAAAACGGAAAGACTGGGAACCATAGAAATAGCAACGGCTTTGGAAACTCTTCCTCCACGTACAAAAAGACTGCCCAGCGCAGTAACATACGGGATAACGATAGAGGAAAAGGAAGCGGGGGGAGGCTGGTAGATCACCAGGGATCTACAGTCAAGCGCGGCCTGTTTTTTCTGCTTTCTCAACTGAAGATGATAGCGAAACTCTCCTCGGATTGAAATGAATAAAGCCAGAATGATCCCCCAAGCAAATGAGACCGTCTGACCCGTGTATCGCAAAACGGTGGGCGCCAGGTGCGCCGAAAAAGCTAGGGCGGCGACGGAGTGAACGAATAAACAGGCAAGGATCTCGCCGCACGCATATCGCGCGTGCATAATAAGAGTGGATGCTCTTTCAGCGAACCGGGATCGCAATGAGAGACGAACTGGTGCGGGCAGGGCGAGCAAGCCTTGCTTCACCGTCAGTGCTCGGTAGAGCACAAAACCGCGGTCTCGGACCAGCTCTGGCAAAGACAGGGGAACGGCTTCAAAGGTGCTCTGTCTGTAGAGCACGAGCTGACGGTCAGATACCGGTTCGGGTGCCGGAGGAAGCGCGAGCGGAGTCTGTCTTGACGAAGAGCGATAAAGCACGAGGGCAGACAACTCTGGCGGCGCCAGCAGATCAAGAGGACCTCGAACAGATAGGGCAAGCTCGCGGCTGATGGACGGCCCGAACGGAGACTGGAGAACAAGGAGGACCCAATCAGGAAGCACAATTCGACGGAATACAGGCGCAGGGTTGTCCAAGTGGTAGGCTTCATGTCGCAATACCAGCTGCATACCGGTCGAGACCGTTGCAGAGCCAGAAAGGTGATCCTCCTGGATGGCTTCAGATGGTCCATCGACGATTGGTTTCTGTGAAATAATCAGTATCGCTTCTGGCGTAGGAAAAATGAGAGATTGAAGAGAGCTTACCGGCTCATCGGACTTCTCGGGCTCAATAGGCTCGCTAGCCTTTTGAGAAGGGCCGTCTACCACGTTCTCCCGGATCCCAGACAAAACCGATCTGCTAGAGGCACGAGAACGGTAGAACTTGGAGTGGAGAAACTTGGGATCGGGGATCGTGGCTTGCAGTGCTTCGAACTTCTGGACGAGCAACTGGACGGGATCGATCGGGAGTTGAGAGAGCAAATCAAACTCTGGCTGAGCCGTGCAGTCTTCCTTCGTCGTAGTCGCAGCAACGCTTTGCTTGATCTCGCCATAGCTCTTCTTCTTGCGCTCAGAAGACCTGAGCTGGTGACGGACTTTGATCTCAGCCGGCTGCGACTCTGCTGCGGCGGCGCGGTGAGTCTGAGCGCTGTGCGGCGTCTTGCACACAAAGTAGTCGAGAGGCTCGGTGCAGATGCCCTCAAAGCTCGAGAAGCGGTAGAAGCGGCGAACGGGAACGGACGGACGATTAGGAGCACTGACGGATCTGTGTTTCTGGATGAGGATCTCAGAGGATGAGTCGTTCTCTTGCGTCGAAGCAGAGGAGCTGCCCGCTGGCTGCTCAGACTCTGTTTCGGGGCCGCGAAGAAAATACACGATGGCTGGATCCGAATATACGACGCTACCACGGTTGTTGACGACGTCTAGAGTTCCATGATCGACACTCGACTTGGGCTTGATCATCTCGAGGATGAGACGACCGGCTGCTTGTCCGGGGGTGAGTCTGGGGAGCTGAATCAGATCCAGGATGAGACGACCGGCCGCTTGCCCGGGAGTGAGAGCTTGCGTGCCGTTTCCGAGGTACGCGCCGCGAGTCACGGAATGGTGGCCGATCATCGTCAAAATGATCTCGCGAGCAGTAAGAGCACGGCTGCTGGTCTCAGGGGACGGTTGTCTGACGGGAAAATTGGCGGAGAGCGGCGTGGTAGTAGCGAGCGTCGCGGGCTCAAGCTCCGCAGGGTCGTCGTTCTCGGAAACAAACTGCTCCGACGGGGAGCTGGAATCGTCAGAGCCAGTCGCGGTCTGAGGCTCGGGTTTGATCTGATCAATCGACTGAGCAGAGTCGATCGTCTCAAGATTGTCGGAATGGCCGACGTGGGTGCTGCCGTAGCTAGCACGGTATTCGTTGCTGATAGTGGGCTCGGACGCGTCAGGCTGACCAGTGGTTTCCTCGGAGATACTGTTGTCGGGAAGTACCTCGTAAGATGACGTAAGAAAGTCGTGGTCGGCGTAGGTGCTGTTGTAGTAGTCCGAGTCGAATTCAGCGTTGGGGACTGTAGAGGAGGGGAAGGAGACGTTGCTGTCGTGCATGAACTGAAACTCCATGCGTTGAGGAGTTTGCAGAACGTTGAAATGCACAGAGCCAGCGGCGTCCTGGGGATCGGTGGAGAAGAAAAGGTTGAGGTTGGTGGGGGTAAACTTGAATGTGAATCTCATGGTGGCCAGCTATTCAGAATATACTCGGATTTGGGATCCGCTCTTTCAATAATCTGGATAGGTAAAACGAAGGGGGCAGCGATGAGAGGCAAAGGGAAGCTTGAAGGTTGTTTGTAAGTTGGATTGCAGTAGAGCTAGACTTCACGGTTTGGAGCAAACGATGAAGGGGGGACACTGTACGGCGGTGAGGAGAGAGGAGAGAGGAGAGAGGCGGACGAGGGCTTATGACGTGCTGTGTGCCTCCCAGGCCGCTTCGCAATGAGCGAATGATGTTATTTAATCCATGATCCCTGATCCCACGCTTTCTTTCTTGAATATTATTATAGCTTGCTGTGTAGCTCTTTTTTATATTAGTTTTTTAATTTACTCTGATTATCTATAGTAGTCCAGGAAGCCAGGATAAAGCAGTTTCTGTATTCCATCGCTATCAATCGTCCCCGAGGACCCTCAGAAGCGAGTGTGCGGCTCATTTATTAGTCGCACGAGCTGTCCACGGACGGCTGCTGCGGCTGAGATCCAGATCACGTGCAATCAGCTCACGTGCATCTGCATCTGCGGTGAGGAAATAGCGCAAATTCTGAGCAGAAGCAGCTGACATCAATCGGTTTTGCAATCCCTCATCTGTTCTGGGCGATGCTGGGCCAAGTATTTCAGCGTCGTCAATCTGCTCGAAACGGCACTTAACTTGCCTTATCCGTACATGAGATTAAAGTACAAACGTTTGACAGTTAGACTTGCTGACGCTTATCAAAGGGTCTTGTGGTGATATCTCATCACATCCTAACCAAATTAGTTCAGATGGCCGTTATTACTCCTCTGCTTTCGGCGTTCATTGTCGTTCATCTTCAACGGTGTAGAGCATTTAATGACCGTTCCAGGAACTCAAGCACAAAATACAGCCTCGTAAAGAGCCAAACTGCTCTCTCCGAGCGGCAGTGTCGGATTCGGATACCCCAACCCACGCGACGCGCGCGGGACCAAAACAGTGGATTCGAGATCTCATCGCTCATCGGCCGTCCGCGCATACGCATTTGGTTTGGGTTCCATTACAGCTCCACGCTCGTCATTGACTTCTTCCCGCTCATCTCCCGTCTGTCACTGCTCTTTCATCTTCTTCGTAGTCAAGACATACCCCGGTCTACCTTCTACTAGTCCTCCACAGGGTCTCCTCCCAGGCAACGCGTTTAGCAATGCCTCGTCGCCACAGTCGAGGACTGTCGCTTGTTCTCAATAGAGAAAACACGCCTGGCTACGACGACCTCTCATCCTCACCAAAGTCCTCTCCCAAGGTCGCCTCCCCCAAGCGTTTTGAAGGCGGTTCCTCCATCCAGGTTCTGCGCATCACGAATGAAGTCTCAAACACCGCGCCGCGCAGTCTGCGTCTGCTCGAGGAATGCGCGCTTCAAGATACCCAGGGTACAGTGAGCACGACCACGATGGTCCTTCCCGGCCGCAGAAGCGTCTCTTTTAGCAGGAAATACTCGATATCATCAGCCGGCTCAGAGTCCTTGGAAGACAGCAGTATCGCAGACAACGAAAGTATCCCCGATGACAGCTACGAAGACCTCAACGCGAAGCTCCGCATGCGAGCGCGGGCCGAGAACAAAGAGCTCGAAGCAAAGCGCCTGGCCGGCAGCAGTCTTCGGCACGAGTACCTAGTCAGACTCACGACACTGCCTTCTGCAAACGACGGTAGAATCGGATTCGACGACCTTTCCGCGTTCTTCTGGGGCTTGGACTACGCCGACATGCGCCAGCGAGGCGAGTTTGGACGCACGGTCGGATACCTCCCCGTGCGAGCTGTCGATATGGGCATAGTCATTGGCATATGGCTAATAGCGGTGCTCGTATACAGCTGCACACGCGAAACCAGCAATCGTGAAGGATTTAAGCCGTCGGTCGGCCAGTTCCAGAATCTTTTGGACTTACAGTTTGCTGATTCAAGTCACGTCGCTGAAGTCGCTGTTAAAGAGAAAGATAGAGATACTCCCCGAGGATCTGCTCGACTGGCGGGTAAGATTACAAAGTCAAACATTTACCTTTCCGCGATGGCGTTTTCTATCTTTGTGCTATCTCGGACCATCTACATCATGATAGTAATCAGACATGTCTTGCTTGTCGTGTGGATATCAGTTATAGCCATGAAACGCGCTCCAGGCGTGGGTGGAATCAAGATGATGCTACGATAGTAAGAGAGTTTTTATGAATTACCGCAGTCTGTATTAGTATGAATGATTACGAATTACCCTATATGGAGTTACGGGTTGTTTTCTTTGTTAAATATATTATATTAATTTGTTGATAAATAATACATCATTCACCGTGAGTAGGGATGATACCCGCCTCCGCGTCCATACCCACCCCGTCCTCTGCCACGTATAAAAGGAACATTCTGCCGCGGCCCAGTAGGTGCTGCGAATTGCTGATTCCGAAGGGCTTTTGGGCCGCTCGGCGGTTTTATAGGAAGATCGTTGGCAATATCAGAGTTCTGAGGACTGCCCACGGACCCAGGCGTGTTGTGGCGCTCACGCTGGGCCATAATAGTTGGACCGGTGGGTATTCCGGGTGGTAAATTCTTTGCCATGGTGGCTGGTCCCTTTGGAATGATGGATGATGGACCTTTGGGGATCCCAGATGGTCCTGACGGGATTGGTTTGCCAGCCGACTGGGACGGGCCTGTCGGGATCCCGGCTCCTCCTTGAGGTCCAGCGGGAAGCATCTGTCTTCGATCTGATGGTTCGGGTGTTTGTGAGCTGCCAGCATTTTGTGTAGGGCTGCCACTTCCAGCTTCCTCTGACGTCTCATTCTGTTGCTGCTGTTGCTGCTGTTGATAAGCATACGCCATGGCAGATGCTTCATAGCCATTTGTCTGAATCTTTTCAAGCGCATTCAAGTAGAGCTGAGTACGGTACCAATACTGTGCCAACATAGACGGAGTCATACCATTAGGATACGACTCTGCGCTGTTATAATCTGTACCCATCCCCTCTGCCATACCATCTCCACCGTATTCCCGGCCATCGTACTTCATAAACTGCTGCTGTCGCCCGCCCATATCCATCTTGTCGTCATCGAATCTCTCCTTGTTGACGACTCCCTTTGGCTGCGCTTTCTTAACCTCGACCATCTTGCCACCAATCACGAGCGGGCAGTGGGCCAGAGTGTTGTCGACCGCGGCTTCGCCGTCAAACGTGATAAATCCAAATCCACGAGACCGGCCTGTATCTTTGTCGACCATCAAACTGGCGTCAATCACTCTACCGAACTGAGAGAACGTTTGGCGGAATTCAGGCTCAGTGACACCGGGCGCGACGCCGCCTACAAAGATCTTTGATGTTTTTTCCTGCTCGTCTTTCGGGATCGCGCGCTTTGGGTCAATCTAGAAATATCGAGTCAGCATAGAATAACTAGAAACAAACCAAGCTCTACTTACGATTTTCCCATCAAGCACATGCTCTTTCACCATAACGGAATTCACGCATTTCGAGTCTTTGAATGTTAAAAACGCAAAGCCGCGCGATCGGCCGGTAGCGGGGTCCCGCATGACCTGGCATTCGAGAACTGGACCATATTGCGAAAAGTATCGCATAAGAGTTTCTGGGGGAGGTGTTAGTTTATATATTGAGCTTGAGGTCGATCGATTGCGTCGCTTACCGTCAGTGGTGTCCCAGTTTAAACCACCTATGTGATTTATTGTTAGCTTAGTGGCAAGAGAGGCAATCAAGGAATACTCTATCTTCCAATATTCATATCCACGTACCAATAAACATTTTTCTAAATAATGCAGCAATCTGTTAGTTATATTTTACACAATAATCAAATGTACGAAGCAAAGCATACCCGTCATCACTGGATCCACTGTCGTTGTCAGCCCCAGCCGACTGAGACTGCTGCGGTCTTGACGCCTCCGTTTGCCATGAATTATTGTTATTGTTATTGCTGTTGCTGTAGTCATTGTATGGCTGTGGCGAATCTTGTGAGCTTTGACCGTATGAGGTCTGATTTGTTTGCGAAGGTTGCTGTGGTGTGGTTTTTGTAGTTGAGGACTGCTCTCTTCTGTTGGGCAGCTCTTTGATTGCCGGTGATTCGTCACCGCTGTTAATCTGTCAGTAATCGCCAATAAACAGCATAAATAGTAGTGGCACGGAATAATGAGGGCTTACTAGAGATCAGTAAAGAGATCCTCGTCGTCTGCTTGGTCAAACATCTGTGCCGACATGAGGTTGTGTTGTGCTCTGGAGATAGAGTAAGAGAAGTAAGCAGATCGCTATTTTCTCTCTTGAACTAAATTGTAAATCAACAGTTATTGGCTGGGGTATCGATTGAATATACTGAAAGATGAATAAAATAATCTCAAGCACAGCAGAAGACTTGTGGTGACGAAGTGAAAGTTCGAGATGACCTTTCAGGGGTGCGGCGCTCCTCCAACTTTTGTCGTCCATCGACCTTCTCGAGCACTGCAAATGCCCACAAAATCATAACTTCACCTGCTCAAATGGCGTTGCAGCAGTTTCTCGACTTGGTCAACCGGAACTTGTCGTCTCCACCGACACTAGCTCAGCTTTTCATTGCTGATATTCAGTCCGAGGACTTGCAAGTGCTACAGCGCGATCTCCAGAGCGTAAATACATCTCCCACCACAGATCTCTGAATATTTATTTTCCTGATACTGACGCTATTGACCTTCTACATAGGGCCCGACGAGATCTAATAATGAGATATCTAAGCTAGTTGAGTCCAGAAATTACTTTGATGGAGATTGGCCCGGGTTTACCGAGTTTACTATCACGTACCTCGTCTTTGCGAGAGATGTGAATCCCTTTGATCTCCAAGAGTCATATCCACTTCTTGAGAAAGTCTTTACGTAAGTTTACCTATCTTGGCCCAAGGCTAGGTCAGATCTCTTGTACAGAATCTAACGGTTCTCCAGGAATCTTCAAATCGCATACAGCAACAATCGAGGCGCGATCCTCACGCCGACAGTGCGTAATTTCGCAACCGTCGTCACCGACAGCGCAATCTATCTTGACTCGGCCGATGTGTTAAACACGCTCGTGCGGACGAACGATGTGTCGACTGTGCTTTTGAAGATGTTTAATTCGATCAGAGGAGAGCGGTATACGCCTGATCAGGGCTCGCTCACGAAGAAGGATGTGATTCTTTATATCTCGGTTTTATTATGTCGAACGTACTTCAAAGTGAGTATATCTATAGAAGAGTTAGCTTGGCTCAGTGGAGACTAACTTGCTTTTATACAGCTCAATCAACCCTCCGCGTGTGCAAACGTGTTTTCAAATATCCACACAGCCAAGATCCAATTCTCAAAATACCCCCGATCCGAGCGCGTAACTTTCAGATTCTACCTCGGCCGCTTCTATTTCCTCCGGCAAGAGCTACTCCGAGCGCGAAAACATCTCTTGTGGGCATTCAACAACTGTCTAGCGTCTGCGATAAACAACCAGCGGGCAATTCTCACTTACTTGATCCCTACGAGCCTGTTACTCGGAATAGGCGCGAGACCGGAACTCTACATGATTGCTGGCGATTCGTTGCGAGATATTTTTGCTCCGCTTGAGCGCGCTTTGAAGGTTGGGGATATGTATGCATATAACGAACATCTTGTGAGGTACTTTGATTGGTTTGTTGCAAAGAAGATGTTTGTTCTCCTGAGGTCGAAGAGTGAGATTATTTTACTGCGGAATCTTTTTCGACGAATGTGAGTGCCACTGTTGTTTCAGTTCACTCTTACGACCAGCACTAACGGCTAGTTTTAGAAACGTGTATAGTGCCAGTCTTCCTGTTGAGCTGGGCGCCAAAAAACCGGATAATATCACGTTCGACTCGGTCCTGCTCGGCATCAAACTCTCAACCCGTTCTAACAACCCCGCGCTCTCTGCCCAATCCGGCACACCGGCCTCCTCAGACGTCCCCGCTATTTTCCCTTTCAAAATACCTGAAATGGAATGGAGCTACGACGATGTTGAGAACGCATGTATCAGCTTGATCGACCAGGGGTTAATGAAGGGGAATATTTACACGCGGAGAAAGCTTGTTCGGCTCCAGCCATCAGGCGGGTTTAGACCGCTGTCTGAGGTGTTGGGGTTACGTGGTGCGCAGGCCGGCGATGAGGAGGCCTGGATGGATCGGTAGTTTTGAGTCTCATTTCTTCTTCTTCTACTATCTTGAGTGGGAAATTATTTGAATTGCATGTGGGAAAAGGAATAAAAGACACCAAAAGAAATCATCCAACACGGCTCATTTAAAAACAGGTGTTGATGGACAAGTAGAGAAGTACACGTCGTACACACCTAATAAAAAAACAGCAACTGTAACAGCACAAGCTCACTATATATACTAGTCCTACACCTCTAAATCAAAGACAGCAGTGCTCGGAATCGGCAGTGCTATCGGGTCCTGACAATAAATTCAAAAGAAACACAGCTTAAAACGCAAGAGTTAGGTTAAGCGGTGGCAGGTTCGGCGGGTGTTCCGGAAGGTGACCGCTTCTTTGATTTCTTGTGCTTCTTCTGAGTGGCTTCTGCGAGCAAGGTCTCAAACACTCGAGCGTCTTCATCCTCATCAGGATCTCGCTCGGCTTGCTTGAATATCGTACCGATGATTTCAAGAGCCTCTGCTCGCTCCATGCGCTTCTTAGCCGGGATGCCCTTATCCTCGAGGACCTTATCACAGACTTCTCTCAGCACGCCCTGGAACTCGTATCGCGAGCCGCGCCAGGCAGCGTTTAGGAGTTTACCCATAACTCTGCGCTCGAATTCCGCCTTTGTCTCCTCAGTCCAGTGATCGCCACCTTTCTCTTCAGCTTTTGTCATGTCTTGGATCGTGATCTGCGCATCGATCGCGCTCGAGATTGTGTTCCAGGTGTCTTTGGCGATCGAGCCCTTCTCTTTGACTTTGCTGAAGATCGAGTTCATGCCGAGGAACTTTGAGGACTTGCGATAGGAGTTGCCCTTTTGATAGTAGACGCCGCCGATTGCGTGTAGAAGCTCGATTCCGAACGACTCCATTTTCAGGTTTTCCCGCTCCAGCTGTATAGTAAGATGTTAGATGACTGCTTGTCATAAAAGCAAAATAAAAAAAAAGATTACTACATACTCTTGTCTTCTCCTTAAAAGCCTGAATAACATCTGGCCGTTTCTCAGACTCGGTGTAGAGAGATAATCTTTCAATGAGTTTCTTTGTCAGATGATCAACTCGCTCTATACGAGCCGCCTTTCGCTCCTGCTCGAGCTTCAAGATCTCCTCTCGCTGGGCCTGGGTTAAGCCTCCCTTCTTCTTCTTCTCCTTGTCAAGACTGGTCGATGACTTCTTCCCCTCAGAAGACATCCCGCTGAGGTTGTGCTCCTGATCTTCGGATCCCGTGATTGCCAAGAAGGGGTGAGGCTGTCCCGGCGCGGAAGTGGTCGATGTGGGCTCGGTAGCGGCGGCGGAGGACGCGGTAGCGCCAGCAGTACTGGTTGGCGAGCTGGGAGTTTGGAAGGAGGTCGATGTGGGGCTTGAAGGGGAAGTTGCGGAGGAAACCGAAGGGGCGGCGGTAGTCTTGGGAGTATCTTCTGCAGCAGAACCCGAGGTCTCGGCGGTCGCAGCGGCAGCGGCGGCGGCGGCCTCTTCCTGCTCTTCAGCTTGGCTGATTTCAACGGCCTTGGTGAGCTCCTTGATGAGGGAAAGCTCTCCGATTCTAAGAGGGATTTACGGTCAATAAGGCTAAAGGGGGTGAATCAGAAGCTCTTGCAGGGGTTAACATACAAGTCATAGAAAGCCTCTCCACCAAAGATCGAGGTGAAAAAATCGGCCGGATCCTCTGTAATAGATTGTCAGTGACTGCAGTGGAGGAAAAGCACAGAATGAAGAAGGTGCTGTACCGAATCCAGCGGCAGGCACAGCCTGGTCTTTGCCGAACTGATCATATTGCTTTCGCAAGTCGGGGTCGCTCAGGACTGGTAGATGCACGTTAGTATTTAGTGGTTATCTGATTTCAGAGAGATTTGTAGGCCACGTACTCTGGTAGGCTTCGCCAACCTGTAGATGAGAGAAAACAGATGTTAGCGCTGTCACTGGGGATCACATTCTTCCACCCCCACAGTGGCCAACAAGGCCATGGCGGAGTAATTCAAGCAAGAAGAATAACGATATAGAAAGATTCAAAGCAGAACAGCATACCTCTTGGAACTTTGCGTGGGCGGATTCGTCGTTCGGGTTTTTATCCGGATGGAGGAGGATGGCTTTCTTTCTGTAAGCCTTCTTGATTTCGAGAGCCGTCGCATCCGGCGCCACCCCGAGACAGTCATAGTAGGTTGTGTCGACGACAGTGGCAGTGCGCGACATTGTTGGCGGAAGGGGATTCTGTTAAGTATACGGGATTAACAGGAGCGCTGATGTGATCAGACGAGCGGAAGGACGAGGACGACGGTGGATCGTTGTGAAAAAGGCGCGACGCGAAGATTGTCGACGCAGATTTGTTTTGGGTTTGCGGAAGATGATGACGTAGCAGCGCCGGTGTGCTTATGTAATTGCTTATATTTTGGTGTTTCTTCTCTGTTGGTCGGGAGGAGGACCTTTGTTTATGAAGAGTTATTACTTGCAGAGTAGATTCAACTACAAAGAACAGTAGCTGGTTAAAAATAGTGGTGGTGATAGAAGTCGAGGTAGCATTGGAGTAGGAACCTGACTCATCTCTTATTAATCAACCCAGCCGCACGGCGAGCCATTGCTCGCGATATGCTGACAACGACACGACACGGCTGCTTCTGCGTTCTTCAACCGTCTTAATTGAATCAAGACTCTGATTCTTTCTTTTGGCTGCCGTTTAATTGTACGCGAGTAGACAGAAACATGGCGAGCGCAGAACTAGCGCTTGTGAACAAGGTCGAGATGAGGATTGCCCTCGCCAGCACCGATGCGAAGCTCGAGTCCCTCCTCAAGGTCTACCTCGCCCCGCTGCTCTTGAAGTTGATCTCTCCTCATCCTGCTGTGCGCAATAAAGTGGTTTCGATATGTAACCATATCAATACCCGTGTCAAGTCCTCGTTCGTTCTCCCATTGAAGCTTACCGGGCCGTGTTCACAGTACTAACTGATCTCGCTCCACTCTAGATCGATCGTGCTCCCTGCCGAGACTCTTCTCGCTCAGTTTAAGAACCCACAGGTTGAAGGCGATGCTGCTCTGATGCGTAGCTTTTGTTTGATGTACATACAGATGACCATTGTCCGATTGCCAGCTGAGGTATATAATGTGTCCTTCTCACTGCTATCAGACGCTGTACTAACGTGATCTTAGCAACAAACCGCTATCCTACCTGACCTCCTCAAAGGAATTTCCTCCTATGATCGCACGTTCCAGAAAACGCTGTTTTCAATCGTTCTCAAAGTCCTCCCACAATGGAAAGCCCCGGACCGCGGATCAACAGAAGCCGACAACATCCGCTCGGCGTTTGGTTTCGACGAGTCTCCCGCTGATGCTGAATTTCTTTCAAAGCATTTCACCAGTCTTTTGATGCTCAACTACAGCGCCTTTTCTGGCGCCTATGAGACTCCCGAGGGACTGTGTTGCCCCGGTGTCCCTCCTTCTGAATTCGAATTTCTCACGTCAAACTCGCGTGATACAATCCCAAGCGCAAACCTTGTTCCTATCAAAATGGCTGCCCTTAGATTCTCTCAGGCTGTGTTGACGGAGAAAGAGCAGTTCTGGCCTGCATTTGTGGGATCACAAGAAAATATCAACGAGATTGCAAATGCTGCGAGTGACATGCTGAAAAGAATCACGGTTGACTATGAAGACGAGGATATTGTCAAGGGTCTCTTCGATTTATATCTGGGGACTGAGGACACTCCTCCAGTGAATCCGCAGTTTGGAGCCCGCATTCTGCAGCTCCTATGTAAGAGTGCGCGGGCTGCAAACGACATGTCGAATACGGCCGACGCGATTCAATTCGGTATTACATCCGAGAACCCTCGTCTGAGATCTGCTACCGTTGAGTTTGTGAACTGGGTAGTCAAAATTGCTCGTCCTGAAACAATTAAACCTGTTGCAAAGGATCTTGTCGAAACCCTCAAGCAGCATCTCCAAAAGTCTGGATATATTGTATCCCGGAGCGCTAACTCACAAGAGCTGCGACTGAGAGGTTTTGCATATGTTGCAATGGGATCTCTTATCAAGCGCGCACCCGACATTTTGAAAACAGATTTTGACATCATCAAAAGTCTGTTTGACAGTCTTCAACATGACAATCCAGATTTGCGGAATTCGATCCACGAGTCCCTTAGCAGTCTGATCCCCGTCCTGGATACTCTTGATCAGGAGCAGACAGACAAGCTGAAGCCAATTCTTCTGGAGCAAATCAATCTTGGCAGTGAGCACTCAAATTGTCAGTTTCTGGCGCTCAGATTCTGTATCGCGGCCCTGCCATTCAGTGATCCTGTCGCGAGGTATATTTGCATCTTGGGTTTGAATCCCGCAAATCGAGCCGATGTGATCAGCGAGGCCAAAAAGGGTCTCCATCCATACTATTTCCAGAAAACCCATCGGCCTGAATTCAAATTTGGCAAAGAAACATTTGATGGTCCTGAGTACGACTTTCCAGAGTTTAGTGATATGCTAGCAACGCTTGAGCAGATGTGGTCTACTAAGGCAGATGATGGATCAACTAGTTTCAATGTCAAAACGGTCCCGCCTCCAATTTTCGTTTCCTCTCTCCAATTTGCCCGGCAAATTTTGTTGATGAAGGCTGTGGAGAAGAATGCCAAAATCTCAATCATCGATGAAGGATGGTCGCACAAACTTGACGAAGCCGTTGCGTTTGACGATGGTGCTCGTCAAAATGTGACTGATCTGTTGGCAACTTGGCACTCATCCGAGCCTGCGTTACGAAAGTATACCGAAGTCGCGTTTTCTGGTTTTGCCTCTCAGATTTCTGGGATGTTTCCTGCTGGTGAAATGTGGATGGAGATTCTAAGTATGGGTCCGAAAGATCTCGTCTCGTTCTGGACAGCCAGAGTCTCTGAGTTTGAAGCGCTCAGTGTATCTGTCAGCTCAGAAACGCGAGTTCTTGCTGGACATGCCTTGGGAATCCTGTGTACCTCCTCGCAATTGCCCGACGAGAGCATCAAAGGTTTGATCACTAAACTCATGCAGAACATTGAGGACAGCTCGGTAAGTCGCACTCTCGTTGCTCATTTTATAAATTGGTTGCTAACTATCCCAGAACCTTCCCCGAGCGCACGGAGCGACAATCTCCCTTTCTTATATCATTTCCCGATTGCAGCTGAAGAAAGATCTCGCGATAGTGGACGAGTCCGATTTGCAAAAGTACCTATCAACTCTGTTGAAGAACCTGGAAAAGCAGTCAGTGACAGCTCTTCGCGAGGCTTCGATCTCCGCCATTTCTCAACTAGGAGCCTACGGTGTTCTTTCGAGTCTGCCCCAGGCAGACCTGGAGAAAGCTAGTGATCTTTTGATGGAAAACGTAAAGTCGAGCAATAACGACCGTGCTATGCAAGCCTTTGGTAACCTTTACGCTTGCTCTCCTGACGTTGATGTGAAGATCGCTGCTGCCGAAAGAATTTTTGCCTTGCACGAGTCGAAGCAGATCGAATTTCTTCTCGGCAGTGGCGAAGCACTCACCTGTATCGGAGCCGGATGGGATTCTACCGCTCTTCGTCGAACTCTTGATGTTTGCGGCTTCGAGCCTCCTACAGTTGGCTACGAAGCACTCAACATAATTTTAGATAAGGTTCTAGAGTTTTCAAAGACCACCAAGCCATCTTTGAAAAAGAGTTCTTGCATTTGGCTTCTGAGCTTGGTGCAGTTTTGTGGCCATTTGGAGCCAGTAGTCTCGCGCTTGAAACTGATGCACTTTGCCTTCCTAGGGTTTTTGGGTGATCGAGAAGGTAGGATTGTGTCATTTCACTACTCTAGTTGCTTGCTAACGACTCTCTAGATATTGTACAAGAGTCGGCGTCTCGCGGACTCGGACTTGTGTACGAGAAAGGCGACAGTCGACTAAAAGACGATTTGGTGCATAGTTTGGTTCAGAGCTTTACTTCCGATTCGCGTACTAGCGCTGCTGGACGGGTTTCAGCTGAAACACAGCTTTTTGATCCTGGTGTGCTGAACACAGGAGACGGATCAGTCTCCACTTATAAAGATGTGGGTTCATTCTCTGATATTGCAAGGAAAAGAGGCTAACAAGTGTAGATTATGAATTTGGCGGCGGAAGCCGGAGATCCCAGTCTGATCTATAAGTTCATGTCGCTCGCTTCAAGTTCGGCGATTTGGTCGACTAGAAAGGGAGCAGCATTTGGGTTAGGATCTATCTTGGCGAAAACGAATCTGGCCGACATATTCGAGTCCAACCCGCGCTTGGCCAAGAACCTTATACCCAAGCTATACAGATACAGATATGATCCGAATATGGCAGTTCAGCAGTCGATGAGAGGTATCTGGAACGCGCTGGTTTCTGATTCTGCGAGTATTATCGAGAGTCAGTTTGACGATATTCTCGAAGAGCTGCTGAAACGAATGGGCGACCGGGAATGGCGTGTGCGTCAGGCGAGTGCTGCCGCTTTACAGGATCTGCTGGATAGTTCACAGCCTTCTAGAGTAAGTCCTTTTATGTCAAATGTGTACGCAACTGATTGCTAACTAATTTAGTACTCGGCGTATTTGGAGCGGATTTGGACTATGAGCTTCCGCTCCCTTGACGATATCAAAGAGTCAGTTCGAACGCAAGGTGTATCTCTATGCCGCAGTCTTGCCAATTCCTTGGTACGCATCATTGATGTAGAGGTTGGAGCGTCTACTCAGAACGCTGAAGAGACCTTGACGACACTACTCCCGTTCCTGATCGGCAACTCTGGTCTTCAGTCACAGGCACAGGAGGTCCAGATGTTTTCTCTCGAGACTTTACTGAAGCTGATTCAGAAAGGAGGATCCGGTTTGCGGCCGTTTATTCCCACGCTTCTTGAGGAGATGCTGGGTCTTCTCTCGACTTTGGAGCCTCAAGCTGCCAACTACATCGCACTGAATGCGGACAAATACGGCATGACTGCGAACGCTATTGACGCTACGCGGTTGGCTAGTATCCGAGCATCTCCTATGATGGATGCAGTTGATCGTCTGATTGATGTGCTCGACGCGCCGACGATGAAGTTGGTGGCACCCAAGCTTTTGACTGTTATTAGGAAAAGCGTGGGTCTACCCTCGAAAGTCGCTAGTAGTCGTGTGCTGGTGACGTTAGTCGTTCGACATATGGATCTGATCAAGCCGTACGCCGATCGGTTTATGAAGAGCTGTATCGCACAGCTGTCTGATCGAAACGATACGATTGTCTCGTCGTTCGCCTCGGCTGCTGGCTACCTTGCCCGTCTATCCAGCGACGACCGCGTGCTGGAGCTAGTAGCGTACTCTGAGAAGCTCTACTTTGAAGGCGAAGAAGAGCGCCACCGCCAAATCTCCGGCTCCATAATCCTCGCGCTGAGCAAGCACGCGCCCGACCGCGTGACAAGTCTGGCGTCGAGCATCCTCCCGTTCGTGTTCATCGCCAAACACGATCAAGTCAAATCGATCCGCGAGCCATTCGAGCACGCGTGGTCAGAGCACACGGGCGGCGTGGGCGCGATCAAGCTTTATTTCGGGGAGATTCTTGAGATTGCGCGAGACCAGCTCGAGAACCAGCGATGGATCGTGCGGCAGACCGCCGCGCTGAGCGTTACCGACGCGAGTAATCTTGTCGGGAACCAGATCTCGCAGACCGAGGAGCTGTTTACGATCTTGATTAAAGCCAGTACGGGAAGAAGCTGGGATGGTAAGGAGAAAGTGGTGGACGGCCTTTGCGCGCTGGCGACGAAGATGAAGGGGTTTGTTGATCGGGATGTGCAGTTGAGAGATAAGTTGCTGAAGGTGTTTACGGTCGAGGCGGGGAGGAATAACAAGGAGTACGCGACGAAGGCGAGGAAGGCGCTTGAGAAGTTTTGCGGGGAGTTTAATCTGCCTGTTCCAGCGACTGAGTAGCCTACCTCATATTACTACTCTAGATTATGAATTGATAAAGAACAGAAAAGAACTGTATTGCACTACCTACCCATACCTGTTAGATAAAATGAAACCCTACATAATGAAGTGTATACCCTATAACCCTTATAACCCTATGACAATGAAACGAAATGAATAGTACCCCCATGAACCCGGATAGAATAAAGTAAAAGTAGCAAGAAATAGATGAACCTCCATATGCGCGCGCGACCCTGCTGCTCAGACACAGATAGAGTAATGAATGTAGCTAAATAGCGAGAAAATAGAAAAAGCATAGCGAAAGATATATAAGTTTGTGTAGGGTGTATCAAGTGATGTAAACCCGCAAAGAAATCTCGTTGGACCAACGAGCTTGTAAATCAAGTTCTCTCCACGCCGAATCGAGATCGATTTTCAAGATATTTCCCTGCGTGGATAGCGACGACATCGGCATGACGAGACCCTGGATTGTGATGAGCAATTTCGCGATGGCGGCCATGCCGCCTGATGCGGACAGTTCAGAGATGTAGATGCCGAGCGTGCCGAGGACTTTGACGTCAATGTCGAGGAGCGCTCGGCCCGTGACTGGGACGACGATTTGTTGGCGCTGGATAGCTGCCGCGCCGGTGATTTTGTTGAGGACACCGATCGCGCCGATCTTGGTGGTCTTGAACTGCGACTTGACGACGGCGAGAGGGGCGGCGGTGAAGATGTCCCATTCGTTGGTCTTGAGCTGGGTTAGCATCAGAGCTGGGTCGTCGCTTGAATTGCTGGAGGTCGAGAATTCGGCAGTGTTGCCAGTCTTGTAGGAGAAAACGACGTATTCTGAATCGGTGGCGAGTGCGGAAAACATCGAGCGGCGGATGGGTTCGACGAATTCTGCGTTGTCGTTCTCGTTGATGTTGAAAGCAGCGAGAAGACTGAACCCGCCCGCGCCACCGTAGAAGTTTGTGAGATACATCAGTCTTCCATCCTTGAGATTGAAGTAGGGATCAAGAGCCAGTGCTTGTCGCGACGGCCGCAAGCAGACTGAGGTTCCGCGCGTCGTTTCCGCCTGGATCTGGGAAAGGATTTCCATGTCGTGAAAGCCGGGAGTGTCGGTGATGTATACCGGCCCGCCTGAGAAACAGCGTGATGCAGCGTGCATGCTGGAGTACGGCGCGACAGTGGTCATAAACATGTCCCAGTCGGGGACCGCGTGCAGCAAGGAAGTAAGGGTGTTGTTCATTGCGTTGCAGTACACGTGCCAGTGGTGGCTTGATGGGATATTGGGGAAGAAATCATCGGAGTTGCGCAGCACTGGCTTTGTGTAGTTTGTCTGGATCAGCGCGTAATAATAGTACTGCGGACTCATGGCCATGCAGTAGATTATACGTCTGCTAAAGTAGCGCATCGACTGCAGCTTCAGTGCGTCTTGATACTGCTTGTAGATATCGCTCTGACGGATGTGGTCGCCTTCGAGATCGTAGATGTGCATCTGTACATCTGCCTTGACGACTGTGATGCCGCTGGAAGACAGAAATCCATAATAGTCGTCGTAGAAACGCTTGATGCTGTCCCCACTGACGACATATACGTCTTCATTGTATAAGCGTCCTTTGGTGAGCTCATACTTTTTAGCAATCTCGCCGTCTGGAGAGATTCCATGCCAATAGCCCAGAAGCGCATGCCACACCGCCACGTGCTTGACGTAGGGAAACTTATTCTTGATAGAGTCGACAGTGAACTTTAGACCGTTGGGGAACTTTTCGTTGGCTTCAAAGGCCAGCAAGCGCCGGTTGGAATCAGTGGGTTGCCATCCGTCATCGATAATGACCAGTCCGACACGAATACCTGCGTCTTCAAGCGACTGGAGAGCGGTCATGATTTTGTCATGAGAGACGTCGATGCCCATTGAATTCCAGGTACAGAATCCCATACAGTCCAGCCACTGTTCATACCAGGTTCCATTGACTGGCCTACTCAAGCCTCCGCTGGTAACTATCGGCTGAACGGTGGGCTCTACAGACTGGTCTGATGACTCGCCCGGCACTGCAGAGTTAAGCAGCTGCGAGGAATACGGTGACAAGGTCTGAACGTTAGATCTTAGAGAGTAAAACGCAGTCTGGACGGCTTGCATCGGATCTCGGCTGACGCCAACAAAAGCAGAAAATGTCTGATGGCCCGATGCGGTGTTGGAGACCTCAAAGAGGATTTTCCCTCCTCCGGACTGCAGGTAAAAGATAAGATGGTTCTGCGGAGATTAGCATGAGTTCGGTCAGATATATCATAAGGATGGAACTCACCTTCAAGTTTGAAAGCGGTAACACGCAAACATTATAGCCATCCTCGCGCTGGAATAAAACCATAAACGACTCCCTGTCGATAAAAAAGTCCTTGGTGCCGTGCCGAGGCCCCATCCAGGAATGCTGGATGCGAACTAAGGACAAGTACCGCTGCATACCGATCGGTTTCCCCAGCGCTGCTCTTGTAGGTTCCGTCAACGACGGTGCAGAGAGACCGCTGACTTTCCAAGCTCTTGAGTTTGGTACCTCGCTGACAAGCTCAGAAGCTTCAAGGTCAGTTGAGATTTCCGAGAACAGGTCATGCAGGTTGGGCGCAGCGTTGCCTCCGTTGCGCCGGGGACGAGATAGCTCGATGACGCCGTTGGTTTCGATGCGGCCACACCATGTCCAGTCTGTATTTTCTTCAAATCTGTATCTGGCAGTGAACTGCAGCGAGGACGCACTGTACGGCGGAACAAAGCTGATCGAGAACTGATGAATGTGATTCTGCTTGCCACTTGCGCCCACCCCCGCGTCAGCCGAGGCCACCGAGCAGAGTCTCAAGGGCTCACGTGCGCGGTTAAGATGTAGAGACGACGCAATCCACTCTTCTTTGTCGTTTGTGCTCCACCAGATCTGGATCTCGAAGGAAGGAGGGAGTTCCTGAAGTTCCGGTGTGGTGACGACGAATGCGTCGAACTCGAGGACGCGCGATTTGGCGTAGGAGACGGAGTTGAGGGGCGGATCGAGAGAGACAGAGATGATTCGATCCATTGTTGCCTAATTATTCACAACAAGTTGTTAAAAGATCATCAATGAGTATATATATTCAGATTCACGACTGATCTGTAGGATGGGATGATCTGAGTGTGGGGTTGGTTGGGAGATGGGAGATAGCAAATTAGTCACGTGGACAAATAGAAGCCATAACTTATTGCGTTTGTGCTCGATCTTCTACATATAGATCAGTTATTTCAAGTAGATATATGGAGACAAAGTAGTGTATTGCTCGTTATAATATAATCGGCATCTGTTGAAAAATGCCATTTCCAGTCATCGTATTCTCATAAATATCCATTTTGTTCCTCATCTTCTTTCTTTTCTCTCTTTTCTCTCTTTTCTGTCGATCTATATGCACTGTTGAAAGCCTATATATACAAATGGATCATGAAGACCCTCACAGCTGTTTTGTCGTTTATTTCGACTTCTTGCCGTCAGCGGCAGCAGCGCGCTCGCGCTCGCGCTTAGCGTAGATCTCACCGGTGAAGGGCCTATGAGTTGAATCAATTAGCAAGACATAACGAGAACAGTAAAAACACAGACGACTTACTCCTCAAACTGCAAAGCAATCAGGTACATGACCAACACGAGACCCGAGAGCACGATTCCAGCCGGCTTGCAATACCACAGCGCGGTGCCGACAAAGGAAAGGAAGGAGCCGTAGTACATGGGGTTGTTGGTGATGTTGAACGGGAAACCGGTGACACGGTCGTCCATGAGAATACCAAAGTAATCACCGAGATAAGTACCGGTGACGCCGAGAGCCCACATACTGCTCAGGACAAGAACGTTGCCGTAGACAAAGAGGAGAACGGCAAGCATCTTGGTGGGCGGGATGTCGAGACGGGCGCAGTACGGCTGGTCGCGGAGAGCGCGCTCGTACCTACGAAGAATAGTTAGAACCAGAAATAGTCAGGTACAGAATGAGGTGTGTTGTGCTTACAGGATATCACGGACGATTCCGAGAGAGAAGATGGTGACGGCGAGAGCGTAGCATCCCTTCTTGGCGCTGCCCGCAATCTTTGTCAATGCGTGCGTGTTGTACTCTGTAGAGTCGACGTTAGTACTTCTCCTCATGATCCAACCAATTGACAAACTTTGGATGAAGAAAGACCTACCAAGACGGGCAACGATGTTCCAGAAAGTGGGATTAAAGAGAATCGAAGCAGCAGAGACTACAAGACGATCGACGTCAGCAACCATCCACATCTCATACCAACGACCAATAGACAAACACACTAAACAAAGACGTCTTTGAGAGATCGATATAAGACATAAAAGCCTCAAAGAACTCGGAAGGAGTTCCCAACTCGCCGATGATTCCGTTCTTGATATCTTCCATGACGATGATGATTTCCTAAACGCACAGCACCGAGTCAGCACATTCAGACGTCGTTTCTATAATTCCTGTCCTGCAATTACACGCAATTGCTCGAGCACTACACATCGCCAACACACAAACATACCGATTTGCACAATTTGTTCACTTCTCGGGATTGTTCGACTGTGGAGGGGCAGAAGCTTCTGCCGAATCGGAAACCTTCGCGAAGAACTCCTCGGTTCGGGTACAAAACACGCGTTGCTTACATTAATTCACGTGAACTCTGCTTCTCCTACGCGTCGACGCGTCTTTGCTGTTGTTTACACTGATTCTGTATCTTCACAGCGCAGAGCAAAGAAGATGACGACAGACAAAACGAGCAGGAAGCGCGCAGTGCTGCATATCCCACACCGACTCCGATCAGGAGCATCATATCCCTCCGTCGTGCACAACATCGTGCCCTGCAAGATCAGCCACGACGGTCCCGCGAATGTAAAAGACTACTTCAAGAAGCGGCGGCTGGCGGCAGAAGCACCCCGCCCCTGTGCTGCTGCTGCGGTTGAGGACGAGCGGAGGAAGGAGAGGGAAGAGGAGGAGCTTTATGAGAGTTATTTCCGCGGACGCAAGTTCGTAGGCCGGAGGATCGCGCTGCGGGAAAAGGGATTCCAAGGCCTCGTCTTGCCGCCGCCGCCGGACGCGGTCTCGCAGCAATTCAGCGAGTTTGACGAGTACACTCGTCCGGGCGATGACATCTACGACGACGACGAGGAAGAAGATGAAAGCGAGATGGAAGAGAAAGAGTTGGAGGCAGAGTGGACCCCGACCAGTGCGTTTCAAGAGATGTACATCTGGGGCCACGATGCTGCGCCTGATCCAAAGCTGAATCCGTGGATCGTCGCCGTCGATGAATGGGCTCGGTTTGCTCAGTCTGTGAGTTCTCTCTTTTTCCTTTCTTTCATCTCTGCTCAGTGCTAATCCGTACTCAGATTCACGATGGCCTCGAGCCGGCATCTGATATCAAGCAGGACTCTACAGTATAAAGAGTGGGGATTGTTATAACATTAAACTAGAATCATACACAACGACCGACTCCTCAAGTTCCACTTCAGAAACCCAAGTCATCCCAGAACATCTCTGGAAAAAAGAAATATGAAACCCATTCGCCAATTAATAAAAAGTAAAAGATAAAAACCTGCCAAAATGCAATTTGTAGAAAGAAGAAAAAAAAGAGAAAAGCTCTATAATCAACTACCGATTACCACTGTCGGTCCCAAAAGATTGCTGCAGCGCCGCTGTGCTGCTGATAATCTCTTCCTCCTGCTCGTCATTAATCGAGACTCCGCCCTCCGCTCTCGCCTCGTCTTGACTAATCTTCCCTTCGCTCGCTGCCTCATCGTCTGTCCCAGAGATCGGTGAATTCAAAGGTGACCGCGCCTGCGCGGCCAGATACGAAGCACCATAGAAAATCCCTGACTCAGAGGTTTCCGGAATCTCTCGCGCACTCTCACTCGCTTCCAATGGTATCTCGGCTGCTGCCTGCGGCTGCTGCTGCATCAGCGCAATCGACTGCGCCACCACCGACGATGTCACCGGTCGCATCAGCACCTCGCTCTCTGTCGCAGCAGGTCTCGTCGTGCGCTTCGCCGCTGCAGCTGCTAATGCCGAAAGCCGTCGACCCACAACCGGAGTCTCGGACGGCGGCACAAAGTTATCCGCATTACTATCATTCCTGATCTCGACCGCATCAACAATAAACCGACGCCCATCCGCAACCGCAGTCTTTAGCGATTCTTCTCCCGCCGCTGCCGTCGATGCCGCCTGATCACCTTTTGCTATCGGACCAGACCTACTCTGCTCGTCCGTAAAACTCGAGCTAAGAACTCCGTCCGCGTCCTCCTCCATCTTCGTGATCCGGCCAACCATCCACTGCCGTCCTTCCAACGCCCGCGCATTCTGCTCCTCATCCCTTAAAAAGCAGTACGGCGCGCCGTCATTGAACGCAGCCCACACGTGGTTCGCATTGTTCACTTTACTGCTCGTCGGCAGAAACAACGCTAAATCACCGGATTTGAACGACTTATACGCAATCTTCTCGCTAGATTCCTTCTTGGCCCGTCGCGCTTTCTCCCGATACAGCCGCGCCATCTTATACCACTTGCGCGCAATAAACTCGGCCTCCTGGATCCGCTTGTGCACCAGCTTTGAAAACGACTGATAGTCAAACTCAATCTCGTTGATAAACCGTTCGTATCGCAGTCCTTCATCCGCTTCTGACCCGCCCGTCCAGTGCAGAGCGTCAATCTCGGGAATAGACAGTTCTGATTCGGCGGATTCGCTCTCTCCACCATTATCCTCGGCTATCCGTTTCTCGCGCTCGGATTCGGGAAGGATCTTGTACAGCGCCTCCTCGAGTGTGTTGCTCTTCAGCACCATCGCCTTCGAGTTTGAATAAACGATTCCCAACTCATTCATAAGCTGGCGCGTATCGCGATAGAACGTATACAGCCGGACCGTGATGTCACGCGAGCGTGCACTTTGCGACTCGTGGCTGGCCTTCAGCTCTGCCAAAGAACACTTGAGAGCAGCCACTTCCTCTCCCAATTCACCCAATCGTCGTTCGGCGTCAGCAAACTGTTCCAAGCGCGATTGAAGCGTACTCTCCACGGTTTCAGGCGACGGCTCCTCATCAGTACTATCTGGCATCATCATCTTCCACAATCGGTTGATCAGTGCTTTATCCTGCGCCATCGTCTCTCGCAGTGATTCGTTCTCCTCTGCAAACTTATTGGTCTTGACTTCAGAATCGGCCAGGCGCGCAAGCACTTCTTGCAGCTCCTTCATCGTGTTCTCGAGTCCTTCGCGATCATATGGCAGCACGCCGTCCTTGTCCTCAGCAGCGTCATCAGACCGCTCAGCATGAGCACGCAGCAACTCCTCAAGCTGCATCGTCCGAGACTTCAAACTAAGCTGTGCGCGCGTAGACTCGCCAAGCTTACTAGCAAGCTGCGTCGATTCATCTCTCTCGGCACGCAACGTCTCCCGCAAATTCCGAATCTCGATATCGAGCTCGGACTTGACTTCCTCGAGATCGCGCTCCCGCTGCTGCTGCTCTTCCAGCGCGCTCTCGAGATTCGCAATCATGCCTTCTTTGTCGACCCGGCTTTCTTCCAGTGTTTCCTCGGCTTCCTCCATCGCGTAGATATGTGCCTTCAACGCCGAGATCTCTTGATTGAGAGATTTACGCTCACGCTGGAATTCGGCTTCTTGCTGAGACAAGTTCGCGAGCAGATCTTGCTTGATAACCTCGATTTCCTGCATATTTCTCTCAGTCTCGTGCATCTGCTTCTTCAACCGCGTCGAGGTCTCCTTCTCAGACTCGAGAGCAGAACGAAGCTGCTGCTGCTCACTCCGCAAATCAGCAACAGCCGCACTAGGATCCTTGCTCGGCTCGACTGACATCCGATCGAGTCGCAATGCACTCCCTCGCTTCCTGCTACTTTCAAATTCAAACGTGGACGCGCGCGGCGACTGCGAAATCGGCGGGGATTTGCGGGGCTGCGGTGGAAGCGGGGTGAGCTGAGAGAATTGCTGTTGAATAGGAATTGGTGATTGGACCCTCTGCTGCTGCTGCGGGGACTGATTGAGAATCCCAGGACTCAGTTGCGGGGAACCATTGACAACCGGAGCAGAGTGATGACGAGAGACAGAAATCGGATGCGCGTTGGTCGCGGCAGTAGGCACCAACCCAAAGTATCCACCACCGCTGCCTGATGGGACAGAAGCTGGGACTCCTTGGGAGGTTTGCACTTGCTGCCTATGCAGCAGATCCTCCAGTCGTCGAACTCTCGATTCATAACTCTTGAGTTTCTCCTGCAGCATCCTGTTTTCCTGCGCTAAGCTTTCGGTAAGCGAGTCCTTCAGCTCAGGCGAGGATTGACGGCTCGAACGCTGCTGGGCAGAGACTACCATGCTACTGCGCATTTGCTCCATGAAGCTCCCGTTCTTGAATAGCTTTTCGCGTCTACGAGACGCGGCCGTGACGCGCTCGTGGTTAGTCCGATCCAGCTCTTTGATCATTTCCTGCAGTTCCGCATGTAGATGCTCAGTTCCCGGAATGTGCTTCAAGGTCTCGATGAACTCGTGCACGTCTTCTCTGGTGACTGATGCGGAAGCGGGCTGCTCATTCACGCCAACGAGGTTTAGCTCGACAGCCAAGATACTAGTGTTTGAGTTCTTGAGACTGTAAATGCTATTGACGCTACTAGCAGGATTAATGCTGTTGTTGAACGTCTGCTGGAAATTCTCAAGACTGCTGCCGAATCTCTTGAGCCATTTCGAGCGGCGCTTCTGCTCGTCTTCTTTCCAGGTCGCAAATTCTTCGGCAACTTCACCAGTGAGGGACTTGATGCGCTGACTCCATTCGGCGCGCTGCACGGATTCGATCAGGAACGAGCCATAGATCAAGGGGAGCTGATCCATTTGCTTCAAAACTGCCAACGATGCCTTGGAAGTTTCGAGTTCGCGCTCGATCGAAGTGAGATCAGGACGGATGGGAGATGCTCGAGACTGTACGACCGATAATGTGTGTAGTTGTCGTAGGGATGCCACTTGAATGGAGGCCTTTCGGCTCTGAGCGTTGCGGTTGAGCTCCCATAGCTCGGCTACGGAGGCGGAGATGTTTGGAAGGTACTCGCGCTGATGTAAAGAGGACAGGCGGGTGATGGAGCGCATGCTAGCGGGCGTGCTCGGCAGATCGGCAATATACTCGGCGTCTACAATAGTCAGTTGAATGTATCTAGAAGCGTAGGTGTATAAGGTGATTACATACCTTTGGTAATTTTGTTGACGATAGCGTGCAAGTCTTCGAGCATGGCCGGGATACCTTCCTGTGGATCATCATCGTTTTCATCGCTGTGATCGTTGTGACCCGAGGCCTGGATATCGCGTCCGAGAACCTCGCTGTCGGTAGCGACCTTGTCAAGCACAAACTTGATGTCCCTGATGCGATCTTGAATGTGCTGATCGTTAAACTCGATATCGTTTTGAATGGCATGGACCTTGTCATGGTCTACCCAGGAGGACAAAGTACCGCCTCCGAAGCAGTCTATTACCGGGAGATGGTCAAGGATCCGCAGCGAAAAATGCCAGTCTGTGGAGTCAAACTCTTGCGAGAGGTTGACGGCAGTTTGGACGACCTCTTTGAAGGAGCGCTCGATGTTTGCCAGGTGCTGACGAAGATGAGCCATGGCGACGCCGACCGAGCGACGGATGACGTCGATTTCGGCAGCGGTGTAGCCGAGAGAGAGTTTCAGCGACTCTGCACGCATGAGCAGTTTCTGCGCCCAGTCTGCGCGGGCTTCAAAGAGGTCGACTAGTTCTGCCTGTGAGGGCTTGACGTTTGTGATGTTGGGGATGGGTTGGGGGTTCAGGGGCAGCAGCGGGTTGGTGAGCGGTGGGGTCGGGCTGGGATGGGCCAGGAGCAGTTTGTCAAAGAGATAGAGCTCGGTCTGGGTTGTTGGTGTCAATATAGAAAGAAGAGAGAAGTAGAAGGCAGGAGGGGAGAAAGGTACCTCTGTTGCTATGTTTGCCATTCTCAGCTGAGTGGCGCGCGCGGTCATCAAGATCTGGTTGTCTGTGGGGATATTGTGCTGCATGGAGACCGCGTTCCTGAGATCGGCCAGACTAGATAGAAGAAACAGAGTCAGTAAGATCACCAGCAAGCCCACTCGTTTATAGAGAAGCTGGGTAAAAAGAGAATCACGCACCTCAGGAAGCGCTCCTGGTTGAGCTCGGTAGTGCGCCCGGTGTGGGCGTTGTATATCCGCAACGGCATGATTGAGTCGGGGTCGCAGAAGACAAGTCAAAGAACAAACAGCAGCAAGAACTGCACTTCCGGGCACCTTTCTGACCAGCAGAAGAAGACACACGTCTGCACAGAGACCGCGGGTAGCTCGCAGGGCGCACTCGGATTGAGCTTGATTGAGGCAATCCGACGGCGCGCCCAACCAACTTGGGTGACGACGAGAGGCTGCTGCGACTGAGGTGTTCTCTCGAGAGGGAACAGTTGCAGTAGCAATAACAGCAACAATAACGACAACGACAACTACTTCAACAACAACTCAACAGAACAAAACAAGCAGGAGACTCGATATCTGGGCGGCCAGGTGAGGAGCGCGCAGCCACAGCCAATCAGCAGCGCCCTAAATCGCGGGGTAAACAAGGTTTCTCCCATCGCCGTCGCGCAGCCGCTGCCCGCACTGAGCACAAACTTTAATCCGCCCGCGCTCGAACTCTGTTGGGAGATTGGGGCTCGTACCCGGCGCGCTTGATTGGCCGCCGCACCGCCAACAATGAACGGAGCATCGGCCACGATAACTGCCGTTCTCATTGTTTTGTATTGTTTTGTTTACATTATTGTTTATACGTTTCTACCACCCGCCGCTCACGTCCTGCTCGTAGACTAACGCAAGCCTGTTGCCCTTCTCCTCACTCAGTCCGCCCTGCCGCGACTCGCCGCCGAAAAACGGCACCACGATCTGGTCCGCAACGCACGCAAACAGACCGTCAACCAGTACCTTCAGATCCTCTCCCGTCTGCCCAAAATCAGGGTACGCATTCACCTCCAGCAGCCGCGTCGTCAGGTCCTCGTCCACCAGGAAATCCAACCCGTAGATCTCAAACGCGTTCGGAATCGGCTGGAAATGAACCCGTCCCAGCCCAACCGCGGCCGCAAACGTCTCGGCCGTCGTGGCCTTGATCTGGTCCCACACTTTCTCCTTGTCGAACCCTTCTAGATCCCAGAACCGGCGCACTGAGCCTTCATCTACTTTGTCGCCTTGCAGACACGTATTCGTCAAGTGGATCTCCAAGTCGGCAATCTCGTCGGGACTGCTGTAGCGTTGCTTGGCAAACAGTGCCAGCATGTCCTTGTATACGTAAACCTTCAGCGCTTGGCTTGCCACAACATATGTTCGGATGTGGAACTTGCGCATCCCGCATGATGGCAGCAGCAGAGGTTTCTCGATATACCTTTGAATCAGAAAATGGCGAATCTGTGAAGTCACAATCCCGTTCCCTTCACTGATACTCTTCGGCTCTCCCTCCTCCTCCTCCTCCTCCTCCTCTTCATCATCGCTCTCCTCAAACGACTCAAAAATCTCCTGCAACTCCTGAAAAGTCTTGAAAATCCGAATTCCCTGTCCCCGATCACTCATGCTCGGCTTCAGAATCCACCAATTCTTCTCCTCCTGCAGCTGATCCCTAAACTCGTAGATGTCGTCCAGCATCTCGTCAAGATACTCGGCATAGTCGAGCTCGAGCTCGTAGGACTCTGGGAAGTTCCGCTTCAGAATAGTGTCGGGGTGTTTGACCGCGTAGTTTGCGATGCTGTGGGCGAGGAAGTTCTTGCGAATCAACGCTTTTCTGCGTACCAACAACAGTCAGCCCCTCTCTTTCTAAACCTGAATACCACCTTGACTCACCTGTATATATACGAGCACGCGAGATACATCTCATCGTCGCCCATCATCCTCTCAAAATTCAAATCCTCATAATCCGCATAATGCAGCACTTTCACCCCAGACCCTTCCTCCAGCACCGGATCGCTCGGATCGGTCTTGATCTCCACTCCCGGCGCTACTTTCTTCAGGTTCGCGACCAGTAACGGGTATATATATGATTCTGGAGGATACGTGATCACGGCTGTAAACTGGGGTAATGACGCGGTCTTTGATTGTGCGTCGCTAGGTGTTCTATGGCACAGACCTCATAATGTAAGAAAATGAACTTCTAAGAGACTTCGAGGTAGGTACAGATATACATGACAAGTTCTATCAAGCCCTTCTATCATCCAATCCCACTACTCGTCCTCTACTCCATATCTTTCTTCTCAAACATCGACATGCAACTTACAACTTCAGTTCTCCGCTAAGCCCAGGTGCGCCTTGGAAATTCGCCTTCAATGGCGAGACACTAAAAAACATCACATTAGTTTACAATCAACCCAAACATCACGATCTATCCATACCTCACGTAGCCCTCGCCGATAGCCCACTTATCAGTCCCCGTCGGCTCATCTGCCGTCGTCCCCGTCACAGCCGCCAGATTCGGCAGCCACTTAAACGTCAACTTGCCATCCTCCTCAGTCGGCTCAAGTCTATCGGTTTGCTCCACAACCGTCCCATCAGCCTGCACCGTAATCGGGTCCTCGACGTACTCAAAAGCCGATCCCCATCTGTTGGCTAGGATATTCGTGTACATGATCTTCACGTCCTCGCGCAGCTCGGGGCCGAGAGGAACGTTAATCGAGAAAAGATCGACGGAGTCGTCTTTCGGCCAGGTCTCGCAGAGATGCTTGATCAATCTAACCGAAACCGAGCACGCGGTGTTGATGTGATCCGCAACATGGTTGCGCGAACTATATGCAAATGACACGCCAATCGCCGGGACTCCGCACTACATCAAATGTTAGCCACCATAGCACACCGCGTCTTTGTATGTGATAAAAGCATACCAGAGCACCCTCCATAGCACCGCCAATAGTGCCGCTCGAGAGGATAAAAACCGCGCTCGAATTGCGTCCATAATTCGGACCAGCAATTACTAGATCAACAGGCCCCTTCTCCTTAAACAGGTGATGAATGCCAACCTGAGCGCAGGAGGCCGGCGTGCCGTCGAGAAGCACCCATTCCTCGCTGCCGTCGTTTTTCTTCTTGTAGTATGGGCCTTCGTAGGGAAGTTCTGGTTCAGCGGCCGGTGTGATGTAGCTATTATCGTTAGTACATGCATATTCTCAGCAATATCGTTTTAACAATAGACATACCTAGCCGTCATAGTCTTTCCCACAAAATGCGCCTTGCCAATCCACGACCTATATACAAGTCAGCCCTTTCCACTCACAAATCAGCTTCGAAACAAAGTAGCTGAAACACACTTCTGGCAATCAGGAAGAGCGACACTGATATCCCAATCTGTCAACTCCCTGAGCTTCTGGATAAAGTAGGCGATATAGGGCGAGTCTTTTCCTGGCGGTCCATCGTCGTTCGTGATCTGCGAGTGTTAGAAATGATATTTAGTATGCTGAAATCAAAAATATAAACTTACAAGAACATGCATCGTGTATAGTCTATATAGTATATATAAGAATGTATAGATCTAGGAATCGAAAGCTGGTGATGTGAGAAGAGGCGGCTGTATGAGTAGTCTTCGGTGTGAATAAATGCAAAAATTGAAAATCAATAAAGTTCTCCACTCCCAACCACTCGACTTCACTTCACCCAAGGAGGAATATTTTGATATTCTATGTTTGCATATTCATACTGTTATTAACTGATTAGTGGATAACAAGAACGGCTTTTTTGTAATTTTCGTAATTTTTGTTTTGTTTATCATACTCCGCTCCAATTCGTGAAAAAGGTGCTGCTCGATTGGGATTATTGACTACAACACCACACATGCTCGCATAACAGTCTCTGCACTTTGATAAATCAACTGTCTCCACTCCAAATCAATAATCAGTAACTGCTCACTTCAATCCATACAACATCATCCAACATAACCCGACATCTCGCGATCTGCTGATATCCGCAACTCAAGACGTCCTCAACTAACTTTCAGCTCATCGCTCCCCCTGAATCCTCTCCCAAAATTTACCTTCACCAAAAAATTCCTCATCTTCACTCATCTCCCCATCTTCACACCACACGATCAGCAAGATCTAGTATGGACCCGACATGGCTCCGAAATCTATGAACCTCAACGGCGCCGCAAAGTCGAAATCGGCCGCACCTTCCGCCGCGGCAACGACTTCGGCTCCGCACAAGACTACCACTGCTAGCAAGGAAAAACACACAGAGCCCACGACGGGGTATATAGTACGGCCGACGGCGCCTACCCCCGGCCTACGCATAAATGCAAACCCTACCGTTTTGAAAGCACATGGCGTGGCCAACGGGGATCTTGTCAAGGTCTGGAAAGCGCTGGACTCGGCTTCGGGCGGTGGGAGCAGCGGCGCCAGCGCTGTAGGTCAGATCTTTACCGAGTCCGAGACGGAGAGTATTGATAGCACCGTGCTGCAGCTGTCGTTCGGATTGAGAGGACTGCTCGGTGTTTTCCTTGGCGATAGGGTACGGCTGGAAAAGTACAGGGGAGCTGTGGGTGAAGCTGATAAGGTTGATATTGCGAGTCAAGAGGGTGACGAAGCGCACGTTGATATCGACGAACAAGCCGTTTTGAAAGTCTTACGTGAGTTAAATCAGCTGAGTTTTTCTAGTATAGTGCTAACAAACCTACAGAGACAATCAAATACGTGTCAAGAAATCAGATCATAACGACAGACACCATCAAATTCCGCATCCTCGAAATCTCCACCCTCGCCATCCCACGAACCCAGTCTCCTCCCCCACAAATCTACAAAGTCTCTCCCAAAACTGAAATATCAGTCCTCACGCTCCCCTCCCCCGCCAGCATCGAAACTGCATCTACACCTTCCTCGTTATTGCATCAAAACACCGGGTATGCCAATTTAGGCGGCCTCGCGCACGAAATCAGTTTGATTAGGAAAACTGTCGACCTGCCACTTCTCAGACCGGAGATTTTCTCTCGCTTTAAAGTCCCCCCGCCACGAGGAATCCTACTCCACGGCCCGTCCGGCACAGGCAAAACATCGCTCCTACGCGCCATCGCGCACGAGACTCCACAAGCACACATTCTCTCTGTCTCTGCTAGTTCGATCTTGGGAAGATATTTAGGCGACAGCGAGGCTGCGCTGACAAAAGTCTTTGACGAGGCGCGGATGTTTGAACCGAGCGTGATCTTGATCGATGAGCTGGATTCGGTCGCGCCGAGGAGGGATAGTGAGAGCGGGACCGAGTCCGAAGCCCGGATCGTGTCGACCTTGGTGTCGCTTTTTGACTCGTTTCTCTCGACATCTGAATCCGACTCTGAAGCAGAGGTTGGGAATCGATGCCGCGTTGTCGTGGTCGCGGCTACTAATCGACTTTCAAACGTCGACCCAGCACTACGAAGACCAGGCCGGTTCGACCGCGAAATCGAGCTGCGCATCCCCGACGCCTCCGCCCGAAACGAGATTCTCTCGATCCAGCTCCGAAACATCCCGCACACGCTAACCACCGCCGAGATCTCTGCGATCGCGTCCAAAACGCACGGTTTCGTCGGCGCAGATATCGCTGCTCTCGTGCGCGAAGCCGTCATGTGCGCTGTCTCGCGCGGAGATAAAGAGAGCGTGCAGGTCGCGGAGATGTTTGTTGATAAATCGGATTTCGACACCGCGATGCTGTCTGTGCGCGCGAGTGCCATGCGGGAGATCTTTCTCGAGACGCCAAAAGTGTATTGGAGCGATATCGGGGGCCAGGAGCTGGTCAAGCAGAAACTGCGCGAGACGGTCGAGTGGCCGCTTGCGCATCCCGAGACATTCAAACGGCTTGGAATCGCTGCTCCGCGCGGAATACTGCTGTACGGACCACCGGGCTGCTCAAAGACGTTGACAGCGAAAGCGCTCGCTACCGAGGCCGGGCTGAATTTCCTGTCCGTCAAGGGCCCCGAGATTTTCAACAAGTACGTGGGCGAATCAGAGAAAGCTATTCGGGAGATTTTTAGAAAAGCGCGGAACGCGAGCCCGAGTATCATTTTCTTTGACGAGATCGATGCGATTTCGGCCGCGCGCGGACATGCGGAAGTGGGCGGCGATCGGGTGTTGACCAGTTTACTGACTGAGATGGATGGCGTGGAGAGTATGGGTAACGTGATGGTTTTGGCGGCCACGAATCGGCCTGAGATTATCGACGACGCGCTATTGCGGCCGGGACGAATCGATCGGATGATGTACGTCGGTCCGCCTGATCTGGACGCGCGCAAGAAGATTCTTGAAGTGCGGTTTAGAAAGATGAGTATAGCGGACGACGTGTCGATCGAGCATCTGGCGGAGAAAACGGACGGGTGCTCGGGTGCGGAACTCACGTCGCTCTGTCAGGAGGCGGGATTACAGGCTATGAACGAGGATATCGAGAGCACGAGCATTGCAGGGCGACATTTCGAGAAGGCGCTCGAGGGGCTTAATCGGTCGATTTCGAAGGAGATGATTGAGTTTTACGAGAGTTTTAAGGCGGGAATTAGTCGTGCTTAGTCGTGCTTAGTACTGGTGTAAATATATATTGGCGGATACTAAAAGCCTTCTAAGAATACAGAAATGGCTATAGCATAGAGCGCCAAATCTCCTAATCATACGGCCTAAGGCAGTCGAGTGCGGGTTTGCGCGATCGGACAGTCAGAGAGACTCCACTGCGTCTTCATCGAAACAAACGCTGTGCTGATTGCTACCACCGGATCGATTTTCGACTGGTCGATGAGTAACTCGTAGTTTATCTGTCCCCGCCGCAGAGGTTTCGCTTTCCCCACCACTTCTCTGATCTCGTCGGACTTGCCGCGCCAGTTAACCACCCGCTCTAACCGTCTCGTAGTCGCCGCCCAATGATACGGCGCACCGTCCGCGGCGTAGAAGACGTTGTAGGTGTCGAACATTGTTGATTTCCTGCGGATCTTGCGGCGGCGCATCTCGTCCGGTCCGTCGTGGAACTCGATGACGTGGCCGCGCGCGTTGGGACCCCAGGTCTTGACCTTTGTGCGGAAGCGGATGGTGGCGAGGAGGTCGCGCGAGGGGTAGGAGTACAGCATCCAGACGCCGGATTGGTGGCGCTCGAAGGTGTAGAGGAGATCGTTTGAGCGCGAGAGCACGTTGTAGACGTGGTCGCGTTGCCACCAAGGGCGGTCTGTGCTGTGGGGAGGAGGTGGTGTTGCTGATGCAGATTGCGGAGAGCTGCGGAATGGTAGGAGGCTGCGGAAGCGGGCGCGGAGCCGGAGCCGGTAGTTGTCCAGGTGACGGGAATACAGAAACCGCGGATGGTGGTCTACAGGGTCGAGGTCTGCAGAAGAAGGACTGTCAGCGGGCAAAGGCACAGGTTCGACAGGTTGCAGATCCGCCAGGCGCTGAGGCTCGCTCGAGCGGACGAGTTGGTCAGGGAGCTCGAGGTTGGAGGGTATGCGGATGGTGTCGAGCGAGCGCATGACGTAGTACGCGGTCACGGACGCGAGATCGAGGTCGCGGCGCTGGGGCTCTTTCTTGCGGGACGAGCGGACGGTGGAGTAGATTTTGCTGGCGGCGGCGAAGGCGGAGATGCCTGCGCCTGCTATGCTGAGGCCGGATTCGAGGGCTGCGAGGTCTACGGCGACGAGGGAGGCGGCGAGGAACATCACAAGCAGAGCAGCGAACAGAAGAGTATCAGAAGAGTATCAGAAGAGTATCAGAAGAGTATCGGAAGACAGATGCGAACAGTGAACAGCGAACAGCAACGATCTGAGAGTAGAAAGAGCAGTCAACAGCTAAATATACAAGACAGCGATAAGATTCAAGATGTTATCCGATAACAGATAAACTTGCTTCCTCCGGCCGATATCAGAAAAGTAAACAAATCAGATATCCAAATCGGGGAGGATTCGAAGTTTGTTTTGATCCCGGCGAACGCCGACACGAAATCCTCGAGGCCGTCGGCGCAACGCGTCCTGACCTCCGCCAACCTTAAAATTCGGGGTCCTTTTAACTACTTCGCCGTCCTCGCTCTGCTTTATCTCTGTTTGTTGATACATTGATACAGTAATTATTAGACAGCAATAACAGCAAAATGGTTTCTATTCTCGACCAGGCCGTGTTCGACGAGCAGGTCCGCACAAAGTTCTCTGGTGTGTACTCTTCCCTCGTCGAGATATCAGCTATCAGTACTAACTAATGCTTTCTAGATGTCATTGGCTCGAAGCTGGGCGGCAAGGTGATCTCCTTCTCTGACGAGTTCTTCGCCGAGGCCTCGAATCTTCTGGCTCCGAAGGCTCCTATCCGCGACAAGACCCGGTACACCTACCAGGGTGCCTGGTACGATGGGTGAGTTCCTTCCTATTCCTATCATCTCTGGAACACTCTCTAACAATACGACAGATGGGAGACCCGACGACACAACCCCGAGCCTGCCGACTGGGTCGTGATCAAGGTGGGCGTTGACTCTGCCCGCTTGATTGGCTGCGAGATCGATACCGCGTTCTTCAACGGCAACCAGGCGCCTGCTATCAGCGTCGAGGGCACTTTCCTCGCCGACGACGCTGTTCCTGATAAGGATACCAAGGTGCGTATACATCCCTATCATCTAGAGTGCGCATAAAGTCTAACAAGAGCGTAGTGGACGACTGTTATCGAGAAAACCGAGTGCCTGCCCTCGCAGCGCCACTTCTTTGTCCGCAAAGCCGGTCTCACGACCGAGAACTACAACTACGTGCGTCTCAACATGTACCCCGACGGCGGCATTGCGCGCTTCAGACTCTACGGAACGCCCGTGCCCGTCTTCCCCGAGGCGCTCTCGACCGTCCTCGACCTCGCCTCGGTCTCGCACGGCGGCGTGGCCATCAAGTGTTCGGACGAGCACTTTGGCACCACAGATAACCTCCTCCTGCCCGGCCGCGGCATCGACATGTCCGACGGCTGGGAGACCACCCGCTCGCGCGTCCCCGGCTACGAGGACTGGGTTGTCGTGCGTCTGGGCGCGCGCGGCGTGATCGACAAGGTAGTCGTCGACACTGCTTTTTTCCGCGGCAACTTCCCCGACCGGATCCGCGTCGAGGCGATCGATGCGGCAGACGACACTGCGGCGCTCGCGGCCGCGAAGGACAACTGGACCGTCGTTGTTCCCGAGCAGAAGGCAAAGCCGGACTTTGAGCACGAGTGCGCGGTCGAAGGCGAGACCGCGTACACGCACGTCAAGCTCTCGATGATCCCGGACGGTGGATGCAAGCGGTTACGCGTGTTTGCCCGTCGTGTTTTGTGATTTGCGCCGCTCGTTATGTTTACGACAGTAATGACCTAATTCACTAATGCTATGAGATGTTATAGATCTAATAAATGATACATAATATACAATTAAACTATGCGCCTGTATGCAATTACTCCTCCTCCTCCTCCTCATCCTCGTCGATCTCGATGGCCTGAGCGTTGCCGAAAAAGTCAGTGATGGGAACTTGTGAGAGATTCCTTCGATAGAGATCAGACCGCAAGCCCGCGTGCGAATGGATCTCTGCCGGATCATAAGAATCAAAGAGGTCCTGCAGCGTGAGCGTGGACCCCTTCTCGACCTTTTCCAAAAACTCAAGATTATAGTACGTGAACCGGTCGATGACGGCGACGCCGACGTCCGAGTCTGCGTGGTGCGAGTACGAGGACTCGTCGAGCTCGGACGAGCCGACGGCGACGACGTTGGGCGAGTAGAATTTGCTGTACATGGTGTTTGCCTGGCATGTGTCGATCATGAAGAAGATCTCTTTATACCGCTTTGTCTCCCACATCTGCGCGATCGCGTCGGCAATGTCAAAGGCCGAGATCTCCTCTGCGTCCTGGAACTTGAGGAACTCGTTGCCGCCGTGGCCGGTCATGTAGATGAAGATGTTTGAGTTTTCGTCCGTGAGCAGGCGCTTCGAGCGAGGGGTGACTGCCGGATCGACTTTGTCGGTCAGCACCCGGACAAAGGCCTCGACAGTGACCTCGTAGCCGCGGTAGTCGACCTCGATGTTGTTGGAGTAGAGGTCGAGCGCGCGGTCGGCGTTGTTGTAGACGGTGCCGGGGAACGCGTTGCGCGGGTTGCAGGCCACGTCGTCGGCGAGCATGAGGATGATTTGCGAGTCCGGGATGCCGAGCCGCTTGACGGTGCGGTACATGCTCAGCACGTTCGCCAGGTGTCTGTAGTTGAACCAGAACCGCGAGGTTGAGACGAGAACGGCCCAGTTGTTTGTGTGGTTCGAGGCCGGGCGCGCGGCCAGCTGGTCGGTTAGGTACTGCTGCAGCTGTTCGTCGGGGATTGCAGAGTCGTCTGCGTTGACTAGCAAAAGAGCTGCTAGCAGTATTATGCTGTATAATATCCTCATCCTCATCTCTGCTGTGTAGTTGGTGATGGTGATGATCTTGAGGATTACCAACCGCTGAACACTGTTTTGATAGTAGTCACGTGTCATTTATTTTATACACGTGATGCCAACTGACACCGCCGAGTCGCCTTCGATATTCCCATTGCAACATTTGATCAAGTATCTACTTCAAGCTTGAGGATACCGATACTCACTGCACCTGTCTGTTTTTGAGCAGGGCATACACAGCACAAGAACGGTACAAGCAGCAGCTTGAACGAGAGGCAAAAACAGCATACACACCATGGCTCTTGCAGGAGACCCAGGGAAATCAGGCAGCGGGGGCGAGAACGATTTGATTCCGCTGCCGATTAAAAGGTCGCTGAAGTACATGTCTGCCGTGACAAAGTGTTCTTCTACCGTGAGTTGTCTTTGTTTTTGTTTGTCCTAGTTCAAAGAAGGAGGAAGTTGCTAATGGTGAAACAGTCCTCGTCAGCGATTAGTTGTCTAGTACAGTCCGGTCTTCCATATTTCTCAGTCGACCCGTTCACATGCATGGAGAAACTCGTCGTCGTAGGCGAATGCATGCGGAAAGAGATGGGCCGGGAGTCCGGTTCCGGCACCGGATCTGGCTCCAGCTCGCTCTAATTGGAATATGAATTTTGAACAAGACGAAAAGAAAGAAAAGCACATGAACAGGTCGGTCAGGTCGAGGTAATAGAAATAATTGCTGTATTTTTTTGTTTTATGTTAGGAGTTTAGTTATGCTTTGTTTGTTTGTTTGATTGGCATGATATGATAAAAGAGATCGGTCGTATTTATGTACGTTAATGAATACATCTAATTCAAAGTATCTATACCGAGAACTCCAGCCGTGACAAAGCTAGTACAAGAGAACAAGAGAAAATGACCAAGATAGCAGAGAGTTGCAAGACAAGTAGAAAAAAGACAAAATAATCAAAAATAGCAGAGGAGAATGACAAGCATAAAAAAAGACATAGAAAGACAGATAAAAAGAATCAGAACTCGGTGCCGGCGACGAGACGGCCGTTGATCCAAAACTTGGTGAGGTTGCGGTCGTCGCCGTTAAACAACCACTTTGCGACCAAATCCTCGTGCTTGCCGCGCTCCCAATCAAAGATATCGACCGGGGAGTTCTTGTTATCGAGCGCGACAAGCTGGGCGTCCCATTTCTTGCCGACGACAAAATTGCCGACTTTGGAGTCGAGGCCGCAGACTTCCGCGCCGCCGAGGGTGGAGAGGTAGAGCACCTCGTCGATGGAGAGCTTGTGGGTTTCTTCGCCCTTCATTGCCAGATGGCGCGAGACCAGCAGGGCCTGGCGCGCGGTGTGCAGGATCGAGGGCGTGAATCCTCCCGAGACGTCAGTGCCGAGGCCGACTTTGACGCCGGCGTCGAGCAGCCATTTGACGCGGGTCTCGCCCGAGGTGAGCGCGGAGTTTGAAGCCGGGCAGTGGGCGACGCCGCAGCCGCGCTTGGCGACGAGATCGCGCTCGTCGTCCGAGAGGTGGACGGCGTGGGCGAGGATGGTGCGGTTGGTGAGCAGGCCGAAGGTGTCGTAGACGCCGGCGTAGGAGTCTGCGTACGGGTGCAGCTTGAGGGTGGTCTCGATCTCGAGCTTGTTTTCCGAGATGTGCGTCTGCACGGGGAGGTGTTCTTCGGCGGCGACTTGTCCGAGCCAGGCCATGAGCTCGCGGGAGCAGGAGATGGCGAAGCGCGGGGTGAGGATCGGGGACACGGTCTCGAACGCCGGATCGATCTTGCGGACGTGGGCGATGACTGCGCGCGTGGCGTCCTGGGCGGCCTCGAGAGACTCGTCGCAGTAGTAGTCCGGCGAGTTTGCGTCCATGCAGCAGCGGCCGATGAACGCGCGCTGGCCAGCCTCGAGCGCGAGGTCGGCGAGGATGGAGGTGCCTTCGACGTGCACGGTCGCGTAGTAGGCGGCGGTGGAGGTGCCGTGGCCGAGGGTGCGGGCGATGACGCGGGAGTAGATTGATTTGGCGACCGCGGGGTCCTTGAACGAGGACTCGAGCGGGAAGGTGTAGGTGTTGAGCCAGTCGAGCAGGGTGGTTTTGCCAAAGAGCCCGACGTTGGGGTACTGCGATGCGTGGATGTGGGTGTCGACGAAACCAGGGAAGAAGAACGAGGTGGCCTGGTCGACGGGCGCGACGACGGAGTACTCGCCCTCAGCCCAGCCGTGTTTCTTCGCGGCCTCGTCCGCGGCGGTGTTGTGCTCGACAAAGACGATCGTTCCCTCGCTGTCGACGCCGACCGCGGCCTCGACGATCTCGAGCTCGGTCTGGCTGAGGGAGTGCACGATGGTGCCAAAGTAGACGGTGCTCATTGTTGTGGATGGTGTTTATGCAGCACTTGATCGAAACCGAGTAAAACGAACAGGAACAAGAACAGCGTCCTTCTCTTCTTCTTATCTTTTTTCTTCTTCTTCTTCTTCTTCTTCTTCCTCCGGCGGTGAACTATCTCAACTCCCTCCGCAACAGCGGCCAACGCCGCAGCGTAGGCCTTCTCCGACACCTTAATGAGCCGCATGCACGTGACACTCTCTACTAAAGAGGAAGACCTAACCCGGGGCCGGCGGGGCGCGGTTAGGGTTTGAGCCGAGCTGCAGCCAGAAATTCTCGGTTGCTCGGTCGCGTCGGGCAGCGCGTCGTTTGTTTACCCTTTGTCTCTTCTTCTTTCTTCTGTAGAGGATATTGTTTGGATATAATAGTGATAAGAACAATGGCGTCCTCTCTCTCGCCATCATCGCCCTTTGCTCTGCCCGAGCAGTTCGACAAGGCGTTGCGCGTGTACTATGTCGCCTTTGTCGAGTTCGTCGACTACCGCCCGGACGCATACCAACCGCCTCCCTCCCCGCGGCAGGCCAAATCGCGCGACCGCCTGCGCCGAATGCCGCGCGTGCCGTTCGCGGAGCTGTCGACAGATGTCTACGACGAACTGCGTCGGCGGCAGCAGTTTGATGCGCGGCCGGACACGACGCCGGACAAGCTGCCTGCGAACGAGGGGTTTCATCCGAAGCGGAATCAGACGCGGAGTCATCTTGCCGTGCTGCAGCAGGCGCGGTTTAAGGATTTGGTGATGGATGTGCTGGCGGAGGTGATTAGACGGTCGCCGGGGCTGACTGATGCGAGCGAGCTTAATCTGCCTGGAAACGAGACGCCGCCGTCGATTTCGGTGCCGGTGATGGACAAGCCGCCTGCGCCGCGGACGATTACTACGACCACGAATGCCTCTGCGCCATACCAGGAACGCCAGGAGATCGGGATGGTAGATGAGAGATTACCAGTCGCGCGCACGTTGCATACCGCGACACTGGTGCCGGAGAAATCAACGATGGTTGAGAAATCGGATGATTCAGATGATTCGGAGGATGACGGCGGATCGTCTACCGCCTCGCCGCAGCGATCGCCGCGTAAGATCCTCGAGCCGCTGCGTGCCGCTCCACCTGCTCCTGTCCTCCAGGTTGAACCAGCGCGGTCGCCTGCCGAGCCCTTACGGTCGCCTATGGAGATCCAGATGCAGCAGCAGCAGTCGCAGCAGGTGCCGCAGCTGCCTCCTGCGCGGTCGATGGAGTCACCACAGTCACCGTCGCAAACGTCCCCACGAAACCCGCAGCGCGACATTTTTGCGCAATTGCAGGAGAAATACAGTTCACTGGAGGAGAAAGCGTACGAGATGGAGACGGAGATCACGACGTTGCGGGTGAATTTGGTGGAGAAGGATAAGCAGCTCGAGTTGCTTTCTGGGACGGTGGAGGATAAGGGTAGTGAGGAGAAGATACGAGAGTTGGAGGAGGAGCTGTTTAGGACGCGGGCGGCGAATAAGAAGATGACGATTGAGGTCCAGTTGATGGAGACTGATCTGGATAAGTTTAAGGAGGAGAGGAAGAAGTATGCGACGACGAGGGAGGTGGTTGGGTTGGACGAGCATGAGAGCCTACAAGCTAAGCTGCAGAACCAGAGTCAGGTGTGTTTTTTTTTTTTTTTTTATGACTGAGTGTATTTTTGAGTGTTTGCTAATAGCTATAGGTGATTGAGGAGGTGCGGGCCGAGACGGTGCAGCTAATTTCAAAACTGCGAGAACTGACTGAAGCCGACAAAGCATGGCGAACGCGAGTCGAGCGACTGGGCCAGCAAGTGAAAGCACTTGAGGTCGAGAACACAAGACTACGAACGCAGCAGAGCGAGAGCGCTCAAGTGGTGCTGAACGGGCGCGAGAGTGCGTCGCTGCGGTCGAGCGCGGGTGGGTTTCAGAAGGCGGTGATGGCGCCCGGGGGAGCGGTTGAGCAGAAGAGTTTCGCGACCTTTCAGATGTATGTGGATGAGGTGCTGCGGTTGGCGCCGTACGTCGGAGCCGCGGAGGAGGATGACGAGCAGGTCAAGACGAGGTTTGTGGACGCGGTGCGCATGCTCGTCGGGGCAGCCAGACAGGTTTCCGGGGACGATGAAACCCCGCTGCGCACGGTGGCCACGAACCAGCAGTCGTCGGCCACTACGAAGCTGAAGCTGAAGACGCGGATCACGGCAGCGTGCAATAATGTAGCGGTTGCGGCGAAGATGCAGTGCGTGAGCGCAGGCCTGGCGCCAGTGTCGGTGCTGGATGCGGCGGTGGCGGGACTTGTGAGCAGCGTGGTGGAGTTGGTGCGGGTCGTGAAGATCAGAGGATGATGTATTGTTTTGATACTGATGAACTAGAAATGATTATTGTACGATAATAACACGGTTTACTACTTCTATTTCTGTATGTGAGGTGGTGAGAGGACGCGTTGCGACGCGTTGTGCGGCTGCGACGCGTGCGAGGGCGGCGAATTAGAGTTTCGCGTACCTGCGTCGGAAAAGTAAATTGGGCGAGGATGAGACCCCCTCGACTCCGGCCGCGACTCCTTCATCTCCTTGATTCGAGGTGATATATAAGAGAGGGTCTGCTGTGCTGCTGCTGTTTGAGAGAAGGATAGAGATTGTCTGGAAGTACTGCAGAACGAAATGAATCAATACCTTGTGTCTGCTATATGTCTGTTATCAGTCCTTCGGCCGTGTCTGGCGCACTCTTGGGTATGTTCACTAATCTATAAGTATGAGAGAAGATGCTAACAGCTGCAGATTGATATTCTCTATGCGACTGACCCCGATACTGGAACAATCAGGTCTACCGGCTACATCCGCAACTACCGTGAGTCTTCTCCGTTGTCTCCTCGAGTTTTATAAGGAGTACACTGACAAAAGCAGAGGGCCACATCGACCTGGACGAAACCTACCACCTCCTCGACCCGACCGCCGCTTCGGCAGTCTGCGCCTCGAACCAGCAGACCGCGACATACTCCTCCGAATACCCGATGCTGACCGCCCGTCCCGGCGACAACATCACCGCGCACTACGAAGAGAACGGACATGTGACGCTGGACTCGCTCGCACCGGATTACAAGCCTCATCCGGGCTACTACGCGTGGCTGTGGACGGGCGAGCCGGGTACCGAGCTGACGACCGTGGGCGAGATGTTAGAAGTCGATAACGTGCTGGCTGGACCGTTTACGTTCGACGACGGCAAGTGCGCTGTCGCGGAGGGCAATCCGTTTGGCGCGGGCCGCACCGTGCAGCCGTGCGTGGCGACGTTCTGGCTGCCGTATGGATTAGTTTCGGGGACGTATAGTCTGGTGTGGGCGTGGCATTTTCCCAAGATCCCGGCGTGCGAGACGGGGGCTACGTTGGAGTTTTATACGTCGTGTTTGGATATCTACGTTGATAATTCGTGATGTTGTGTGTACTTTTTCATCCTGGCGTCGGTTTGGTTTATCTAATTGCTTATAATATAATACATCTGCTCTACTATAAGTATACAACTTCTCATACCATATTACACCTACTCCACCTACAAACATACAACTATCAGATATAATCTCTGCTATATGACGTGGCGATCACGTGCGGTATTTCCCAAACAGGCAACGAAGCGCAAAGCTGCGACACGCGCGCGCTTACGGATTTGAACAACAAACTGTTTTGCTGGTGCTGTTGTTGTTGTTGTTGTTGCTGTTGCTGTTATTGCTCTTCTTGTTCTGTTTCTGTTATATCTGCTTCTTCTTCTTCTTCTCTTCTTCTCTTCTTCGTCTTCATATTCATCAGCTTCTTGACATGTCCTCGGCTCCGAAACCAGATACCCACAACCCGCCCCACACCCTCAACTACGCAGCTTCCTACTACGCAGCTCCTCAACTTCCTCCAACACCTCCGTCCGCAGTAGACAAGGTCCCTTCCCAGCTCCTCCTCGACGCACCTCCAAAGGCACCTCTGAAGACACCCCTAAAGACACCACCACCACCTCCTCCTCCGTTTGCGGCTGCAACCACAGCTGAAAACACAAAAGACACGCAAGATGAGCCAGCTCCTTCCCACAACTCCATCTTCTCCCACAAACCAGACATCACCTTCGCCGACCTCTCGCTGACCGCGCGCGACGCACAGAGAAACCTCGACAATGATCTCAGCCGGACCGGGCGCGTCGGCCGTCTCGTGCGGAGCGCCGCCTCTGCGCCCGTGGCGTCAACATCAAGAGCTACAACCGTCAGCATCGCGCTCAAACCCGCAAAGACAAAGTCGCTGCCGGTCGCGTTCGACTACGCCGACGACGGGAGGGACTACGAGCGCTCGGAGGAGGAGCTGATTGAGCGGGAGTGCGTGTACGTCAGACGGTGCTTCAACTGCTTCAAGCCGTGGCGGGGTGAGAGTGCGATCTGTAATTCCTGTATGATAAGATGAGCTCTGGTTTTGTGGAGTGTGAGGGCGAGGGCTAACTAACTATCTATTCATAGGCACACCGAAACCGATTGAGATTCCGTGGCCGTGGGTGATCAGGTCGCGACAGATCCACGAGGCGCAGGTTGCTCGCGCACGCCATATTCGGAAGATGACTGGGCATTTGCCGTAGGTTGGATATGTTTGAGACTGTATTGATGTTGCTGTATTGTTAGTTGCTGTATTGATAGTCGCTGTATAGTATAACGTTGCTATGATCTTGCCTTAACCTTGATACTGCGTCAGTGTGCGCTGTGGTGATAAGCCCTGCTTTCACATATGTGATGTCCTCCTCTACTCTCTTCCTCTTCCTCTTCTACCCTTTCACCTTAACATACTCTTCCCTTCTCTCTACTCTCCTCTATTCATCAACACATCTACTATTCTCTCTCTAACAGAAGATCATTACCTAATCCCTTACACATGCCGCCGCACGAATAAAGTTCTGACTCCCTGGCTGGTTTTTCACGTTCACGGCGCGTGGCCGAAGCTCAGCAAATACGCATTTGCCATCGACGCAGCGCTGCGAATACCGAATCTCCACCTCGAATCTAGAAGAAATATAAAAAGGCAAAAACATGGCATCTTCAGCCGTTGCTTCAGGCAAAGGCGCAGATACAGCGGCACGGACGCGCGCAGCAAAGACGAACGGGGATGCGGCGACCCTGCAAGTTCCCGGGACCTCCTCCAACCTCGCAAACGGGAACGGGAACGGAAAGACCGCATCAGCGGCCGACATCGCGTTGACCCCCCGGTCACGGTCGCCGGTCGGGCTGATATCGTATCATGAGCGGTACCGGTATTTTATCCACAAGCACGAGATTCCGCGCAAAGTGCTGCATGTCTCTATCGGCTTCCTCACGCTCGCGCTGTACTCGCGCGGCGTGCAGCTGTCGTCGGTGACGCCGGTGCTGGTCGCGTTGTTGGCGATCATTGTCTCGTTGGATGTCTTGCGGTTCAAGTCGAAGGAGTTTAGTGTGTTTTATATCAAGGCGTTTGGGTTCCTTATGAGAGAAAGTGAGGTCGACCAGTGGAACGGCATTGTCTACTACCTCCTCGGACTCATCATCGTCTTTCTCTTCTTCCCGAAGGTACCTTATCCATATCCCTATTGCTCTTTTAACTATTCATATATACTAACAGCACCAGGACATCTCCATCCTCGCCGTCCTCCTCCTCTCCTGGTCCGACACCGCCGCCTCCTCCTTCGGCCGCGCATACGGCCACCTGACCCCCAAACTCTTCCGCAACAAATCCCTCGCGGGCTCGTTCGCGGCCTTCTGCTCCGGCGTCTTTGCATGCTACCTGCTCTACGGCGTGATTTTCCCGCGCACGCCCGAGCTGATTGCCTCAGACGTGCTCGCCTGGCGACCGCACACTTCCAAGCTCGATCTTACCGCGCTCTGTGTCTTGAGCGGGTTTATCGGTGCTGCGGCGGAGGCGATTGATTTCTGGGGACTCGATGATAATCTTACGATTCCGGTTATCTCGGCGGTGTTCTTGAGCGCCGTCATGCGCTTCTTTCGATTAGATTGAGCGCAGTATATATCACAGTGATGTATTAATGACATATAGACTCTCATTCTTGCTGTTCTTCGTCTCGAAGAGAGCTACTCCTCCTCCTCCTCCTCTTATTTCCCTCTCTCTTCCCGCTACTCCAGCTCGCGTTTTATGTTCTCTAATAGAACCCCCCCCCCCCCCCGAGCTCACAGCACCTTCTTCACTACTTCTATTTCCTTCTTTCTATATTTGTCATTTGTGGGGTGTTGAGATTGGATGGACCGATGTACGATAGTTTCACTTTTCATGTTTTTTCTGTGTCTGCTTCTGTGTTTTTGTGCTATTTTATGACATCAAATCACTTGTATTTGATTTACTTTGTCGATGACTTTCTTCTTTCTTAATTCGTCTTGCTTTGTTTAGTTCAATCTGGGTTTAATGCATCATCTATTCACGTTACTCCTGCTTTTGATTAAATGAAGATTTCTCTAATGAAGATAGAGTATAGAGAGATTAGATTATTAGAGTAAAGAATAATCAGACGTCTCGCTAAAAATGTGCATCACAACCGCATAAAACTACATACACTACACTACACCTCCCTCCAGCTCATCTCCTTCTTCTCCACCCTTGGCGTCTCGATCCTCGCCGCGTCCCCGAACGGATCATCTTCAACCTCATCCTCGTCCTTGATCGCCATCTTCGCTTTAAACTCCGACAGCAGCGGACTCTTCACCGGAATCGGCGGCGGCCGTCGCTTATGCGCCAACTGCTCCGCCGTGGGGACATGTCCGCCCGCCGACGGCGTTCGCGAGTGCGATGATCTTGAAGAGGAGGAGGAGGCGTGCGCGGAGGCCGAGCGGCGGGTGGTTGTCGCGTTCTTGGATGTGCGGGCAAGATCGCGCTCGAGCTCGTCTTCTTCCGACTCGCTGTCGTACTCCTCCGAGTCCGAGTCCTCGTCGATCGGCTGGCTCATCTTATCATACAACTGCAGCGCGGCGACGAGTTCCTCGTTGGCGTGGATAAGCGAGCCGATGTAATCCTCAGACTCGATGTGCTGGATGAACCGCAAAACAAGCCGGCGCAACTTGCGACATTTGTTGAAGCACTCGGTCGCGCGGATATTGTCCGTCGACAGCTCCTTCTCGCGGTTCACGAGCTTCAGTGCGTTCTGCAAGTTCGTGGCTTCAGTGCCTGCTTCCGCGAGCGTGCGCATCAGCAGCGGTTTTTCTTTCTGTAAATCAAACGTCGGGCGTTTGGACCCGCGCGGGGTACTACCCGCCGCCGTGCTCGACACGCGCGAGGTCGAGGCGGAGGTCTTTGACTTGCGCGGGGCGGGCGACGAGGGCCGACTTGAGCGGCCTGTTCGTTCGGATCTGGTGCTTGGACCTGCCGCGCCCGAGCTCGCTCTCGGCCGGGTTGGTTTCGGCGGTGGCGCGTCGTCGTCGTCGTCGTCCTCAGCATTACCGTCGTCGTCGTCCTCGTCGTCGTCCATGTCATCGTCCATATCGACGAACCGCGGCTGGCGCTTTGCGGGCGCGCGTTTCCGCTGCGGGAGTTGCTTGTAGAGCATGCAGAGCTGGTGCATGCCTTGCACGTCTTTGTACTTGCTTGCCCATTTGAGGAACAGCTGGCTTAGTTTTTTCTTGACTTTGATGTCGGTGAAGTTGTCTGTTGCCAGAATGCGCATGCGCTCGAGGAGAGGTTCGTCGGCGAAGGAGGCTGCGGAGGTTAGCTGGGGTGTAGTCAAGAGTGAGAGGATATGTACCTTGGAATCGTTTGCTCCCGTTCTCAATCAGCGCGTCCATGAGCTAGACGATGTTAGCACTGTAGAAGTAGTATGAGAACAGCATAAACGTACAGTCAGAGCGCGGAGCTGGTTGTGAACTGTTCCGTATTTGAGCTTTTTGCGCAGCGCCCGCGCAGCTTCGGTAGGTCTACATCCTCACTAATCAGCACAACACTCTCTGCAATACACAAACTACTCTTCAAACAAAAGCAGATACACACCCGGTCGGACTCAGCCTGATGGTCTCGATGAGATCAAATACGCCAGCGACATCGTCCTCTTCAAAGTCCTCGGTGACGAGCCGGTCGATGGTGACTGTGATCGCGGTGTACGGGTGGTCTGTGAGGAAGCCCATTCTGGTGAGTTGAGTCGCTCCGCACGCGGCAGGTCTACGAGCACGGAATCCTGTGAGGTCGAAGGGGGGAGTGTATAAAAGAGGTGAAGAAGGCAGTGGCAGAGAACTATCGAGATCATCTCGGCGCGGTGTTTTGTTGCTTCTTATCGGCGTGCGTGGTGTGTTGTGGGTGAATAAACGCGGGTGAATAGTGGGAAGAACACAGGTATGATCATATCCAAAATAGCGCACTCGAGTACACCCCGCCATCCCCTCCTTCGACCTCTTTCTCGCAGTATTTTTCTATATTCGATCTAATTGAGTCCCGATCTGCTATTCTCAACAATAAACATGTTAAAAAACAGACATTCACCGCAAACCGCAGCCGACGGTCGAAATCTGGGCTCCGGAACCTGTGCGGCTCTGTGGGGTCGCCCGGGTTTTAACCCACCGCCGGCTTCTCCAGATATAAACCGTCCTCCTCCCTTCTCTTCCTCTTCTTCCTCTCTTCTTCTCTACCTACTCCGCTTCTACTTCACCATGCTCACAAAAGTAGCCCCCACCGTCCGCCAGCGCGCGACCTCGCTCCTCCGCACGATCCAGAACCACTCCGGCGCATGTCCCTGCCACGCCTGCCAATCCGGCCACTTCGGCAGCGCGCTCGACGCCGTCCGCAAGCTCGCCTCCGCCCCGCCCCAGAAGGAGTACGCGTTCGAGCTCGCGGCGAGTAACATTCGCTATGGAAACGGCGTCACGCGCGAGGTCGGCATGGACTTTAAGAACTTGGGGGCAAAGAAGGTTGCTGTGTTTACCGATAAGACTGTATGTCCCCTCATTCCTTAATCGGGTAATTTCGCAGGACTGATCCTCACATCCTCCAGATCCTCAATCTCGACCCGATGAAGAACGCAATCGCTGCTCTGGAAGCCGAGGGCGTCCAGTACGAAATCTACAGCGATGTCCGTGTCGAGCCCAAGGATGGCGCGTAAGTCTCTCCCCTTCTCTCTCGCTCTCTCTTCGAGTATTGACACATCGCAGAGTCAAAGACGCAATCGCCTGGGCGAAGCGCACCGCACCCGACGCGTACCTGGCCGTTGGAGGTGGCTCGGTGATGGACACTTGCAAGATTGCGAGTCTGTACGAAAGCTATCCCGACGCCGACTTTCTCGACTTTGTCAACGCCCCGCTCGGCAAAGGCCGGCCGATCGATAAGAAGTTGAAACCTCTGATTGCGGTCCCGACCACGGCCGGAACCGGGTCCGAGACGACGGGCACGGCGATCTTTGACCTCGTGTCGGCAAAGGCCAAGACCGGAATCGCGCACCGCGCGCTCAAGCCGCTGCTCGGAATCGTCGACCCGATCAACACGCGGTCGATGCCGTCGCAGGTCAAGTCGTCGTCCGGGCTGGACGTGCTGTGCCACTCGCTCGAGTCGTGGACCGCGATCCCGTACTACGAGCGCGTGCCGCGGCCGACGAACCCGCTCCTCCGTCCGGCGTACCAGGGCGCGAACCCGATCTCGGACGTGTTTTCGTTCGAGGCGCTGCGGATGACGGTCAAGTACCTGCCGCGCACGGTCAAGGATCCCGAGGACACGGAGGCGCAGGAGAAGATGCTTCTTGCTGCGACCCTCGCGGGTGTCGGGTTTGGCAACGCGGGCGTGCATCTCTGCCACGGACTGTCGTACCCGATCTCGGGCATGAACAAGGGCTACAAGCACGCCGGCTACGCGGTCGACCACCCGATCATCCCGCACGGAGTCTCTGTCGCAGTCACTGCGCCGCAGGTCTTCAGGTTCACGGGACCGACCAACCCGGACCGTCATTTGCAGGCCGCGGAGGTGTTTGGGGCAGATATCTCGAACGCAAAGGCGGAGAGCGCGGGCGAGATCCTGGGCGAAGCGGTGCAGAAGTTCTTGATCGGGCTGGGCGATCAGCCGAGGGGTATTTCCGATCTCGGGTTTACAAAGGAGGATATTCCTGCGTTGGTGGACGGCGCGATGCCGCAGAACCGGGTGTTGATGTTGGCGCCGAACTTTCAGCATGACGATGAGCGTAAGCGGGAGGATTTGGCAAAGATCTTGGAGGCGTCGTTGACTTACTAGGTGGATGTATTCATGATGTATTTGCTGTATTCTCATCCATGCAATAATAAAACAAAATAGTTCCAGTTATTCTCAATTAATCTCGCAAGCGATATCTTTTCTTTAGATCCTGCGTCCTGGGCTTTCCCAGCTCGTCTTTAATCTCTTGCAACTGATCCAACCCCCTTCCGGTCCATTTATTTACTTTTCCCCGACTAACTCCCGGCATACCAGACGAGACTCCGTAGGCTGCGGCAGTAGGTGGTAGTTTTGAGTTAGAGGAGGAGGAGGTGGTGGTGGAGGAGGAAGGAGCTTCGCGGAGGAGACGTTTGCCGACGACATTGTAGTTTTCGAGAAAGTCATCCATGATTGCGTCGAATGCTGCGGACTGCATTTGTCTGTTTGCAGCTTTTTTTGAGTCGGGTGTTTCGTCATCTGACTCGACGGCGGCGGACATCGAGAGCGAGTTGATTAGATCTTGTGCGTCGTCCTCTTCGTCCTCTTCTTCCTCGTCGTCGTCTGACTCGGCGTAGAGTTTCTCGATTTGGTCGAAACGGTCGTCGATGAGGGTAAGTCCCTCGTTGCGAAACATGGCCGAGCTCGACATTGAAAAGCCGGTGGTAGACGTGCGGGCGCCGCCGCGAGTACTCTTTTTGCCGACGCCTAGCTTATGTGCGAACGAGGCGAGCGAGCCTAGGTCGTCTAGGTCTTCGTCTTCGTCAAAGTCGTCGTCTGAGGAGTCCGCGGCGGCTCTGTTCTTTGAGATTTTGAATTTCGCGAATTCTTTCTCCCAGCCTGCTCCTTCTTCTTCGTCGTTGTAGTCGTCGTAGGCGTCAGCGACGGTGGACTTGGCGAGACTTGGATCGTCTTTAACGATAGCCTGGAAGATATCCTCATCATCCTCAACATAAGCTTCATCCTCAAGAGCTTCGAGGACTTCACGGAGATCAGGGTCCATGTCCGGTTGCAGACCGGCGATTGCGTCGGGAATGGCTTGTTGGTCCTGGTATGTGCGCTTGACGTGCTGGTCACTCGGCAGCTCGAGCACTTGTTTTGCTATATCTTCAGTAGCAGCAGGCGCAGACGTCTGAATATCATCCTTGAACGCGATCCCGCGCGCTCTCCGCCCGGCCGCGGTGGATGAAGAGGAAGACTTTGCAGCGGGGATGAAGACAGCGGTGCCGTCTTGGTTGCGGCCGATCTCGCGTAAGTGCTGCATGTAGTCGTAGGAGGAGTCGTCGTAGGTGATGCCGTAGAGCGCTGCTTCGCCTTCGTTTTCGCGCACGACGGAGGAGAGACCTGAGGCTTGTAGGTCTTTTAGTGTTTGTACGTGGGAGGAGGGGAGGGGGAGCAAGTCTTCTTCTTCCTCCTCCTCCTCTTCTTCTTCTTCATCCTCTTCTTCCTCTTCATCGTCGTCCTGTCCATCAGGAGCAGCAACAGAAGTAAACCTAACATTCCTCCGCTTCGTTTTTTTCTGCACCTCGACAAAAACACCAGTGGGCGCTTCAGGGTCGTAAATCAGCGGGTCTTCCTGCGATCTGTGGACGAGTCTGTATTTGTGTGCTGTTTTGCGGTTGATGCGTTTGGGTGGTGCTGCTGATGCTGCTGATGCTGCTGCTGCTGTAGAAGAAGCAGCTTCAGGAGAAGCAGCATCTCTCTGGGGGGTGGCCATGGTGGGTGTGAAGGTGGTGGTTGTGTGAGTAGTTGGATGCGAGCTTTTCAATATTTTTTTATTTTTTATTTTTTATTTTTTATTTCTATTTGGTTGGGAGTTGTATGATTAGTCAGTGTTGAAGTAATGATGTTACATAAGGAGTTACATGAGCCAATGCCATCTTAATATAGGTGCAGGTTAAGACTATGCACTACACTATACACTACACTACACAGTACACTATATACTATATGTATGGTATAGATGATGTAGATGACACGATATAGGCACTATATAAGGAAATAATAACTATATATAAAAGGCATCGATGAGGTGGACAGAGAACACGAGGGCTGAGCGATAATAGCGCACTGCATTGATATGAGTGTGAATGTGGTGAGCAGTACTATAATCTACTGCTTGTCAATATGACTATGATACTATATACTATATACTATAATACTATTTACTATAACAACTATATACTATAATACTAACAACTATACAGATAGAGATCAAGACTCAGGGAAACAGATGAGCACAAGGGGATGACAGAAAACTTCTTCGGATCTTGGCAACGGAATTCGCCGTGGTCTTTAGCCTGATTGTGGATTCTGCTGTATTATTCTATTCTATTGTATTATATCTGTTCTATTGTATTATATCTATTGTATCTATTATGATATAATACAGCAACTGTGACTACATTCCATCACTTGTTCATCACAATCCTGGCGGGTGGCCAAAGACAGCAATCAGCAATCAGCAAAGACAAAGACCCACAGCTCCTTCTCTTTTTTCTCTCTTTTCTCTCTCTTTCTCTTCTTCCTGTTATATTCTATTGTGTATTATATCTAATAACTATTCTATATATTCATACCACATCATATCATATAATCTTTTATCAACTATCCTCTTCTACTCTCCTCCTCTCTTCTCTCCTCAGTCGGCTCGGTCGGCCCGCGCTGCTTCCCAATCCAGTATCCACACCCTAACCCGCCTGTACTACGTCGTGCAGAAACCCAAAACTCGGATTCCCTCGAAGATACAAAACTCCTCCTCCTCCTCCCCTCTTCCTCATCTCTCTTCTATCTACACTATTCTACACTACTCTACACCACTATCCTACTCTATACACACCATGAACTACCTCCAATGACTACAATAACTCCCCTCGACCGATACTCGGCAAACCTCGCCCTCTTCGACAGCGGCTCGATGGCCCTCCCCGTCCCCGCTGTCTCCTCCTTCCACTCCCACTCCCACTCCCACTCCCACCCCTCCTCCACCTCCTCCTCTCTCTCCCAGGCCTCCGCCCCCGCCCGTCCCCAGGGCCCCCTCTCCCTCCAAGCAGACTACGCGGCCTCCTCCAAGCGCTGTCTGCGCATGCGCCACCGCCGCCGCAGACTCCACAACAACCGCTTCTCGGACCGCTCGGATTCGGACTCGGACGGCATCGACACGGATTCGGATGACGATGAACTGAAGCGGGGGCGCTCGCTCACGCGTTTCGGCGAGAAGAGCAGCGATTGTAGTTGTGCGTCGGGGTCGCGTGTGATGTCGACCTCGCGCGCGCTGCTGTCGGATGATGAGGATGAATATCAAGACTTTGACGACGGCGACGCGCTTTCGCTCTCAAAGTCGGTCCCGCCGGATGTCATGGAGGAGGTCGAGCGGTTCAAGCGGTTGCTCGAGCAGGCTAATCTCGATCAACGAATGGCCGCCTATCGACCCAGTCTCGCAGGCGATGCTCCATGTCCCTGCGACGACGACTCTTCCGAATACGACGACGAGGAGTTTGACGACGAGTCCGACGAAGAAGAGGACGACACCGACGACAAAGAATCCCTCGATTTTACAAAACAACCAGTTCCCTTCCCCTCCATCCTTCACAGACAACAGACTAAGCAGCGGATGTGCTGCTACCCCGTCGCCGAGTACTCTGCCGATGCAGATCCAGGTCGCGTCGTGCGCGTCGATCATATCTCGAAGGACATTGTTCCTCCTCATGTGAAAGCGTGAGACTACTAGAGTACTACTATCATAGTTGTACTTATGATGATTACGACTTATTTCTTCTTCTCTGGTTTTTTGTTTCTTCGTTCTTTGATTGTTTCTTGATTAGTTCGATACACGGCGTTCTTTTCTTCCTTTTCTTCTCTTCTTCTTTTCTCTTTTGTCCTCATAGACATAGACTGTACAGCACTTCTACACTCACTTACGGCGTTCTGTTCTACTTCATCATACAATATAACCATCACATATGTACAATACACAACATATCAACCTCTTATCATCTTCATGAAAACATTTTCGGTGTTTCAGACTCAGACGGCAAACGGCGGGACCCAAACCCAATAAATTATCTCGGAATTACCGCCTCCAGACTAAGGTTTGATATTAAACCTTATAATACGCCCCGGTGTTTCGGTGTTTCTTTGTTTATCCTTTCTTCTTTGGGGGTTTTGTTTACTAATGCTTCAACCTCCGTCGAGATGCTCCCGCCAGCTTCTTTGGCTGGATGCGAGGTCTTCTGCTTGACTTGTTCGGACCCGCATCCCGTCCATCCCCATCACGATCCTGCTCTTCTCATCCTCATTCTTGACCTCCATCAAGACAGGATACCGCGGCGACACATGCGTAAGCACCGTAAGCTGCGCATCCACCTCCCGCGCGACCGCGACCGCCTCCGCATGCGTGCAGTGCAGCTTCGCGACCGCGTCTGCTGCGCGGTCGTCCGCGAACGTGCTTTCGTGCACAAGCACCGTCGCGCCGCGCGCAAGTGCTGCGAACGTGCGGTTCGGGCGGGTGTCTCCCGAGTAGGCGACTTTGATGTCGTGAGGGAGTGTTAGTACTGCTGAGTATGACGGGGAGTATTTGGTTCCGTGGTCGGCTTTCGTTGTCGCGATCTTCAAGTCCGCTGTCAACTCCTTTCCCCCCTCCGTCAGAAACTCATTCGCGTCTCTAAACTCGATCTCGCTCGTAGACAAGAACCCCCACTCCGCAAGCAACGTGCGCAACGGCCCTGGCCCAACAACATACAACCTCCCCTCTTCCTTCCTCAAACCTATCCACCGCTGCACAAAAATAATCACCCCCAGTACATGATCCGAATGCATATGACTCACAACCAGCACGCGCACTTTCCTCACCGCATCTGCCGCTTTTCTCTCGTCGAACCCGTACGCGCGCAAAATACCCGCCAGCGCGGATTCGCTGCAGTCAAGCAGGATTGATGTCTGGCTTGTGGGGTCGGTGACTAATGTGCTCGTCACGTTCTTGTATTTGCTCGGCATGAACGAGCCCGTGCCGAGACAAATCACCTCAACCTCCTCCTGCTCTCTGCTCTCTTCTGTCACCTTGTCGTCTGTAAACAACATTTCTGACTCTCTCTCCCTCTCACTCGTAATCAGATACTCAGACCCCACCACCTCAATCCGCCCTCCACTACCCACCCTCCCATTCTTCGCCACAATCCCACACTCCTGCCGTTCGGCCTTCCTCCACCACGTAAAAACCTCCGGCGCAAGATGCACCAATTTCGATCTCAATCTCGCCGCGCCGTCAAGCGAGAACGACGGCCCAAACACCGCGCTGCAGACTATATTCTCTTTTGCGCCAATTGTGTCAATCAGGTTCTTGAACTGCGGGCTAGAACACAGAGAGGTATCTCGTCCTAAGATAAACACAGATAAAGCAACCTCCCTCTGCACCCCCGAGAATCTCTCAATCAATCGATCCACACACCTTCCATCCGGGACATCAACCACCGCAATCACCCCTGGCGTAGCAGTCTCCCTCATCACCATCTCACGCGTCACATGCACACCATTCGCAGACCACGGCACACCTCTTCGCAGATCGCCTAGTGCTTTCCCGGCAGGCACGCCGAGGCTCATCGCGCGCGTGGCGTCGAATTGCGCGGGTGCTGCATGTGGTTCGATGATGTAGCTGTAGCTGCAACTCACAGACGATCGTGAATGACTGCGCATGATCTCGGGGATTGGTGAGGGAGGTGAGCCGTCGTAATCTCTAACTTCAGAAGAGAAAAGATTCTGAAGCACGCCGTCAACTACTCCACTCTCGTCCTCCACTTCACTCTCCTCGGCTATCTCAATCACCGTGAACGTGACCCCCTCGTCAACCAAAACGTCGTCATCCCTCACCCTCCGCACACTCGCCTGCACCTGCGTCCTAAACTCCACAGCCCGCAAACTCGCCAGCCCATGCTTTACCCCCGCGCCGCCGTAGATCAAAACCTCCTCACTCCGCAGCTCCTTCCGCGACCTCTCCTGTCCCGCCGCGGAAAGAAACGTTGCGAGACCGCTTATACTCTCGCTGTAGTCCTGCGCGGAACGCGAGGAGCCGGTGAGGTAGATTGCCTTCACGTCGCCGAGGGTGAGGTCTTTGGTGGATGCGTAGAGTCGTTGCGCGCCTTCGCATATTCTGCCGATCAGGATCGTTCGTTTACCACCCGTCGAGAGCGCGAGGAGGCATGAGGGATTGTCGCGGGAAGGATAGGATGCTATTCGGATCTTCATCCTGTCTGTAGGTGTTTGTACGGTGGTGCTATCGAGGATCAGGCATCTTATAGATCTATTCAGGATAGAATGAGGTCTCTGAATATTTATGGCGGGTGCGGCTCTAAGCGGTGAACTCTGTCCTCATAAGTAATTTGATCCTGACTCTTGTCTTTAACCCGCTCATCCTTGCTTCTCTGGTGAAAGTACTCAATTTTTGATATTCCAGGGACTGCAAAAGAGGCTGTTGAGACTGTGGGTGTGTATTGGTGTGCGTGTATGCTATTGCGTTTTTGTATAGTTTGCTAACTAAAGCAGTCATCTATTTCGCAGTCAACTCACAATCTAGCAACTACTACAACCATCTAATCTAGCTACATCTACACAACTAAACATGTCAAGCGTGGACTCAGACGACGAAGACTCGGCTTCAATCGACCTCGAAGACTACAGAGACCTGATTGATGAGCACATGCACATGTCCACAAACTTCCTTCCCTTCATCTACGTGCAACACCTACAAGTAATCGAAGTCGTCGAACTCTACATCCACCAACTCACCGTCGGCTGTCTCGGCGCCGACAACCCAGCTGAGGGATCGAAGGGGAAGAAGAAAACGTGCAAAGCGAAATTCTGCGCGTCCTCAGAGTGGTTCCAGAACTGGACGAGGACAAAAAAGTTGGAACCCTGGGCGATCCGGCAGATTGCGTGGAAACTGGCCGCGACGAAAGGCCATTATGGCATCTGCGAGGGCGCTATGAAATGGCATGAGGAAGCGGCGAAACGTGGTAGCAAAGCCGGGATAGGCAAACCAGCAGACGAAGAAGAGCCCGACGCGGCGGCTGGGAACGAGGAGGGTGGAGAGAAAGCAGAGTCGGGAGCGGCGCTGCGCAAGTTCGTTTCATTCCAGGCGCACATGTTCTCACCAACGTCGGTGAAAGCTCGCAAGCCGGTGCCGTATTACACCGGTCCGCTACTTTCAAACCTCACTGTTATCGACGACATCTTTGTCCTGCGCTGCCTCTACGACTCTTCAAACACCGGGGCAAACGGATCCTGCTTCGCCTCCCTGCTTCACATCTTTGCGCATCCCGAGAGACTGCGCGAATGCATGAACTCCGGTCCAGAGATGTTCAGACTCGTCTTCCGGCTCACCACCGACGTCTTCCCCGATTCAGACTCTGAACACCTCGCCGAGGTCGTGCACTCGCTCGCCTACGGCATGCGCCTCCTCATCAGCCAGCATGAGTGCATGTACACGCCCCGCTCGCGCAACCCGCACATGCTTGTGCTCAAAAAGCGCGGGCAGCAGTACACCGCTGCTGAACTCGAGTTCATGCGAGGATCGACCTCTGCGATCGTGCGCGCGACCGCACTCGCGTCGTTGATGCTCCACCGCTACGTCGCGCAGGTGGTGTCCCTCAGAGGCCGCGCCACCGTCGAGATGTCTGCCGGCGCGGCGTTCCACGCTCTCTGGTCGCCCTGCAACGGCATGTTTAGAGTTCTGTTTGTGGAGATCATGCGCGCAATCACGCTGAACCCGATGATCCCGACATATTTCACCGAGGCGATCGAGGGCGATATGAAGGAAGAGTGCATGTTTGTGCTTGCCTGCTGGGCGCGCGCGTATCTGGCGACGCACTGGCCGCGCGGAACTTACTCGACCACCGTCTCGCGCTCGAGCTCGCTGTTTTTCGCCATGGCCCTCTGGCACATCGTGCGCGCGCGGTGTCCGCGCGTGAAGCAGGACGTGCTGCCCTTCCGCCAGCTCGGCGATCTGACGCCCAAGACGATCTTCACCTCCCGCAACACGACGATGCCGATGCCGCCCGGCCATGGCGCGCGGTCGAAACTCAAGGCGCCGTATGTGCACGTGCTTGAGTTTGCGAGCCTGGTGTTTACGCTCAAAGCGCGCGTGGGGTTCCTGCGCAGCTACGCGCTGCGGTGTATGGTCAAGGCGTTCCGCACCGGCGTGGTCAAGTCTACGCTGATCTCGATTATCACGAGCTACTACCCCGGCGTGTCCGACCAGCACCTGCGGTCAGCCTACCAGCGTCTCGATCAGCGTCCGCCGGGGGTGCCGAGTTCGCGCGACAGTCTCCAGCACGCGCTGGCGGACTACGTGCAGCTGTATTTCCTGCTCGACGTCTCGCGCGAGGACGTGCTCGGGTCTGTGTTTGCGGGGATGAGGCCTGCGATCCGGTCGCGCACGATGCTGAGTAAACCGCTCAAAGTCCGTTTCGGCACGGGCGAGGACGGCGTCGATCATGGCGGAGTGCAGGTCGAGCTGTTTAGGACGATCGGGCGGATGCTGTGTGATCCCGACTACGGGCTGTTTGAGATCGACCCGGATAGTCAGCGGGCGTGGTTTAATAAGGGGTTTTTCGATGATGTTGACCGGTTTGATGTGGTGGGCACGATCGTGGCGTTGGCGGTTTATAATGGATGTACGATCAGCGTCTCGTTTCCAAAGGCGATGTATATGATGCTGCGGGGGGAGTTTCCCACTCAGCTCGATGAAATCAAGGATCTCTTTCCTGTGAGTACTTCTACTAATATGATCTGTTTGAGCTCGGCTAACACTCTTTTAGAGCCTCTACCATGGACTGAAGGCAGTGCTGGATTATAAAGGCGACGTGTCAGAGCTGGAACTAGTGTTTGAGTACACCTACCAAACAATGGACCGAACCATCACCGTCCCGATGCGCGAGAAGCCAACCCGCGTGACGAACACAAACAAGGCCGACTACGTGAAAGAGTACATCCACTGGGCGACGTTCGGCACGATTGAGCCGTTCGCCGACGCGTTCAAGCGCGGCTGGAGCAGGCTGATTCCGGACTGCGTGACCGACATGTTTGAGCCCGACGAGTTGATGGAGCTCGTGCAAGGGCGGGAGTGGGACGCGGCCGAGTTCTCGGTCGCGGAGCTGAAAGAGGTCGCGCGGTATGAGGACGGGTACACGGAGGACACGCAGGTGATTATCTGGTTCTGGGACGTGGTCGGCAAGTTGAGCGATGGGGAGAAGCGGCAGTTGCTCGAGTTTGTGACGGCGTCGGATAGATTACCTGTGGTGGCGGGGATTTCGGGCGTGCGGTTCGTGATTCAGCGGAACGGGCCTGATTCGGAGCGGTTGCCGACGTCGCTGACGTGTTTCGGGAGGTTGCTGTTGCCGGAGTATAGTAGTCGGAAGAAGGTGGAGCGGATGCTGAAGACTGCAATTCGGCATTGTAAGGGGTTCGGGTTGGTTTAGTGTATTCAATTATGACTATTATTCTATTACATATGTGCAATTAAGAAAAGCTTAGGAAAGGGAGAGAAGGCCCTGCTTAAGATCAGCAATCAGATCATCAGTGTCCTCAACTCCAATCGACAGCCTAAGCAACGTCTCCGGAACATGCTTATCCGAGACCGCGCGCCACTCAATCAAACTCTCAACACCTCCAAGCGAAGTCGAGTGATGAAACAGTTTCAGTCTAGAGGGTAGTTTGCGCGCGAGATCCGAGCTCGCGACCTCAATCGAGAAGGCGGGCGAGTGCATGCCGTTTGGCATCTGCTTTGCGACAAAGGGCTCGGTTTGGAGGGATGAGTGGTGGACTTGCTTCAGCGCGGGGATCGAGCTAGAGGCGAGAGCATCGGCGAGGAAACGGGCGATTTTGGTGGCAGAGGTGGATTGCTGCGTGACGCGAAGCTTGTATGTGCGCAGCGAGCGCAGCAGAAGCCAGCTTTCCATGTTTCCGGGCTGCAGACCGAGGATGCCGCGGTCCTGCAGCAATTGATCTCGCACGGCGGGATCTTTAGTAACGAGCACGCCCGCGAGCAGGTCAGAGTGGCCGCCAAAGTACTTTGTAGCCGAGTGCATCACCAGGTCGACACCGAAATCGAACGGGTTCTGGATCGGCGGCGGCGCAAACGTAGCGTCGACGAGCACCTTTGCGCCGCGCGCGTGCGCAAACGAGACAGCTTTCTCGAGATCGAGCGCGATGCCGGTCGGGTTGATTGGTGTTTCGATGTGGAAGAGGTCGTTTGCGGACAGCGAGGGGTCGTAGTGGTCGATGCTTTCGATGCTGGCGCCGCCGCCGAAACGGGAGAGGATCGCGAGCACGTTGTGGCAGCCGTGGTAGCCGTCTGCGATGGCAACGCGTTTTGGCTGCAGATGGGTGATCGCGGCCGTGAACGCGGAGAGGCCGGAGGAGTAGACGACCGCGTGGCCGCCGAGGATGCCGGAGAGAACAGCTTCGACGCGGGAGGTGACGGGGTTGCCGAAGCGGGAGTAGACGCGCTCGTCCGGGCCCGCGAGGCGGATGTCGTGGTCTTTTGCACGGACGAGTTTGTCGGGGTCCGAGTTGTATTTGTAGATTGTCGAGACGTGGAGCGGAGTGGCCACGTCGCTCACGAGCGAGAACTCGTCGTCGGCGTGGACGGAGACCGAGGCGAGGTCGAGGTCGTAATCGCTCATGGTGGTGGAGTTGCGAGAAGTAGCAGCTCGATTCGAGGCACAGTGATCAATTGAGTAGTTTATTCAGATCAATAGCAAATTAGAAGTAGAAACAAAGACCAATTACTGTTCTTCTTCTCTTTTTATATCAAATCAAGGCAAATTGAAGGCTTTTTAGCGACTAATTGCGCTTCACAGTGACTAATTGCGAAAGTCCGCGAGCGATGGCGCCTGAACCGTTTGGGTTTCATTGATTTGCACGTGATTTTTTGCCTTTTCGGGTCTCTCCTCATCCTCGTCTTTCTGCTCTGGTTTTCTTATAAATCTCTTCTTAAAACTGTCTAAAAGTACTTGTATTTCGTAGTTCTCTTCTTCTGCTGCTTTGTCTGCAAATAATGTGCTTACTCATGCATTACATAATGTCACCAACCCCTCGCCCATGTCCTCCCGGCAACCTCCCGCAGCCGCCCTCAACAACTTCCTCAATTGAACCCACCCGCGCCCGTAAATCCTCGACTTGCAGCCCTCCTCCAGCTCAATTCGTCTTCTTAGCTCTGTTTTATGGCTGAGACCTTACCTACCACCGTGCGCCGGCTCTCCGCTGCCCCGCCGCCGCCGCAGGACCTCATCGATGCCGCGGTCGCGACCTCGGGTCGCGTTTCGTTTGGCGGCGAGGCCATCCCGCTCGGGGACATGCTCACCGTCCCCGGCGGTGCGCCAGGCGCATTAGATCCCTCTTCCGCGAGCTCGATGCGCCCGACCTTTGCGAGCGTGAACTCGACCAGCGCGCACGCGCACGGCGCCTCGTTCGTGTCCTACTTCACGGGCTCGGTCTCGATTGTGTCGCAGAACCTCATCGTCGGGCTCTCGGTCGCCGTCGTGTTTTCGATCGTGTCGCTGACCTCGATCCAGCACGCGTTTGCGCCAAACCCCGCGCATCTCGCGCTTGGCGCGTGTTTGACCGCCGCGGTCTTGCTGCGGTTCGTGGTCCCCTCGCGCCTGCTGCTGCTCACCTCCGCGACCGCGTCGTCGGCCTCGGCGGCGTCGCTGACCGCGGGCTCGCGGCTACAGGTCTCGTCCGTGTTTGCCGACAAGAAGCGGTCGTTCCGCGCGCTCGCGCTGGGTTCGCTACAGGCCGTGTTTATCTTTGCCTATGCGATTTCGGCCGCGCGGCAAAACATGACCTCGATGCACATGAATTACTTCTCGGTGCTGCCGCCGCTCGACACGGTCCTGCAGGTGCTGCTGCTGCGCATCAAGGTCAAGCTCACGCTGCGCGCCGTCGTCGGCGGCGTCATCAACTTTGTCCCGCAGGGACTCGCGCTCATCTCGCGTGACTGGACGGTCGGGTTTGAAGCGATCCCGATCGCGGTCGCGCAGACGCTGTGGTCGTACATGATATTTCTCGAGCAGGCCGCGACCGAGTCGACCGCGTGGCTGGCGACCGTCTACGTCGCGTTTCTTGTCTCGGTGGGAATTCTCGTGCCGGTGAGCGGCGCGTGGGCGTTGTATGATTTCTACACGCCCGCTACGCCGGATGCGATTTTCAAATCGCACGATTTCGTGGTGATGACGGTGCTTTGCTGTATTTGCGGCGTCTTACTGCTCACGCTGTTCCTGGCGTCGGGGTTCCTGATCAAGTGGTCGTCGAGCGCGCATATCGTGGTTCTCGTGTCGACGGCGTCGAGTATCCTTATCATCTCCTGGTCGACCGTCTTGAATCCGTTGTTTGTCACCGCCGGCGTCGTCCTCAGTGCTGTCGCGTGGGCTCTCTACGTCCGGTAATCTCCCTCTCCATCCTCTCATCATCCTCCATCCTCCGACACAGCCACATCAATCATCAGACAATCTCCTTACATTTATCTACTCTTACTCAAAGTACATATTCGTGATCTCCCATTTTCTTTTCTCTTATCGTCAATAGTTTTCAGCCATACTCCGGATGCATGATCTCACATTCTCGAATTATAAATATTCCACATGTATTTTTTGTCTTTTTTCTATTCTCTAGAGAGCGGGATCTTTCTTCCTTTCTTCTTTTCTTGTGTTTTTAGACGGTTTGGGGATGTGTAACGCAACAATAAAATGAGTAATTCACTGTAATCTGTAATTAAGCAATATCTAATCAGAAAGCAAACTTTTCCTGGCTATGTACACTTTATACACTCTCACTATACACTACTCTATACACTCAACTCGAGAAATATGAAGGGCTACAACAGCTTCCCATTCAAGCTCTCCTTCGCCTCCAAATCCTGCTCGATCAGATCCCTATTCAAATCACAAAACATCACGCGCATAGGCTTCGTCCACGCGCCCTGGCAATCAAAGTCCGCGAGCTGCATCTGCATGCCGTCGTACGCAAACGAGAGCTTGACGTTCGCGGACCACTTGATTTGTCGCTCGACCGCCCGCTTCCCTTTCTCGCTCAGTCGATCGCTAGGTCGCGTCTCGACGTTCTCGCGGATGAATCTGCCGTCTCGGTCTTCGTTCTGCAGCCTGCTGACGCCGCTGAGCAGGTGGTCGGATTCAGAGGAGAGAAAGCTCGAGCCGCCGAAGAGGGAGATGGAGACCGGGTAGCGCTGGGAAAAGTGCGTGAGGAGGATGTTTTTCGCGTTCATGACGTATCCGACCGCGAGCGCTTCGGAGAGGGTCGAGTGGCGTTTTGAGATTGCGCTCGCGAGCAGGTCGTCTTCCATCGTGGCCTCGTGGACGAGCAGGTCTGCGTCGCGGCCGATCTGCGTGAATGCGTAGTTTGGCCGCGTGTCGCCAGAGTAGGCGAGCTTGAAGCCGTTCTTGAATGTGAATGCGACCGAGTGCGCGAGCTGCGCGTGGACGGCGCGGCAGGTGGCGACCTTGCGGAGCGACATGGCTGAGAGGAGATCCTCGTACGAGGCTTTGTATTCCTCTGCGCCGCCCTCGACGGAGGTGGTCGGGTGCTCGGACGTTTGACGGTAAGTTTCGCGCTCGGCGAGGTACCTGTTTTCGACAAAGCGCACGTCGGCGGTGAGGTTCGGGTGGAGCTGTTGCCATTCCTGGAGCCAGAGGATCATGCGCCGCGAACCGACTATGTACAAAGTTCTCGAGTCGCCTTCTTCGAGCGTGTGTCCGTTAAATGCGTCGTTGCGCGCGCGCAGAAACGTCAGCACGCCAAAGAAATGGTCGGCGTGCAAGTGACTGATAAAAACGACTTTGATCTCGCGCAGGATCTCGTCCGTGCCGCTGAGTCCGTACAGCCGCCGCAGGTTCTGGACGGTAGACTCGCCGCAGTCGAGCAGGACCGACTTTGTGCGGAGAGGACTGCCGCTGTCGTCAGGCGCGGGGTAGAACGGGAGCTTGACGATCGTGCCGATGACGTTGCGGAAGACGGCGGGGGTGGCGGAGCCGGTGCCGCAGGTGATGACGGTCACTTGGTTTGCGATTTCGACGCGTTGCTTCTTTTTCTGCGACGGGGGAGAGGCGCTGCGGCCGCGCTTGTTCTCGCTGCTGCTGGCGTTGTCGTCGGTGGGGTTCTCTATCAGGTTTTTCTTTTCGAGCGCGGAATAATTCATGGCGCCCTCGTGGCCTGCTTCGGTGGTGACGATGCGTCTGGGACCGTTCGGGAAGCGCTCGAGGATCTCGTTGTACATCTCGACCGTGGTGTTTGCGAGCTTGTCTGAGTCGCGCCAGTCTCCGGTGGCTATTTTGTGAGCGTTGGAGGTGATGAGCTTGCCTTTGAGGACGTAGGTCGTGCCTTGGATTATAGGCATGACGGAGAGTTCTGGTCGGGGGTTGGGGGAGTCGGTGGGAGTGTCATCGACAGGCTGGAGGATGGGAGATGGCGGAGGCTCAATGGCATTACCATGCACCTCCCTCTCTTTCTTTTCCTGTATTGCCTTTCTCTTTTTCTGATGCCTCGTCAGTTTCTTGCCTCCGCCTTTCACCGGGATCTCCTCTGCTTCGACGGGGGTGTATTTTTCGTCGACGAGTTTAGACGCGGGGGTGATTATGGGTTCGCGGAAGTGGGTGGGCGAGATCATGCCGAGAGCGATGGCGAATTGCGCGGCGCGGTTGTAGGTGAGGGTGTTTGGCGTGTAGTCGGGGTGGTTGATGATGTGCTAGAGTCAATGTGAGTATACAGCGAAAAAAGGGAGAGATGGGGTAATATAGCAGAAAGAAGAAAGGAGAACGTACATCACACTCGGGTCCAAAAGACTTCATGAATGATATAAACTCTTCACTGAAAGGCTCGACTTCGCGGCCGAGGTCGTGGACGACAAAGCCATAGACAGGTTGTTCGAAGTAGACGCGCTGGGCAAAAGGTTCAGACTCTGCCTTTTGCTTCTCCTCCTCGATCTCTTGCTGAGAAGGAAATCTGTCGACGACGGTCTGCGCACCGGCGAGATACTCGCTCGGTTTTGGCACGCGCGCAAACCAGTTCTTTGTCTTTGCGTCTTGAAGGTGCTGCAGGGTTGGGATGTCGATGAATGCCATGCGACGGACAGATTGGGGCGGGGCGGTGACCATCTCTGTCGTGACATCGAGGCCGTCGTCGCGCGTCCAGGTCTTTCCGTTGATGACCTCTGCGCGCTCGGGACCAAATGGGAGGCGGTAGAAAGCGGCGAGGTTCTCGTCGAACTTGCCGCGCGGGGGCCGGGGCTGGATGATGTAGCTCAGCGAGGGGCGGGACGGGGACGGTGGTCTGACGACCTGAAGAATTTCGGTCGTGTCATATTGTTCGCGCATCTCGGTCTGGCCTGATAGCTGTTTCTTGCCGTCGCGGATGATTCTGTCTTTGTGCGGAAACATACGTTTCAAGCCAGTGTCGACTATGGCTTGCCTAGCTGCTTCGTCCTCAGATGAGCTGACGTGTGCTTCGGCTGCGTCAGAAGCACCGAAAAGCTCGACGGGAACGACGACGAGGTCTTTGTCGTGAAAGTCGCTGTCAGCGCGCTTGGCGGAGATGTCGCAGGCTTCGCGTTGGAAGAAACGGCGCAGGGAGGCTAGGGCCCAGGGCACGTTTGCGTCGCCAAAGACCTGGATGTTCTCGACGGCCAGCTCGTCGAGAGTGAGGATGAGACCGGGCAGGCCACCCATCTGGGATGTCCAGTCGGCGGAGCCGGAGAGGAAGATGTCTTGGAAGCGAGAAGTGCGAAAGCCGTACTCGCAGCAGAGACGTTGGAAGCCCTCGCCCACGCGACCAAAGAGGTAAGAGCGGCCTGCGATCTCGACCTCGAGCGCGCAGGCGGTGAGGTCAAGGCTCGGCTGGGCGAGGACTCGGGCACGGATAATCAAAGATCCCTGGGGCCCGTCGACGTCTTGGGTTCCGTTCATGGTGAATTTGTCACTGGTAATGAATATCTGGCGCGCGTAGGAGCGCTTGGAGGAGAACGCCGAGGGATGGCGGAGGATCCGGGCGCCAGAAGCTCCTCGGAGCAGGAAAAGAGAAGTGAATGCGCGCGTGGTGTCTATAGAGCGCGACTACGAACAGTAATTCAGGTCGAAGCCGGTGGTGTTGAAGAGGAAGCCAGTTCTAAGCCAATTCTTAGGCGTTCAATATTTTTTTCTCCCAACGACGAGATCAAGTTGAGTGAGTCTGATGATGACATGCTGATTACCAAATTAATAATCACATGACTGCACGTGACGCTTACATAAGCTGTTACATATAAATGTTATATGAGCGAAAATATGATATAAGAAATTGAATTCAGTGCCGCACGGCACCGTCAGCCCGAAGCGGTTAGCGCCATTTGAATTAGACTTTCTGAGCTCGCTCGTTTAGCCGGCGCTGCTTCTTCGCCCGGTGCGTGACTCCTCACCGCTTCTCTTCCTCTTCACCACCTCACCTCCTTCTTCACCTTCTTCACCTTCTTCACCATGGCTGATCGCAAGGAAAAGGACAGAAAGGACAAAGAGCTGCGGCCGATAAATCCCGCGCTGGCAAAGCTCGCGACGCCCGAAGCGCCCGTCAGTCCGCTCTCCAGACCTGCGCCCTGGGGCGACCTCGACATCGACTACTGCCGCGACCAGCGCGCTGACTCCGTCTACTCCGCCAACTCCTACGCGCCTTCTGTTCGCTCGGCCCGCACGTCCTCCTCCGGATTCTCCCTTCTGCGCTCCTCCGCGTCCTCCATCTCCGGCGAGTCCGTCTTCTCCCGGCTCAGCATCGATGCCGCCGGGCCTGATGAGTTCTACGCCGCAGAGAGCATGGGCGTCGCCATCCCCCTCCGCCAGGACTCCCGGCTCTCTGCCGCGCCCGCCCTCGCCTCCATCGCCGAGAACAAGCGCGACATCGCCCAGGACCTCGGGGTCGTCGCTGCCGACTGCCGCTCCGTGCTCGAACAGGTCGGCCACCAGATGATGGACCTCTCCAAGGCCGCCTCCTCGCTCACGCAGACCATCCGACTCGCCGCAGTCGCCTGCGCCAAAGCCCTCGGCACCCCGACTTCTTCCTCCTCCTCTTCCACCTCATCCCTGCCGCCGCCCCTCTCGCCCGTCACCTCGCCCGCCCTCGCCTCGATCCTCAAGGTCGTCCTGCACTTTGCTGACAACCTGCTCGTCGGCCTTCCCTACGCTTCCGCCCGCTCGCTCCTGCTGCGGGCCACCGCCGAGCTCGGCATCGTCCTCCGTCTCATGCCTTCCTACTCTCCTGCTCTCGCTCCCCCACAGCCGCACAACTTTGCCATCTCGGCCGAGTTTGAAAAACCAGAGACGCCGGCGAAGCTCGCGCTCGACAAACTCGCGCAGCTCATGGCGGTTTTGCCGCAGCACCAGGTCTTTTCCGAGCACGACGGTGCGTTTGTTGCTCCGATCGCTCGTGGTTTCTCCGAATCGTTCTCGATCGTGTCTGTGCTGTTTGGTGTTCCCTCGCCGACCACTTCCGACCACGACTCTGTCTCGGCTCTGTGGGATGTCGCGGACGATATCCACTTTTTCTGCCAGCGCAACCGTATTTTGGTTGCTGCGGGTAAGGTGTCTATGGCTGGATTCCGTGCGCCGTTCCGAAACTCGGCGGCAGAGGTTCCTCCGATGTCGATGTCGATCGCGACGGAGGACGCTGAGACGCTGAGTGGAACGCTGGGTGGATATGTGTATCCGAAGGTTGACCCCAACGACCCTGCGCTTGCGGCCTACTCGCAGTCTGCGTTTGCAATGACCTGTGCACATGTCTGCTTGACAGAAGCTAAAATTCGCCGACCGCCTGTGTCGGTGCCGTCGCCGGTGCTGGTGAATATGTATCGCGACACGCTGCTGAAGGAGTACGCGCGGTATGCGCCTCACTCTGACGAGCGGCGGGCGTTCAAGCGGGCGGTGAATGCGCTTGATGCGCAGTACCCTCGTCAGAACGGACGGTCGGTGCCGCCCAAGTTTGGAGACGTGCTGTGGGGCGAGCGCACGCTTGCGAACGGCATGATTTCGGATGTTGCTATTGTGCGGTGTCGGCCGGGTCTGAAGCCGGAGGATAACGAGCTTGGAGACGATGTTCCGTTTGCGGAGTTTGACCCGTCGCTGATGTTTACAAACTTGTCAGTGCGACGAGTGGTTAAGAGACTTGTTCCGGGGTTGGAGGTGTTCAAGTATGGATCTACGTCAAAGTTCACTACTGGCAAGCTTAACGGGCCGCGGTTGATTTACTGGGCCGATGGCGCGCTACAGTCGTCAGAGTTTGTAGTTGCGGCCGCCCCTTCGGGTATGTTTGCGACAGGAGGAGACTCTGGCGCGTGGATTCTTCGCAAGGACGGAATTTCGGGATTGGGAGTTGTTGGCATGCTGCATGCGTACGACGGCGAGCACCGAGAGTTTGGACTGTTTACGCCGATGACGAGGATTCTTGACCGGCTACGGGACGTGACTGGGATTGAGTGGGGAGTTGTAGGAGCGAAGGATGTCGAGGGAAGTGAGGAGGAGGAGATGATGGTTGGTGGGTCGGAGACGTCAGACTCGTCGAGAGGGTTTGATGGATCGCTTGCGGATTCGTCGAGTGATTCGGAGCTGGAGTAGAGATGGTTACTTGTTAGTATGTTATGAACGGATTACTATGTTTTTCTTTGATTTATTTACTATTTTCTGTACTATTACCCGATGGTTTTCCTTTCTATTTCTTTTTTATCTTTTTTATTTATATTGGATTTGGACGTATAAACGGTTTTTCTCTTCTTTTTTATTGTTTGAGAAGATGGTATTTGGAAAAGGATTTTATTTTATTTAATAGAAGATTCAGATTAGAAGAAGAAGAAGAGAAGAAGAAGAGAAGAAGAAGAGTAGAAGAAGAGTAAGATTTGGGTTTGCTGATATCAGCACTACTGCTGTCGTTGATTGCTGCCTTCTTATACATGTGTTGATATACATGATAAGAGATACAGACAGCATATAGACAACATACACAACATCATAGAAGACAATGAGGGTCGACCACGCAGCAATGGACCCGTACTCACACTCCACAGACATCCCCCTCTCAGTGATTGCAGCCACGACGCCGTATCTCGAGCCCGAGCCAGTGACTCTTCCGGACGGGCGCAGGGCGACTATATATCCCTTCTTTCGGGCGCAGGAGAGTGAGTCGATTGAGGTATGCGCGGAGGAGAAGAGGGTGACGGTGGAGGAGGAGAGGTTTGATGTGCTGGGGAAGGTGTTGTGGAGGATGTTTAATCGGGAGATTGAGGAGGGAAAGACATAGTGAGATATCCTGTGTTTATGACTGATATGAACCCATTGAGCTCACATACTGTTAATAGTCCACAGATAAACACACTGGAGTATGAGGAATTCAAAGGATACTGGTTCGCGTCATTCACAGCAGTCATGCTGCTCGACACCGACACTCCTCAAGACAATCTCACGACGGACATCGAGAGCAGGTGTCTAGGAACCTTCTACGTCAAGCCAAACTACATCGGCCGCTGCGGACATGTCTGCAACGCCGGGTTTCTGGTGTCTGATAAAGCGCGCGGACAGGGCGTCGGCAAGACGCTTGGGAAGCAGTACGTGCAGTGGGCACCGAAGCTGGTTCGTTCTCTTCTTCTTACTTGTTGATTGACTACAGAAGAGATATTGACAACATCCAGGGCTACAAATCATCGATCTTCAACCTCGTCTTCGAAACCAACGTCGCCTCGCAACGCATCTGGGACCGTCTCGGGTTTGAGAAAGTAGGCCGGGTGAAGAAAGCGGCGTTTGTGAAGGGATACAGTGAAGAAAGAGGGCTGGTGGATGCGTTCATTTATTACTATGAGTTTACCGAGTAGTTGGGCGGAGGGAATGTGAGGTGTCGGAGGTCAGATATGATATCTTGTCGATATTGAAGAGAGGTGGGTTTGAGGGAAGATGCAGGGATCTGCAGGGTGTGCAGAGAGTACGTCGGTCCTTTACTCGGGCTTTACTCGGAGTGCCGGCTCGTTAATATCAAAGATATGTTGAGATAGTTGGGATAACTAGTTGAGGTAGTTGATATCAGGAGCTGATATCAGATGCGGTGTCAGACTATACCCTGCCAACACCACTTTTCAAGACAACTACACTATCTAGATACTCTTCATCAATTCATTGCATTTCTTATATTCATATATTCAAAATATATAGAACAAGTAGAACAAGAACAAGAACACACTGCAGCAACACTTCGGGGTTAAGATGGGAGAACTCCAAACTCTGAATTACATCACGGACCTCTTTTCCTCCTCCTCTGCTTTAATCCTCCTCAACTACTTCCTGCCCCTTGCGTCCTCCTCCTTCTCTCCTCCTTCTCTGCTCTTCTCTCCCGTCTGCGCAACTACTTAATGGACCGCAAATGGCCTATCCGCTCACCTTCCTTCCACTACCCCAACTAAACTAATCACCACACCATGTCCTCAACAGCAACCTCCCCCGTCGACATCGAAAAGGCCTCGAAAGAAGTCGACCGCAAGAGCGAAGTCGGCTGGACCGGCTCTGATGATCCCGAGGACCCGCTCAATTTTTCAAACCTCCGCAAATGGTCCATCACAATCATCTGCAGCACCGGCGCGCTCTGCGTCGCTTGCGGGTCGTCCATCTATACTGCGACTTATAGTCATGTCGAGGAGGAGTTTAATGCAAATCAGCTCGAGGCTATTGCTGGGCTTACTTTGTTTGTCTTTGGCATGGGCGCCGGTCCTATGGTGTGTCTCCTCTTCTCCTCCTCCCTTCTCTTCCTCTCTTCATCATTACTAACTCAAGCATCAGTTCTATGCCCCCCTCTCCGAATTCTACGGCCGCAGAATCATCTACATCTGCTCCTTCTTCTTCTACCTCGCCTTCCAATTCCCCATCGCATTCTCCCACAACATCACCGCCGTCCTCGTCAACCGCCTCCTAGCCGGTCTCTCCGGCTCCGCATTCATGTCCGTCGCCGGCGGCACCGTCTCCGACCTTTTCCAAAAAAACCAGCTCGGCAAACCAATGATGGTCTTCACCGCCTCGCCATTCACAGGCCCGTGCTTGGGTCCCCTGCTTGGCGACTTTATTGTCTTTGGCGCCGGCTGGCGGTGGGTGTTTTATATCATGATCATCTGGACTTTTGTCATGCTCTGCCTCATCGTGTTCTTCGTGCCCGAGACTTATTCGCCCGTCTTGCTTCGCTGGCGAGCGCAGCGGCTGCGAAAGGAGTCCGGGAACGATAGCTTCTACGCCCCGATCGAGCTCGTCGAGCGGTCTGTTATTGCGACCGTCGTCTTCAGCGTCCGTCGGCCGTTCGAGCTGCTGTTTTTAGAACCAATGGTTTTCTGTCTCTGCCTCTTCACCTCCATCATCCTCGGCGTCGTCTACCTCTTCTTCCAAGCCTTCACTCTCGTCTTCCGCAACAACCACGGCTTCAAAGCCCAGCACGTCGGTCTCAGTTTCATGGGTCTCCTCGTCGGCATGATCTCGGGCGTGCTCACTGAGCCATACTGGCGCTCGCTCTACGTCAAGCTGTCAAACAAGAAAGGCAACGGCGTCGGAAGGCCTGAGTTTCGCCTGCCGCAGGCGATGGCGGGAGGCGTGTGTACCCCGATTGGACTGTTTTGGTTCGCTTTTACGACATACAAGAGCGTGCATTATATCGTGCCGATCTTGGCTGGCATTCCGTTTGGCTTTGGCATCATTCTCGTGTTTTCTGGGGTGTTTACTTATTTGGTTGAGTATGGCTTTTGATCTTTTTGTTTTATGTCTGTGATAGAAGTGCACATGCTGACGATTTATATGCAGAGCTTATCGACCGTACTCTGCCTCGGCTCTTGCTGCGAACGGGTTTCTGAGAAGTTCTTTCGCTGCCGCGTTTCCTTTATTTTCTGTTCAACGTATGTCCTTACTCTATACCAACTGTTTGAGACTCTTTGAGACTCTTTGAGACTCTTTGAGACTCTTTGAGTAAAGACCGCAGCTGACAACATCTACAGTATACGAAAACCTAGGCTACACGTGGGCGTCCGCTTTGCTCGCGTTCCTCATCCTCGGCTGCGCGCCGTTCCCGTTTGTGTTTTACTACTACGGCGAGCGCCTTCGTAAGCGGAGCCGGTTTGCGTGGACAAATCAGGCTGAGGCGGGAACCCCCGCATTGACGAATCCGGCGGAGGAGAGGCACTCCACTGATGCTGGCGAGCGAGCTGAGGATGCACGTGGTGCGAACATGAAGTGATGCGCTGAGCAGGTGTGGATGTGGATAGGGATTGAAGTCGTTATTGGGAATAACCATCGTTTGGTTTATGTGTTTATTGTGTATATGTCGGTCGTTGTATTTAGGATGCATTTAAAACTGCTGTGTAATGGGAACTTGGATAAATCGTGTAATAATACACCAGAGATGCTCCATGAGGATGTGTGGGGTCAAAAACAATAAACGAAAGCGATACGCTCTTAATTGATTTAGTACGCGCAATTGGATTCGGTAGATGTTGGTTAATGTTGTAATTTGTAAATCTATTTTGGAGTAGTCAACTTAAGCGGGTTTATTTACTTTGAAGTTGGCGGAAGTGTAGTGCGGCGGCTCTCTTTATTCTCCTTCCTTACTCTGGTTGTCCCGACATTGGTAGTTATCACGATTGTGGATTCTTGTCGATTATTGTGATTATACTGTTGACTGAATGATACTAGAAATATTCTGTCTTTGAACTTCTGTTGATATCTCAAACATCCACACTCTGCAAATACAACACCCTCGCTGTCTGATACCCACTCTACTATCTCACTCGACTATCCCACCAAAAAACGTGGTCAGAACCACTAAACACCTCAGTTTACTAATCCGCACCGGCAGCTCGGCAGCTTTTGACTCAAAAACGCCATGTGCCTCCCACCTGCCTGCCCTCCCGTCCTCAATCCCTCCCTCGAACGCACGCAATACTCTCAATAAACTCCCCTCCTCCTCGCTACATTGCCATGGCCGCTCATCTACTCTTGCTGCGTGCCTGGCGGCATTCCAGATTTGTATTTTTTTTTCCCCTCCTCTCTTATTTCTGTAACTGAGCAGCTTTGCTTTTTCTCTTGTCTTGTTCCTTTTTTGGAGAGAAGGATGGGATTCTGGCGTGATTTTTTCTTGCTACACTTGCTGTTTTCTGAAGACGGATCCTTGGCCTGCCTGCTGTTGCTACCACCTCGTTTACTTTCTCACAGTCCTCTGAGAGTGACGATTATCTGTCTACTTACCCCGTCCTAATCCATCCCCGGATCATAGAAGTTCCGGGGTCCCGGATCATCAAAAGCCGAACGCCCACCATTTCGCCATCTCTTCTCGAGAGAAAAACAACTACAAAGTTAAGCTCTTCGGGGTCCGCAGTTCTTGCCATTTGACTACTGAGAAACAAAAGGGCGAAGCACGCAGCTCTCCCGAGAAGGAGGCGGGCACGTGGCGGTAAACTCTCCGAGAGCGTATTCCTGATATCCTCTGTGTGTGTGGGTGTAGGCTTCGTAAGAGAAGAAAAAAGCTACGTCGGGATCCACTTCGCCCGTACTGAAGCACTCTCGGACTGCTGCCGCAGTGCCTGCAAGCGACTGTTATGCTTTCCCAGCGCGCCATACAACATAGGCGTTTTACAACTTCACGTGGCCGTCTAGGGCCGGCGACGGCATTTCCAGCCGGAAAATGACACAACCCTTCCTCTCTCTCTCTCTGTGCTCTCTTTGCTCTTGCTGGCGTATATCTTTGAATACACTTATCATCTATACTGTGGTGGTGCCTCGCGAGCTCGCTTATCTGGGACCGAGACTTTCGCCCCGTTTTCGGAAGTACGTGCTTTTTGCCCTGGGTTGTATCGTTTGGAGGGTACTTCCGGACCGGACTGGAGGAGGGTATAAGTTGGTGCTGTCGCCTCGTCTGTCGTCTTTTTTCTCTAGCTCCTGAAGTCCAAGATAACAGTCGCGCTTAAGAAGATTTGTCTGGAGGCGCTCAATACTTTCCCTCTACAGCTGCTCTACGCCTGCTCTACACCTGCTCTACACCGCTCTACACCGCTCTACACGACAATACACCACCAGAAGATCATCATGGCGCGCGACCGGAGCAGTAATAACGGCATCATCACCCGCCGCCGAATCGACAGAGAACCCCGTTCCCGGTCAGGTAAATCCCCCCCTCTCCCACACTACTCTCTCGCACCACCAAGCTAACACCGCACCAGGCTGCCTGACCTGCCGCGCCCGCCACAAGCGCTGCGACCAACGCATGCCCTCGTGCAGCAACTGCAACCGTCTGAACCTGAAGTGCGAGGGCTACAAGTCCGTGCTGCGCTGGCAAGCCCGCACGATGCAGTCCGTCAACATCCCGGATTCGACCTACCGGTCTGTGCGGTACATTGTCTTTGGACAGGCGGACTACCGCGACTACAGCGAGGAGGTCGAGACGCTCTTGGATCTGTATTCGCAGATGGATCTGTTGCCTGATGAGCAGGAGCAGCACACGCATCAAGTCCAGCAGCACATTGGATCGGACTACATGCCCTGCCACGCCGTCAAGGACGACTACTCCTCCCCCGGCACCATCCCCCTCGCGACTCCAGACCTAGCCTACTTCAGCGCCTTCGAAGACAGTCCCAGCGGTCTCATCTCCCCTCCTGCCGCGATCGACAACAGCAGCAGCATGCTAGACCACTCCGACCTCATCTATCTCCCTGACGCCGCCATGCCAGCTACCGCCCCAGCACCAGCAGCGGCGGGGAAGTACGAGCCGTGCTGGTTGGCGGCGCTGAATGGGGCTGCGGTGGACGGCATGTTGACGGAGTATGCGGATCATCAGATGGAGGTTATGATGCCGATGGCGAATCCTGATTTCACTGCCGTGACTTATATATAACCCCCTCTCTTTCAACTTCTCTATGTTTTCTAATGTTTGATGATGTCTCTATGATTATAATGACTATGTACTTTTTCTATGTATTTTGTGGGACAAAAAATCTGGAAAGCCGATAGACTGTGTATCGGAGCAATGACCTTTTTATGTGGCGCAGTGTTCTTTACGTTTTTGGAGTACGTACTTTTATGTTTGTGTTGTTGTTTTTGGTAAAGATGAGATGGTTTTGTTGGAGTTTTTAATGATTTGGTGTATTTTTATACGGGGAATGATGTACGTAATATATATATGATACATAACACAATTATGATAAAATCGTCTCATGTCGCAACCGCACAACAGCTATAACTAAACACCCTTCTCATCCTCAAAAAGACAGCAACAAACCACCTCTTCCCACACTCAAGAGATATCAGCACCCATCATCGGCCTTGCATACTTTGCCCCTCCAACTCTATCACCGCGTTGCTTTTGCCATCGGACGCGGATGGTCCTACCATGCGAGCGATGGCGCACATGGCATCGGCGACGCGCCGCAGGCTGTGTGCACAAGGTTGGAGTTTATAAGTCTGTTTTTGGATGCTTGGAGATAAAAGGTGGAATAAAATAATTGATCGGAATGGGAGGTTTCCGCGCCTGAAGGTCGCTTTGTTTGCAAATCCATACATCTGACGAAACAAAGAAAAGTGGAAGGAAAAACAGGAGGATCTGGGGGAGGAATAGCACTCGGCTCAAAATATCTCGAAACGGGTCCAAAGGGTCTCACCTAACCCGAGGCGGGATTTTCACTTCACATCAGTACGGGTGCTTGTATATGAAACTAGTTGCGCACGGAGCGCCTTGCTTTGACGAGACGAGAGGCGGAGGTCCGATGAGTTGATGCCTTGCGATGGCGCAAGATCGGACCGGTCGGTCGGTCGCGGGCCGGCCGGGGTCCGGAGGAGTATGGGGTAGGAGAGGTCGTAGGTTGTGATTTCGGGGATTGGGAGGTCAGCTGTGCTGGTCATTCATTCATGATGAAATGTAAGTGTTGAGACTAGACGGTGGAGTAGTCCACCACAAAGTCGCAGCATTACTCCTTCTTGCTCACGTGCGCGGGGTTCTCTTTCTTTCCTCAACCAGCACCAGATCATTCATCTCAGAAGGCCAAGCCAAGCGCACTCTTTCCTCTCGGCCGACTACAAATCTTGGACAAAAAACCAGACCGAGACAAAAAAATCCTCGTTTGGGAAACCGCCCAGATTCCGGCGCCACGCGAGAGGCTAGAGCGCCATGTGCGCGCCGTGGGAGGCATGGCGGAGACCGGAAGTGGAAGACGTCCGGTTGTCGATCTGGTGGATTGGGGAAGTAGGGGAAAAAGGGATGGATGTCTGTGCACTCGGAGATGGAATTATAAAATGTGGTGGTTGGTGGGTGGTGTCTGTGCTGGGGTGGGTTGTTGCAAATACCCCACGATGCCCGCTTCATCTGTCGTCGGGTATGAAGTCGCGCTTGACTTGTCATTCTGCAGTCGTCATGAGAGGTCGTATATTTTCTGCTTGACATCATCACTCGCTTTTTCTGACCGGAGCAGGTAGGAATAGAAGCACAGTACTCGCAAATAACCCGAGCAACGCACATGGCATGAACGCGATGGGTTTAGGCAAGGCAGCCTGTCCAGCACGTGTAGCAATTCCGTAGCTCGTTGGTCAGTCAGAGAAGGCGTAGGAGCAGTCAGCGGTTTGGTCAGATGGGTATGGGTGAATGATGTAATGAACGAGCGAGGAACGCTGGCGTGAGCGGATCTAGCGGGTTTTGTGCAATCAGAGAGTCTGAGGCAGCACTTTCGCAATACATAATAATAGCACCAGACAGAGTAACCAGACGTATAGTAAGCAGATATTACCGGAGACAGTAGAAATGTAGTTGCATATCCGACAGCATCGGTCTCAAACAGTTGAGTGAATTGATTCAAAGCAGCCCATCCAACCTCCCACACCCAGCGCCACCCTTCCTTCAATTAATCCCATGTCAATCCTCAACAACACAACGTCATCCACTCATTAATGATGATCATCAGATGCAACAAAAGCGCGTGGCGAGCGAACAGAGATGGACAGAGAAGTGATCATCATCATCATCGGCGGCGGTGGTGGAGAAAGTCCTAACTAGAAGACGCGGCGCGTGGTAACGTGACCGCGCGCTTTTGTTTGTTTTCTCGTGATTATGATTTGCTTTGGCCGCGTTCTCGATAATTATTGAAATAAGGAAGAACAGAAGCGATAACAGGAGGGAACGATGGAGGACGATGAATCGGTGTCGCCTATTAATCACGAAATACTCTCGTATGATGTGCTCTGGACCGCGCAGATGACGCAGAAGCGAAAGACCTGGAACGACGGTATGTATATGTCGTTGATATGATCCTCGAGAAGAAGACATCTGGCTGACTGAGCTCCTTTCTTGTTTGTTATAGGAATCGTGAAACTTCATACGTTTAATAAACGACTGATGCTGTACTCATCTGATCGAACTCTTCTCGTACGTCTCCACTCTTCTCTCCCACATCGGACTTTAGCACTAACTCACCCCCAGGACAGCAAGTATCTCAAACGCTCCCACCTCGAGCTCGGCGAGACAATCACGATGGACAAGCACATTATCACAATCGAAGACCAGAACGCGACATTCATCCAAGACGTCTCCGTCGTCATCCGCCAACGCTCCCTCGCGAGCAAAAACCGCACCGGTCCGCCCCCATCATCGTCGTCGGCGGCAGCGTCTCCTGCAGCTACACCGGCTCGTCGGAAAGCAATGAGGTTGTCGCCCCCGCGGTTGAAAGGAACGCCAAAGACGAGTATTGCTGATATCCAGTCTTTTATCTCACCGGGCGTGAAGAATATGCTTCTGCAAACGAGGTTTCCGCTTCTTCGCACTGCTCCTACTACTCTCAGTCATGTACGTATCGGCCATACTATTTACTACTAGACCAACGACTAACATCCCCAAGACGTCACCCCCGAAAGGCACTTTGTCAGACACACCATCGCTGCATACCCCTCTCCCCAGCACAACAAAGTCTCTACTTCCCACCCGCCATGCACCGAATCCGACAACCGCCACAATCGACATCCAGAAAAACACTCAGCTACCCACGCCTCTATCCATCAAATCCACAACTTCAAAATTATCATCCACAGCTACCCCGACACCGACACCTACCGCAAAGAACGCACTGACACCACGCACCCCCGCCTTATCCCCACTACGACAGCAAGGCTTCCAACTCGCCAGCGCACCTCTCGTGAACGCAAACACCGCCTCCTCACCAGAAGATTCAAGACCTGAAACCGCCGGCATAATCGAAATCTCTACACATCCCAGACATCCAGAGAAAGAAACTCCAGAAAATCCATACTCGCTGCCGTCGTCCTCTTCATTCTCCTTCTCGTCCTCGCAGTTATCAAACACTTCAGATCACAACGACACACGACGTCCCGACAGCGAGGAGAGGAATAAGAAGTCTGCGCCTACAAAACGGCCGTTGCTTAGTTTAGGTTCACGGAAATCGAAAAAGGTGCATCGATAATAGATTTCCTCAATGGTTTAGGGAGTATTCTGGTTATATCAAATATATTTGCGGTATCAATAAAGCACATGAACAACACTACTACCACTTAAAACCTGGAAACAATCTCAACCTCATCTAAATAAAACAAGAAAATCAAACACATGAAAGAAAACAAATACATAAATCATTTTAATATCAAAAGAGTGACAAAAGGAGTGACAGTGATTCGGCTCAATCGAGTGTCCGAATTAGAAAAAGTACAAAAAATGAGTGTATATGAATGAGTGTGAGTCAACTAAAAAGCAAAGAACTGGTAAACAATCAATGGTGTCGGTGACGATTCAGTTTTGATACATCGTGCTTGCCTATAATCCAAAATGATTAGTACTCTGCCATTCAACAATACCTCAAAGCCAGCTTAACTCACCATCGCAGCACACCCTAACATTCTCTAATCCCTCACCGTCTTCTTCGGCCTTTGCACGAAGAGCAGCGACGCTCTCAACAGACATCTCTCTGCTCGGACCGGGAGTAGTACTAGACCCCGTCGGCGGCCGAAGCAATGTCGACAGCTTTCCAACCGACGCTTGGCTTCTCAGCGGCCGCGCCGGCACAGAATGGCCTGACCGCCCACGACTCTGCAAAGATGGCACAGGGCGCAGGCTTGCGGCTCTCATGTAGTTCTGATGTGAAGCCACTGATCCTGAACGAGGCATCGCAAATCCACCCGTCATCGAGCTTGAAGGCGTCATTTGGAACGATGGTCTTGGGTTGTATCTCGTGGGCCCGTGGAGCGAGCTGTTGTTGATTTCCTGCATACGGGATTCGCCAGAACTACTCCGAAGAAGGAGGAAGGACAACGCAAAAACCCATGTCTCGTGCTCGGCCTGAGTTAAGCATGTCACCTGTAGAACTCTAGCGGGTGTCTTGATCACAATGCTCTTATTAAACAGTCCGGGTGGGAACGGGTTATCGTCATGAACGACATGTACTTCCTCAATCAGAGCGGACTTTGCATGGACTTCGCCTCCATTTCTCGGAGGCTCTTCTTTGCTCCAGTGCAACGTTCGAGTGTAAGGATGAATCCAGAAGTATCGCGCATGCCGGTTTCCTGACAACGTCTGTCGTCCCATCTTCCTGGTATACTTCCAAAGAGTGTCTCCAATCATCGTCTTGGTAACTGCCCGAATAGCAGCCGCGTGCATCTGCTCCTCAGGGCTAACCTCCGACTCAGAGTGCATGACAGAACTGCCCATCTGACTGTGTTGATCCGAAACATCGTACATCGAACTCTGTCTGCTTCTCTGGTGCATACCAAGATCCGCTGCAGCATTCACAGGGCTGCGCACAGATCGTTCGCTGGCGATATCCGAGAAAGCGCGAGAGCTCATGGACGGGCTCACTTTGTGCTTGTTTGTAAGAGCCTGGTACTTTTCCAATGGAATAACAGTCATCGAAAGCGCAGCAGCAGCCTCTGATAACTTCTCGGCCGTCATAGGTTGCTCAATCTGCTGCTCTCTGCTCTTTGCACTCGTCGAGATGATTTCGTCAAACTTCTCCTTTGTGACTGCAATCATACCCAAACTCTCGGCATCTTTGCAAACACTATCGGCAGTGACCTTGCGATTGACAAGACTGTTGTAGACACTGTTTGGAATAACCGTCAGCGAAAGAGCAGCTGCCTCCATCGCCACGCTCTCAGGTGTCAGAATCTTGTTCGAGACAGCATCAGCCTCGGTCTGCTCAAGTATCTCATCGAACCGCTCTTGTGTAAGAGCAATCATCGACAACTGCTCAGCGTCCCTCACAACAGTCTCTTCGGTGACTTCTCTGGTCTTCAGCTGCTCAAGTTCCTCAGCCGGTAAAGCAACCATGCTCAAAGACTCTGCATCTTTAGCCACCGTAGCATCATCAACTACCCGATTCTCCAGAGCGTGTTGAACCGCATGCCCAATCTCGGCAGACATCTCCTGCTCAGTAAGAGCAAGCATAGATACCTTGCCGGCATCAGCACGAACCGAGTCTTCAGTAATCTCCCGATTGACAAGCGAGTCGTATTCCTCCTTCGCAACGGCCACCATAGACAAGGCCGCCGCATCGGTCGCCAATGTATCAACAGTGATCTCCCGGCTGGCAAGAGCTTTATCTTCCGTGCTCCTCAAAAGGTCGGCAAAGTCGTCCTTCTTCATGGCAACCATCGATAACTCCGCCGCTTCAGCCATGACCGATTCAGCTGTCACAACCTTGGGTGCTGTCAACTCCTCATACTGGTCAACGGGCAAAACACGCATCGAAAACTTGGCAGCATCCTCAGATACCGACTCGACTGTCTTCTCCTTCGTCAAAAGCTCATAAGTCTCCTTGGCAACAGGAACCAGTGATAGGGCGGCAGCGTCGGCAGCGATAGATTCAGCAGAAACAGTACGCTCTGAAAGCGCCTTTTGCTCAGCGGCAGAGATGGTCTTCTCCAGATCCTCTTGTGACATTGCAATCATCGAACAACGCGAAGCATCATCAATCACTGATTCTTTCGTGACCGGACGCTTCTCAAGTGCCTCCGAGCGCACGCTGCCCAAGGCCGCGGAATAATCCTCCGCAGTCATCGCAACCATCGAACACTTTGCAGCATCCTGCAGGACAGTGTCCGTATCGATTGTGCGAGTAGACAAAGCCTCGGATCGAGCACTAGCCAGCATGTCGGAGAGTTCAGATTTCGGCACAGCTACCATAGAAAGAGATGCCGCATCGGCGGCAACCGTCTCAGGTGAGACTTGAGGCTTTTCAAGCAATGAGTTGTAAGCAGCGATAGGCAAGGCCACCATAGAAAGAGCCGCGGCGTCTTCCAAAAGACTCTCCTTGCTCGACTTGCGGGCAACCAGACTATCGTATTCGCTCTTCGGAATCGCAACCATAGAGAGCGTTTCAGCATCTGCCTTGACTGACTCTACAGTGATAACGCGGTTGACGAGTGAGTCGTACTCTTCCTTGGATATCGCGACCATAGACAAGGAAGTTGCATCCTCCAAAACAGACTCTCTTGTGATGGGCCTGTTCTTCAGCAAGTCATACTCTGCCTGCGGACAAATCACCATATTTTTGGCAGTAGCCTCTGCAAGCATAGACTCCGGAGTCAACTGGCGAGCGACAAGCTCATCGTACTCATCCTTAGAGACCGCAACCATCGAAAGAGATAGGGCATCCGAGACGACGGACTCCTTCGTAATTGGGCGGTTTTCAAGCTCGTGATACTTCTCCTGTGGAACAGCAACCATCGAGATCGAAGAAGCATCTGCAATCACAGTCTCAGGAGTTATCTTGCGATTCACCAGAGCATCATGTTCGTGCAGAGCCAGCGCAACCATCGAGACAGCGGCAGCATCGGCAGCAACCGACTCAGCGGTAGGCTTGCGATTAACCAACTGCTCGTATTCTTCAGTTGGCACCGCTGTCATCGACAAACTAGCAGCTTCAGCAGAGACAGACTCGACTGTTGGCTTGCGGTTGACGAGTTCGTCATACTCAGTCGCAGGGACTGCGACCAAAGACAAACTGGAGGCCTCTGCAGAAACAGATTCAATAGTAGGCTTGCGGTTGACAAGTTCGTCATACTCAGTCGCCGGTACAGCGACCAAGGACAAACTAGAGGCCTCTGCAGAAACAGACTCAATAGTTGGCTTGCGGTTGACGAGTGCGTCGTAGTCAACTGTGGGAACCGCAACTAAAGACAGACTAGCAGCCTCAGCTGCAACAGACTCGACCGTTGGCTTGCGGTTAACAAGCTTTTCATACTCCTCAGTTGGCACGGCAGTCAGCGATAGACTAGCAGCCTCAGCAGCAACCGACTCAGCTGTTGGCTTGCGGTTGACAAGCGCGTCATATTCAGCCGCCGCAACTGCGACCAAGGAGAGACAGGCAGCCTCAGCAGTCACAGACTCCGTAGTAGGCTTGCGGTTGACAAGCTTCTCGTACTCCTCAGTTGGCACCGCGGTCATCGATAGGCTGGCAGCCTCAGCGACAACAGACTCAACAGTCGGCTTGCGGTTGACCAGCTCATCATATTCGGACGCGGGTACAGCAACCAGCGAGAGACTAGAGGCATCGGCAGCGACAGACTCAGGCGTTGGTTTGCGATTCACGATCTGGTCATATTCATCCTTGCTCATCGCAACCATTGCTGCAGCTTCTGCGTCGCTGATTACTGACTCAGGAGTAATGACACGCTCAGCAGTCAGAGTTGAGTATTCATCCTTGGGGATGACGACCAAGGAGCGTACTTCCGCGTCTGCACGTACCGACTCGTCTGTAATTTCGCGGTTGACCAATGAGTGATGAGTTTCCTTGGGTAGAGCAACCATTGACAGCTTCTCAGCATCCGCAGCCAGCGACTCTTCTGTGATAGGCCGGTTCATCAAAGCATCGTACTGGTCTAAAGGTAAAGCAATCATCGATAGACCCTTTGCATCCTGCTGCACAGAGTCGGCAGTTATCTTGCGGTTCACCAAAGCGTTATAAGATTCCGCCGGGATGGCAACCATTGAGAGCGCAAGCGCATCAGCCTTGACGGTCTCAATAGTAACCACACGCTCAGGCTCCCAGGGCTCTGTCATGGCCTCTGCGTCAGCAGTCTCAACTTCAGCACCCTTCTTTGGAGTATCGTCCTCGCGAGAACTGTAGGGGCTTGAGCCAAGCTCATTGAATAGTGGCTGAGGCGTGCCGAAATTGCCGCTATCGCGCTTGGCGCCTCTTGAGACTATCCGTTGACCGAATCTGGACTTGAGGAATCTAGCACTGGATCCTTCGTCGTCGTCAGTACTCGCAGTTCGGAACGAGTATACCGAAGAACGCTGGGCAGCAGAGTCCTCTGTTTCCGTCAAGTTATCGTCACTGTATGCAGTTTCCATACCGGTGCGATAATCGTCGGTAACAAAACTCTCCCCATCGCTCGTAGGGGCATCCCGCGCAGTCTCAAATCCGGTGTCAGTTTCGTCCACAGTCGACTCCCGGGCAGACCTATACTGAGCATCGCTATTCGAACCGTTGAAGGATTCCCAGTTGATATCATCCTCCGGATCCTCGAGATCGGTTGAGATGCGGTATTCCGCCTTTCGACCTGCGAGACCGAGAGTGCGACGAGTAGATTGAGCCACGGACGCCAGTTTCGATTTTCTGTTGCCCTTGGTTTTGCTGCGCAAAGCGTCAATCTCCTCTAGCGCCTCTGCTAATTGTCGTCGCAACTCCAGCTTTTCGGTCTTTTCACGATGAACAGTACCCTTGAGTGTAGTGACAAGTCGATGGGCATGAGTAAGTGAGGCTTTCAGAGTCTGACCTTCAAGAACCATATTATGGGCGGGAGTTTGCTTGACGGGAGACATGGGCGGGGATCGCTCAGGAGTCTTGGGGTCGTCAGAAAATCCGGCATCCGGCGAGGTCGTGTCAATGGTAGTGTCGCGGGATGGTGAGTTCTCCCAGGCTTGAGCACGGCGCGTGCTCTCTTCTAGCTGAGTCGAAAGCTGCTTCACGTTCTCGGTCAAAGTCTCATTATCCTCGCGCAATTTCGAAGTCTCTTTCTCGTAATCGGTTATGTCGTTGTCATATCGGCTTCGAAGGGTGTCAAGCTCAGATTGGAGCTCGCTTTCGTGCTGCTGCAAGGCTTCGATTGTTTCTAGCTGAGCGGTATATAATTTTAGAGTCTGAGAGTTCTCAAGATTGATCTTTGACAGACGATCAGATGCGTTCGAAGTCTCTGATTCAAGTTGCTGGATGCGCATCTCGAGATTCCAATTCTCTTCTTTATATTTCTCTGTAGGAGCAAGTTAGCACTGTGAAGCCAAATAAAGAGCGATCTAGATTATCAAAGCAGCCACATACCCTCCGACTCATCAAGAGCTCTCACTCTCGCCTCCAGCCCTTCAACTACCGACTCGAGCTGAGTACGCACGGCATCCGACTCCTTCAACTTTGCATCCTTTTCGACGACTTGAGCCTGCAGCTTGCGGCATTCGAGAAGTAGCTCATGTCCAATATCGGTGACAAATTGAACATCTTGATTTCTGGTCGCAGCATTCTTTTGCTTTCTAGAGGAAGCGCCGGGTCGCATTGGTACGTTACCAGCCGACGAGAAGGGGATATTCTCCTGTTGGATGATCGTTGTTAGTACCGGTGAATGGAAGTGGCAGGTAGACGGCACTAACCTTTCCGCTGCCCTTTGAAGAGGACATGTTCTCGGTTGGCAGTACTGCGGTGGGGCGGAATCAAATTACAATCAGAGATCCACAGGAACTCGACGAATATCGAATGATCCGACTGAGGCCGACGACGTCTATGCGTTAGTACTATAAACAAACAGTTATAGGATCAAACAAGATCAAGATCAAAAGCAAACATACCAAAGCAGCAACAACCTGCAAACAAACTACACAAAAGGCGGTTGCGAAAGGTGACGAAATGATAAACAAAGGAGGAGGAGCCAGGAGAGAGTTGTGGTCTGTTGACATTTCCCGAACTCGCTCCTGAAAATTAAGGTTTCACTCACTTTAAGGTTTTTCTTGTTTGGGACAAACGTAAATATTGAATCACGTGATTGTCAATGCGGGGTTTGACGGCTGCAGTTGCCGGTCGAGAGCACGCGATGATCTTGAAGAAGAGCATTTGTTGTATTTGTCTTTGATATTCTTTTACTTATAACCACTTAGTATATATTATCAGCACTATGGCAGCAGCTTCGGCATCTTCCGGATTTATCCAAAGCACACCGCAGTTGCGGAACCAATTCACCTCTGATCCAAGTCTCCAGCGAATATTTACCAGTAATATGCCCCTGCTCCTACTGCTAAGACCAATGCTGACGTTTGTTGTATTTCAGATCGTCTACCGAAAGAAGTCTCAGAAGATGTTCTTTCTGACCTACACGACTTCGGCCAGTATGTCGTGTCTGACGAGATCTTTGACTATGTTCAAGATGCCGAGAGCAATCCACCTACGGTCGAGACGTATGATGCTTTCGGAAACAGAGTGAACAGATTAAGAACATCCTATGGTTGGAAGAAGGAAAAAGATCTAGCTGCATCGCATGGGTAATCACCATCTTATATTCTCTCTGTTGAAAACCCTACTGATAGCCTCTGCTTTCAGAATCATCGCAGCAGCATATGAGCGAAAATACGGTCAAGACAGTCGAGTATACCAGTTTCTTAAGTGAGTGCTTCAGCTTTCATGGTTGGGAAAATCTTGGCTGACTGGAAATCATAGGTACTATCTATACGCACCCTCGTCCGCTTTGTTCACATGTCCTCTGGCAATGACCGACGGTTGTGCCCGAGTACTGGAGATCTACGGCGTCAGGCGCGATGTCTTTGACCACCTGACAAGCCGCGATCCATCAAACTTCTGGACCTCAGGTCAGTGGATGACTGAGAGATCTGGCGGCTCAGATGTCTCCGGAACGGAAACGTACGCTACCAAGCTACCGGGAACTGAAAACAAGTACGAAGTCAGTGGTTTCAAATGGTTTTCATCTGCCACAGACTCGCAAGTAGCCCTTCTTTTGGCTCGGGAACACGAGAAGGGTAAACTGAGTTGCTTCCTGGGTGATATCAAATCCGGAGGTGCAAATATAGTACGGCTGAAGAACAAACTTGGCACAAAACCTTTACCAACAGCTGAACTGGAACTACGCAATCTGAAAGCGGAGTTGATTGGCGATCGCGAAAGAGGTGTTGCAGTGATTTCAGCGGTATTGAACATTACTCGAATTCATAATAGTGTTAATGCTGCGGCTTTCCTACGCCGTAGCTTGGAGATTGTCAAGGTAGTTGAGGTTTAGCTCTTCAGCCTCCGAGAGTATGGGTCATTAACTAGCTATGCTTTATAGGAATTTTCCTTAGTTCGCAAAGTATTTGGTCAGCCTTTGCATACAGTAGCTTCGCATGTGCACACATTGGCCGATCTCGAGGTTCGTCAGAATGCTCTCATGCAAATCACCTTCCGTTGTGTTGCACTTCTCGGGAAATCAGAGTGCGGCAGTGCTTCAGCAGACGAGCTGTTTTTAATGAGGTGCCTGCCTTCGGTGAGTGATCTCCAATATTTAGGAAGCAGTAGAAGCTTGAGTTTCTGACAATAGTATAGCTTGTAAAAGCATATACTGGAAAGCGCGCCCTTGCTGGAGTTTCAGAGTGCATGGAAGCGATGGGCGGTGTTGGGTATCTCGAAAATGAGCCTGCGCTGAACATTGCTCGCTTGGAGCGCGACGCCCAGGTGCTGACTATTTGGGAGGGTGAGTTGCTCTTTTGCTACTTCTTCATGTAAGGACTTGGACTAACCAGACGTTAATATTCGCATGTAGGCACGACAAACGTATTGGTATGCAATATTAGATGTTGATGCTTTTTCTTAGCTTATATGAATGCTGATATGATTGTATGTAGTGCGACGATTTCGTCAGTGTTGTCCATGCAAAGGCACAGCACTCGGTGTCTGCATTCCGCAGATTCTTAGAAAAAACACTACAGAACAGCGACCGATCACTTTCAGAACAGATCTTAGGATCCTTTGAAGTATGGGCAAAGTATATCCAAGGCAGTACACTAGCAAGCCTGCGCTCGCGCGGTCGAGCTGTGGGTTTCTACTTTGCAGATATCGTATCTGCTGCACTATTAAGCGAAGATGCAGCGTTTGACAATGATCCTCGAGCTGTGGAAATAGCTAGGCGGTATGCCGCTCGTCTGTCGGGAAGCGACCCGCTAGCCAAGTTTTCAGAGAACTCTGCGAGCGACTATAATACGGCTGCGGTTTTCCACAACGGTAATCTTTCTACTAAATCAAGGTGATCACCAAACAGTCAGCTAACACAGAGTAATACAGATTATCTCATTGTCTTTGGAAAACCGCCAGAGAAGGATCCGCGAAGCAAGCTGTGAGGGTGTTTAAACTTTAACTTATCGGAGGAGCCTAATCGGCCGGGGTAGAATACCAATGAACACGCCTGCAAAAACAACAACGCTCAATTAATATTGAAGTTTTCTCAATAAGAAATGCAATTGTAAAACATACAATCAATAACAAAGAACAGCAAGCCTCCTGACTGCCCCAGACCGACCGAGCAGACAAAAGAGCCGGCAAAAGATAAGGCTGCTTATCGGATCGCGAACGGACCCCAAATAGAGTTCTGACCGCTGGTCAATGGAACCCCGTCCAGCCAACCAAACCGCCTGACAGCCTGACTCTTGTCTGTCTTGCGATCTTTGTTATTTGGAAATATCTGTTTAACTCCACGGTTCAGATATGTTTCGCTACAAGAAAATTGCGTATGTGTATCCAATTGACGTTCACACGAGCAGCTGGCTCGATTGCGCTTGGGACTATATGGCTAATTGACAGTACAATGCTCTAGTGCTGCAAAGCAGAAAGAAAGAGAAGAGCGCATCGCCGAGCTCTTGCCCGTGTACGGAGCTCCCGAGACGCCGGAGGAAGTTGCGATTTTCAAGACTCCCGTTGCGGAAGTTGCGGCGAAGGTCAAGGCTGGCGAGTTGAAGCCGATTGACATCCTGCATGCTTACGGCAAGAGGACGCTGAAGGCGCAGTTCGATACCAACTGCTTGACTGAGATCTTGTACAAGGACGCTGAGAAGTGGGCTGAGACTTGCAATAAGAATGGTAATTTTCATATTGGTGGGAGAGGAAAAGACTCACTGGGCTAACTGCTGTTGTAGGTGCGCTTGCCGGTATCCCGATCTCGTTCAAGGACACCGTCTCGATTGCTGGATATGACTCTACGCTCGGATATACCAAGTTTGCGTTCAACCCTCTAAAGCACGACTCCACTCTTGTCAAGCTCTTGAAGGACGCCGGTGAGTTTCGATAATCTGGTGCTTAAAGTAAGAGTCAATGTGCTAACCGCAGCCGATACAGGAGCGATCCCGTACTGCAAGACAAACATCCCCACGACTCTTCTCTCGTATGAATCCTACAACAACATCTTCGGCCGCACCGAGAACCCCCACGTTCACGGATACTCTGCCGGTGGATCCAGCGGCGGCGAGGCTGCTCTTCTTGCTTTTGGCGGTGGCCGCGTCGGCATGGGCACCGATGTCGCGGGCTCTGTTCGCGTGCCTTCTCACTTTGCGGGCTTGTACACCGTGCGTTCTTCCTATGGCCGTATTCCCCGTGCTGGAAACACTGCGCCGCTGCGTGGCCAGGACGGTATTACCTCGATTTACTCACCCATGTGTCGGTACTTTGAGGACCTCGAGTACGTGTTCAAGGCTATTATCGACATGAAGCCCTGGGATTACGATTACACCAGTCACCCGATCCCCTGGCGTGAGGTTACTCTGCCTGCTAAGCTCAAGATCGGAGTGATGTATGACGACAGCGTTGTCACTCCTTCGCCCGCCTGCGCTCGTGCTCTTCAATTGACTGTTGACGCGCTCAAGAAGCAGGGTCACGAGGTTGTGGTGTTTACTCCTCCTTCTCCCTTGGAGGCTCTCCGGATTGCCACCCAGCTGATTGTCGCCGATGCCGGAAAGATGGGAACTTCGCACTTGTTGAGCCGATGCGAAAAGTACGATCTCGGCGTGATGAAGTTCATCAAGATCGCCAAGCTTCCGTCGTTTATCAAGAAGATCTGGGCGTGGTTCATTCTCAAGTTCAAGGGCGACTTTGTGCTTGCCACGCTCCTGAAGAACTGGAGCGAGAAGTCGATGTTTGATTACATGGAGCTCATCATGGAGCGCGAGGGATACCGCAACGACTTTTACAACGCCTGGAAGGACTCTGGAATCGATTTCCTGCTCACCGTTCCCAACGCCACCCCTGCTCTTCCCCATAACGGTATGTTCGAGGCCTTTGCCTCCGTCGGCTACGCGTCCATGTTCAACCTTGTCGATTACTCCGCGGGCGTGATCCCTGTGATCCACGTCGACAAGGAGATCGACGCCCTGCCGGTCGGGTTCTCGACAAAGAAGATGAACTATGTTGCCAAGGGCGCGTACAGAAACTACGACGCGACAAAGATGGACGGATTGCCTGTCGGCGTGCAGATCGTTGGACGACGACTTGAGGAGGAGAAGGTGCTGAAGATGATGGCTAAGACTATCGATGCTTTGCGCGATATCGGCGTTGAGTATGAGTTGCTCAACGAGCCATAGATAGAGTCGATGTTTGCTATATCATGAAACACAAATAACCATCTCTTTTATTCACTATTAGTTATACAAATTCCCTGTTTTACATAGTCTGTAGAATATTCCCACAATACAAACACGTATCGCAAACCCTCAAAACTCCAGCCGCGAACGACTCACTTTCCTCCGCAAAGAAATCAGCAGCGACAGCCTTCCCGCCGCAAAAGTTACATTTCCTCTGATGCAGACTCATCAGCGGCGTGAATGTTATCGGGCAAATAGCCCATCTATGGCCCATCTTGCGACACACACCCACGCAGAATTCGTCGCCGCGATTAGCTTGGAATTGAATCTCGATAAGGCCTTCGCATGCGACGCATATAAACCCTATATCGGTATTTGGAGATCCGATCGTTTGTTGATAATGCGTTAATGTCTCTGGCCAAAGGATAGGAGCACCGTCGCAGATCGAAATCGCTAGACTCAGGAACTGGCTGTGATAATGCAGTACCCGTCTAGATGAGATATCCATCTCGCTTCCATTCTTGCCCATCTGAAGAAAATGGCTTAGCACTGCAACGGCAAACTCAGAGCGGATAGCCAGAAGATTTTGTCGTTGTGATTGTTGGATATCGGCTGCGTCTGCGTCCTCTGTTGATGCTGACTTACTCCATGAGTAGAGAATATTTAAAACCCTCCTCCATAGCGGAGAATAGCTGTAAAGATAAAATCTCCTCAAACTGTTTTCGTCCGATAATGCCGATGGACAACTCTCCAGTTTCCGACTCACGACTTCAATCGAGCTCGCAATCCATTTCCTCTCGTTCTCAAGCGACACTTTTGCGTTAAACGCGCTCAGCTTGGCAGCCCAGAAAACCGCCCGCGGAGAAAAGAGATCGCCGTTGCCGAAACTGCGCTCGACTGTGTCCCAGAAAGTAGTCAAGTCCATGTCATATGCAAAAGCAATGTGGCTGGACTGGTTGGAGATGATTGGATATCGTAGTCTGTCGGATGGGGATAGCGTGTATAAACACGCGGCGATTCCGAATTGATCGACGGCGGAGCCGTAGACTCGCATTTCTATCAGGCTGGGAGAGATCTCGGCAAAGGTGGACGAGGAGTACGTTCTAGTCTTGAATGCTATTTGCTGAGCAATCAAACTCGGATGTTCCAATTCGTCCACGATAGAAGCAGTTCCGCTTTCGTAGTCATATCGCACGGTTACGGTCTGACCAGTCGCTGAAACTAATTCAGTACAGACTGCGGAATCGGTGTTGATCCAATTTGACCTAGCCCCTACTATAGGTGTAAAAATATCAGGCTTCACTGACACAAGGTTGCGCGCGTCGTGCTTATTGACCTTAAAACCGACAATTCTCGTGTGTCGAGGGCTCGAGGCTAGTGCTATTAGAATACCGTTGACTCCTTTGCACCAGTGTAAGTGCGTGATCGCGGACGAGAATTTTTCACAGAGCAGTAGTGGTGTGTCGATCTGTATAGTTGGCTCCGTAGAGCAATTGGAGACATGGACCGGTAGTAGATATAGCTCATTGTGACTTGTCGCCGCGGTGATGTATATCGTGACGTTATCGGGAGAGCTTGGATCAGCCGTCGGAGGAGAGAATTTGACGAGCGTGATCCATGATGATTCAGAGATGAGAATTGCTGCCAGTTGTTGAGGACCAGACGTGGGATGCAAATGCCATAAGCACAGTTCTCCGTGCTCGTTACCTGTCGCGAGCAGCGAGAAGGCAAAATTATTCTTTGTAAGAGTGCCGAGATTTGTAGACCAGTCGATAGCTACGTACCAGATTAGCATACAAAACCTTTCTCTCACTCAATATTCATAGACTTACAATGTAATCTCAATCGCTCAAGAGTAGTACGTGAAGTCACATACACGCGATCATCGCCAGGATCATAGCTCAGCTTCTCGAGCCGCGCTATAGTCTCGGATAACTTCCAACTAACAGTCTGCTGTCTCGATTCTGCTGCTGCTGGGCATATAATTGAAACTTCCAGCTTGGTCCAAAGTATAGCAAGTACGCTCCTGGCAGCTGTGTATGTACGTAGCGGGGAAGAGACCATATCTGTTGGCACGTCGAAACCGAGGCCGTCGGAAAGCGAGTCGGTGTCCATCGTATCAACTAGAGTATTAACGTCAGCTAAATGTTACTTTACGGTATTTTTCATCCAAATCAAGCGATCTACTTACCACCATCTAGGGCATTGATCCATTTCCGGTCGATTCCAAGAACTGCAGAGTCCAGCCATACACTACTCAGATCAAAATCCGGCACCGCACCATGCAACTCCGCAAGTTTTCCAGTCACAGTACTAGTTGTTTCCTCCGACAAACCAGACTGACCAGATGAGGTAGTACTTTTCCACACTTTCCCGACAACAGGGGAAATGGTCTGTATGCCAGGAGTGCGAATGACTCCGCCTGAAGCTCTGAAGCAGCTCGTGATTATATTGCCATCGTTCGAGAGCGCGATGCCACCAAAGAATGAGGGCGGCAGATGCCGCTCAATCGTGACATCTGAAATCATTGATTAAGACAGCTCGGATGTGAATGCATGGTATTCGTTAACTCTTGTTTAGCTATCGTGTAAGTATATTCGCGATTATGATCGAGACGCGAGGCTGTCGATATTATTTGTTTACATTTTGCTGACGCAGAACTGAGGCACTCGTAGTTCTTACCAAATATCGTTAATTCAACTGATATTAACGAGCACTTTGTTCATCTTACTTGTAGTGACTGTTTTCAGGTATTTTATTCATTACGTGCGATTGTAAGCTACTTGTATGTTCTTTGAAATATGTTTTTTGTTCTTGAAACCCGGGCGTTTTGGGGTTAATCTGCAATCCGACAAAAACAAGCAAAATATCCTGCAACTATTCGAATCTTTTGCCAAAATAGAAAAAAAAAAGAAAAAAAAAAAAGGAAAAAGAGGGATAATGTCTAGATATGACTGAAGTAGCGAATTGTGTACACCAGCAGATATGCCTGTCTTGATTTTTGACAAAAGTGATTTGCTAGACCACTGGTTTAAGTTGCTGTGTGAGGTAGTATAAAAACTAAATTCATCGAGCGGTTGAGCATGATAAATAGGCAAAGCCGGACAAAATGTGCCGATAATTCTGCAAAGTTGATGCTGTTTGGTCTGCAGGCAGGTAGGGCCGCTGGACACCACGTAGATATAAATGTAGACCGTTTGCGTCGAGACGGGAAAACTCGTTGGAATTGATGATTGTGGATTTATTGCGCTGGTTTCAGATCTGCGATTTGCCGTATCAGGAATTGCTTTTCGTCGTTGAATTGGTCGTCATCTGGTCAGGAGAAGGTTAATAATTGCATGGGACAAAACTGCTAATTTCTGCAAGGCACTCACTTGTCCGATCACTATGAAACTCAGGTAGAAAAACAAGAAGCTTCTCCTTGTTTTTGAGCAATATATCTAATACTGGCTTTGATTTGTTTGGGTTCGCGACAAACACCTAAAAGAAGGACAAGTAACGGGTCAGAATTAAGGTCGAGATACATAAGGACAGCGGAGAAAGTACCTTGAAAACATGGAACGATTCATATTGAATATTTTTACTCTTATCGCGGAGCATGTTCATGATAAGTTTAAGATGATCAGGGGAATCGATATAGGCGGTCATTATAACAAAATTTGTTCGATCAAGAAGAATTTCAGCTAGAAGCTTGATTGATTGCCGCTTTGTGACATAGTTGGAGGACTGTAGTAGGTTGTTGTATTGTTGGAAGAATTTCTCGGTATTTTCGGTGAAGAATTCGAGAGCCAGGGATTTGTGGCGAGTCAGGAGATCCTAAAAATAAAAAGATCAGCAGAGATCAATGGATGTGACAGTTAAGATCGAGATCGAAATACCCGTAGAGTTGAGAAAGCATCACTGGCAGTCTCGAAAGCCGGGAGCTGGACGTAACCAAAAAACAACCAGATCAGATCACTGAAGAGGATTATTTTAGCCAATTGCTCATGTTTGACGCATTCGCGTAGGGTCTGCCCGCAATTTTGGACGACTTCGGCGTTTTCGTAGCTGGAAGAGGAAAGTTGAGTTAGCTAGCTATGCGGACAGGAAAGCAGGCAGGAGATGGCACCTTTTGACGAGAAGGACGAGGATGGGTTCTTTAGTGCTGAGATACTGCACGGTTGGAAAACGAGTGCCGATCTGTCGCTGTAGGAGGCCATTGAAGAGGCTCATGGAGCTTTTTCGTAGCTCAAAGTCGATGACGGCCTGGCTGGCGATGATGTAGTATAGCAAATCGGAGGAGTAGGCCTCCTGAGCGACCATTGCTATGCTATCGGGGGAAGGATCTGTGTTGCCGTCGCCATGGAGAAAAACTTTGATCTGGCCGATGTAGCGGGTGATCTCATCGAGGGTCTAAAAGGGAGGAGGAGTGGTGGTTAGCTTGATGATGGAGAGGTGGTAGATGAGGAAAGCGGGAGAGGAGAGGGTGAGATACTTTTTTGTCGAGACCATGATCGAGCTTCTTTAGTGAGTCTCTTAGAGCACGAACGAGCTCCTGCGGGGACTTTTGACGACTAGAGCGGGAGAAGAGGAAGGCCATGTGGGTCTGTGGAGTTGCGGATAAGAAGATGGTGGGGAGCAGACGAGGGAGGGTGAGGATGGGTAATAGGGAGGGCGGTGAGCGGGATGAGGAGAACAGAGCAGAAGCACGAGTACACTTCAACACCAACACACGATTACGCAGAATCAGAAGGCTGAACAGGAAGAAGAAGAAGAAGAAGCAGGTTTTTTGTTGACGGTCTGGCTGCGGCGGACCCAAAAAGTCATTTCGGTCGCCGGGCCAACCGCCGCTGCGGCTCACGGTTTGTTTACATTTTCGAGGAGGACTGGCTGGGGAACGAAGGGGGTGCTGCGAATACTAATATCAAGTGGACTGTCGACTGATAACTCTACAGAAAATACACTGCATTGTCTAGGCTGAAAGAGGACAAGCAGTTGGGTGAATGATATGTAGAGGCACATTGCAGTAGCTGGGAGTGGGTGAATATGCAGGTTTGGCGGGAGGAGCATTCCATCAGACGCATAGCGGGCTCGCAGGTGATAGCAGCGAGAGCACAGCACCTGCAGTATTTACTGTCGTCGTCAATACTACAGGATAAAGGGAGAAGTCTGGTCGAGGAGCAGAGACTAGAATTGAGGACTGGTGTAGGAGGTGTTTAGTCTACAAAAGCGCAGCAGAGTCGAAATACGCTGCTCTTTTAACCTGATATTCTCTTGTTTCTCCCCGGATCCAGCATCCAACAACGCATCTCCTCAACTGCCCGAACCCACACTAAAACCCAAGTAAAATCCACACTAAAACCCAGCCGAACCCAAACTAATCCAACCTGAGCCATCGTAAGCGGAGGCAGACAAAGCGGCGTGTGAAAGCGATGTAAACAAACCGAGGGCTTTGTGTTTTGTCCCAGCCAAACCAAAACCACCCCCTTTCGCAACTTCACGAGAATTCCAACCTGTGATGGCCTTTTCTTGCTTCTGATTTCCCGGCTTGGTCTTGCTCTGTTTATTGCTGCGATTGCTGGTTGCTCTCTTGATCTGTTTCTCCTTACTCTTTGTCTACTGTTTCGTATGTCATGAACAACCCCCCTCGCCTCTGAGCACGTCTCTTCTCCTGCAAACACATGGCATCCGTCGCCAGTACGTCTTCTCTTCCTCTTCTTCCTCTCCTCCTCCACCTCTAACCTCCTCTCCAGACCAACCGTGGCCAATCGACCCTGACCGCCTCTACCCGGCCACCGTCGACCATCCTTCTTCTCCTAGGTACGCATATCCCAATCGAATTTCTATACTCTCCTCACCATTCTGACTCTTCCCCCCGCAGTGGTTCGGTGACGCGCTCTGCACCGCGTGCCTCGCCCTCTTCTCGTCTCTCGCTCGCTTCTAATGTGCCGGGTCGGCTCTCTCCCTCATCCTTCTCATCTGCATCCTCCTCCTCTCCTGCTCCTGCATGTGCTGCCTCCACCACTCCGCGTTCTCTCGCCCAGCGCTCTGCTGCTGCTGCTCTCGCCGCTGGCAAGTCTCCGCGCTTTCAGTCTCCCCGTGATCTCCTCAAGCGCACCACTCCTCAATCGCACGCCTCAAACGTCAACAACACTCCTAAATCACCCTTCCCTTGGGTCTTTCCCTCCGCCGATCAGACACCCGCCCCGCCTCCTCCGATCTTTCCTAGTCTAACCGGCTCATCACGTACCGATGCCTACGACCCTATCGGCGACCAGGACGCCGCTGCTGCTGCCACATCTATCCAGTTCAGCTCAAACGGCATCATCAACGGCATCACCCCCGCGCGTCTGGTCATCCTTCTGACTCTCCCCGACTCCCTCGACTATAACCTACTCTCTGACGTCTTTCTATGCTACCGTCAATTCATTACCCCTCTCGACCTCATCAGGCTGCTGGCCGCTCGCTTCAAATGGGCCGTCAATCGCATCGACGACACCGGCCGCAAAGTTCGGCTACGCACTTTTGTTGTCCTGCGCCATTGGCTTCTCAACTATTTTGCACACGACTTTGTTCCCTCGCTCAAGCTCCGTCAGGAGTTTGTCAACGTCGTCAACGGTTTTGCTCGGTATGGCAAAGTGCGCTCTTCTAATGGCGACCGCAGACTCATAGGCGAACTGAAGCGCTGCTGGATCAAACTCAGCTGTCTTTATTGGGAGCTTCCGGGAACTTATAACCCCGATTTTCTCTCGCTCTCTTCAGACCAGTGCTTTGATGAGGTGTTACATCCGGGAGGATTGGTTGGTTCTCGCAAACTTGTGGAACGAAGATCGACGATAACCAAACAACGCACTTCCCGTTTACCTGCGACGCTGCCTGTTTGCGATCAACCACATGATCGTTCCTCTCCAATCCTTGACAGTCTCGAACCACCATCTCGGGCCAGGTTCAAATCTCTCGAGCAGACTAACGGTTCAGCAACCTCAGTTCCTCTTTCAGTTCCGTCTCTGTGCTCTGAGTCTGCCGCTTCATCCAATGGTCCACTGACACCCGCAAATGTCAACGTCGCAGAGGGTCAGCTCTGGGGTGCTCTCTTCAGAGGCGAAGGATCCGTCTCAATTCCCACTGACGATCAGTCAATCGTCAACGCCGTCATGCCTCCGTCTCCTGCATTCAGTTATATCGATGATCCTGGTCACGGTGATCCTCTGTGGCTATCGCTAGAACCAGCGATCAAAGAGAAAGAATCGATTTCAAATCTCAAGATATTCAAGTCGATAAAGCGAAGGATCAAAAAGTCACCACAGCACCAAGCCACAGACGACTTTGCCCCGCGCTCATCAACTTCGACATATGGCCGGTCAGTAGAAAGCAATGTTGACATTCCCGAAGCTACCGGTGTGCGAATAGATATCCTGGCTGCTAGTGTAGTTGACAACTACAGGCAAATGACATCTAGGGATTCAGAATCTGACGATCAAGGATCTGAACAAGACACCAGAGAACAAGAACCAGTGGGCCTAGGCGTCGGAAACACAAACTTCTCAGCTGTGCTTCACAACTCTCCAGAGAGACTTATGAGACCCGTATTCTCTGCTGGATATGAAGAGCAATACTCACAAAGCGCTGAATTCACAGGCACTCTCGATGATCCTAATTCAACCACCGGAGGTCCCACATCTGAACCGATGGCGGACAACAGAAGTATGTCATACGAGTCTATCAATATTCACGATCCGTTAGATGACGCCTCCCTGGTTCGATTCCCTGTTCTTTCAGCGTCATCGTCGAGCATGGCTTTCAGTGACAGCAACCATAATCCAGCGTTCGAAGACTATCCTCAACTCACCAGAGCACGTGGGCTGCAGCGTCAAGTTGGAATTAGAGACCTGAGAGCTGGATCACTGGACAACAGTCGAGGTCGAGATTCCTCATCTTCGTCTCTTGGTGCTTCGCTGTACGATGGAGGCGATGTTGTTCCCTATGAATTCAACTCGTCCGATCCGCCAAGCTCTCCTCGCTTTTTGCCGCATTCTTTTTCCTCTACGGATTGCGGGTCGAGTTCACTACGAAACGGACGCAGGGGAACTACGAGTGGATTTGTGGGCATTCCCGGGATTCCAGACGAGATGGCTCGAGAGCTGATGAAGCTGGCTGATCTTCCTGAGGAGGAGCCTGCAGCGTCTGGCGAAGAGGCACTGGAAAATACTTTACGAAAGTTAGAGGGCAAGGAAAGCGAGCCTAAAGAGAAACACATTGAAGAAACAGATTTCAGCACCGGCGGCGATCGAGATTTGATGGCAACAAACATCGAAAGACAATCATCAGCCGATGCTAGCGAGGATGCCGATGAGAGTTATCAAGGTAGTTTGACTGGTAATCAGAGCGTGATGTCGTTTCCCAGGCCGCGGGGACGAGAGCGAAATGCCTGGTTTGTGGACACGAGTTCGGTCGCTGGTTCGGTGACTGGTTCGGTTGCTGGCTCTCTCCGGGGCCCGTTCCCAGGATCAGTTCCCATGCAGAAGGAGACTATGGGGATGGGGATAGCGGCTGTTCATGGGCCAAAGATTCCTGATCCGGCTACTGAAGTGATCCCGCTTTCTGATCCACCTTCTGAGACCGACCGCACTGAGTCGTCACAGGATAACCGACTCTCGGTGTCTAGCTATGCCGAGAGTTACCAGTCCAGCGTCGCATCCTTGAGTATTCACCTACCGTTCATTCTGAAGTACCGTGCGCGAGAGCTTGCCGAGCAATTCACTCTGATCGACTGCGACGCGCTTGCGGAGATTGACTGGAAAGAGCTCGTTGAGTTGCGCTGGCGTCAGAATGTAGACGCGGTTCAGGACTGGCTTTCCTACGTTTTGGCGGGCGACCATCAGGGCGTCGAGTTGATCATCACGCGGTTCAACCTCATGACATCCTGGGTTACTTCTGAAATTCTTCTGACTCGGGAGCTCGACGAGAGGGTGCACACGATCCAGAAATATATTCATGTGGCGGCTCACTCGCGAAAATTGCAAAACTACTCGACCTTCATGCCGATTACCCTCGCGCTTGCTTCGCCGACTGTGCAGCGACTCAGTCAGACGTGGAACGCGGTGCCGGCTCGGGATATGGAGTTGTTTCATGAGCTTGAAAATCTTGCTTCGCCGTTGAGGAATTTCAAGAATTTGAGGAATGAGATGGAGAAGGCTGATATTACAAAAGGATGTGTTCCTTTTATTGGTATGTTATTATTGATACTATAAGTTGAAGATAGTGGTTGCTAATGTCTTTGAAGGTCTCTACTTATCCGATCTTACATTTAACGCCCAGCGGCCCGCATACGCAGAGAAGAAGTCCTCATCCCGCGACAGTCTATACAGCGACGACGAAGATGACGACGACGCCCGACCCAACGACGAATCCGACGACGTCTTCTCCGTCCACCAAAACAGTTCGCCGAACCAGAGCAGCAGTCCACGACAGCAATTCAGCGTCGGCCGACTGATTAATCTCGACCGGTACCTGACCTCTGCTAGAGTCATTAAGAAGCTTTTGTATTTCGTGAACTCTGCGTCGGCGTATGCGCAGCGGCTGCCGAAGAACTCGGAGCTGATTTCGAGGTGCTTGTATATTTCCTGTTTGGACGATGCTGAGATTGACGAGTGTCTGCGACTGATGAGCAATCCATGATTTTTGTACTTTTCCCGTTTATGTTTATTTTTATGGTTATGGGGAAGTTTGTGTTGTATACTAGTGCGGGGATGAGATGAAGGAGATATGATTTGGGAAAAGAGTGATGACTTTTGTAATGATTACTAGATGATATACTAATTTTTGTATTAATCCAAACTACTACATACATATTACGCTCTATCGCATGATATAAGTCTGCTTAAGAGGCTTCGCGCCCCCGTTCAAGACCAACCCAATCACATACTCTCTACTATTAACCCTCCGCTTCGCATACGAGATCGTACCCGTCAACTCCGTCACGCCGTCAGGGATCTGAAGCGGGGAGTTAAACAGCAGAGCCGCGCTGCGCCAGTGGGTGTACTTGGGACCCCAGGGCCCGGTGGTGAAACCCAGAGATCCGGAGCCGGGTCGGTAGGACTCTGCTCTGGCGGAAGCGGGGACGACTTCGTCGCGGGAGCGGGTGAAGTATGTGTCAAAGTAGATGACGAGGCCGTCGAGCACGCCGTCGAAGGTGCTGCTGTCTTCTCCGCCGCGGGGCTTGAGCGCGACGCGAATGTCGGAGGTGAACTCGAGATCGGCGATGGAGACAGAGTGCAGCGGCAAGGAGTTGAAGACGAACGGTTCGGGGCTCGCGATCGAGGACGGGGCAAAGTTCTCGATGATGACGTCGTCGAAGATGCGGGGCTTCATGGCGCTCATTTTGAAGCCGTAGATGTCGTTCCAGAAGTTTACTTTGTCGTTGATGAATTCAGGGTCGCGCAGGCCGGCGACGAGGAGGCGGCATTCGGCGGGAGCCACTGAGATACTGCAGTTAGTATTAAGAAGGCTAGAGATATGGAGAGAGAGGACTTACTTAGACCGTTCGGGGCGAGGTATTTGTCGCGGGCGGTGAGTACAGAGTCCAGCATAGCCTCGTAAAGAAGCGCGTAACCCATCCACTCTGAGATGATGATGTCGACTTTTTCGACAGGCAACTTGATCTCCTCGATCTTGCCGCGATAGCACTGCACGACTTTCTCGAGCCCGTTCTCAAACACGTTCGCGATCGCTTTCTCGATAATATCCGAGTTATCGACGGCAAACACTTTTTTCGCGCCCGCTTTGGCGGCAAACATCGAGAGGATTCCGGTTCCGCAGCCGACGTCGAGGACGACTTTGTCTTTGAAGATATCCTTGTTGTCGTAGATTGCGTCGCGGTAGGACTCGGTGCGCACGCGGTCTTTGAGCATGATCTCGTGGATCTCGTTGTAGGCGTAGGACTCAAAGTAGCGGTCGTCGTTTGCGTGCTTCTTGTGTGATCTGCGACGGCGGCGGCGGCGGCGGCGATCTGGGCTGGCGCTGCGACTGCTGCTGCTGCTGTTGCTGCTGTTGTCGCTGCTTGCGTCGCTGTTGTCGGAGTTCATATCTCGGTTGAGGATCGTGCGCACGATATCCTTGTACTCGTCAAACTGCTGCTGCAGGTTCTTGAGCTGCGTCTGCAGCGTCTTTGCCTTTTCCGCGTTCTCTTTCGCAAGCTGCTGGAGCTGCTCCTTTTCGTATACCGCGTCGGCGTCCTCTTCTTCGTTCTCGGAGTCTTCGTCTTGGATCCCGAATAGGAGCGCGTCGTCTTCCATCACGGGCTTGAGGTACTGGCTGTCCTCGAGGAAGATCTCGGGCTTGTTTAGCTCGGGGAGTTTGTTTTGCTGGACTTGCGAGCGGATGTAGTTGACCAGCTTTAGCTTTCCAAAAAAGTCCAGACCTGGGGATTTGAGACCTGTTAGAACGAGAAATAATTGAAGATCATTAGGGGCGTGCTCACCAAGTCCTCGACGAAGCTTGTTATAATCAAACCCATGATCGGCAGCACAGTGATCCCAGACCGCGTCCGCGTCGTCAAAGGTCAGTTCGCAGTACAAGCACACCGGGCGGGTTTCGTCGTCGTTAGTCCAGTCCGAGGCGGACTCGAGCTCGTTTTCTTTGATCAGGTCCTCAAAGTCTTCGATGTCGGACTCGACCTCTGCGGCTGGGGTTGAGGCAGGGGTGGAGGAAGAAGGAGGGAATGCAGAATCGGTAGGCAGTGACTCTGTCGCCATTGTTGCTTGAATATCCTCTGTATTTGTAGTTTTATATAAAAAGTACAACAGCAAAGCTCTTGATTATCGAGATGTTTGCAAAAACCAAAAAAAATATTTTTTTAAATGTCCCAAAACCTTGACGATTTCCGCGTGGGGCTCACCTTAAAACTCTAATTCTACTTACCTATTCCGATGCGGTCTGATCAACTACTTAGCAGGATATCATCTGCTTACTATCTACTGTTTACTGTATTCTCACCAGCTTCTGAGCTCCTCTTTTGTATGAAATATTCTGGATTAACTGATCATCACCAACATCTGTCTCTGCTCTCTCTGCGGCCTGCCGCCGCCGCCGCCGCTGCTGCTGCCGCTGCCTCTGCACATTCTCCGCGCTCACCTCCCCATCCCGCGCCGCGACCACATTTGTCCGCGCAGCAATCGCTCGCGATGATCCTCGCTGCTCGAAAACCAGTGTCTGACAGACGCCATGTGTCTGCTGTTAACTTGCCGACGATGAACTCTGGCAGAGTGGATCCGACACCAACATACAGCGCTTCGAGTTGTACTCATCTCTCTAGTCTGCCGCAATACCTTCCTCCTGCCCCTCCTGCGCGACACTTCTCAGAGCCACCCCATCAGTTTCGGAATCAGAGGGTTGATTCAGGTCAGAGGAGTGTGAGTAATACCCACGAGCGTCGACGGAGCGAGGCTGAATATCAGGATGTGGTCGCTCAACTTCGGTTATACCTCGCGATCGTGAAACTCGTCGTCTGCGGTTCGACGTTTCTGTATAACAATATTCTTGGAGTTATAGTTTCTATGTAGGAGGTTTGCTATTGCCTACGTGCTTAATCTGTTTATTCTGACATTACACGCAGATTTATCTTCGCCCAACCCTTTTGCGACCAGATCCCCACTCTTCCGATCCTCCAAACCCTCTTCTTCCGCCTAAAACCCCCCGCTCCGCTCCCGCAGCAGTCCGACTTTCCCCGTCTATCGTCAAGAACACCCTCTCACAACTCAATCTCGCGAGACCTGCTGGTTGAAAAACGACGGCCGCGAACGACGTCGGCGTCAGCGGCTGAAGTTGGAGGGGCTAGGAACTACGGCGGTGTTGCCAATTCCGCTCTTTTTTATTCTTAAATTCTGGGTGTGCTTTTTTACAATTACTCTAATGAGTCAAAATTTGTGCACTGGGAAATAAAAATATACAATGCTTTTTTTATCTGTGCTAATATACAACATCGTAGAATAATAAACTTGCACGAAAACTGCACGAAGAAAAACGGAAAGACAAAACAAATATGAGACTAGACTCCATGCCGAAACCGAGGACAGAATACAAAAACGGAAACATAACCGATAACTTGCAAGACAAGGATAACAACTGCTGTAGAGATCATCACCGGGGATAGACATCAGCACACTCATTTAAACACGTAAACATACATACACCTACCCGGAAAACTCTGCCCGGATAAGATCAGCATACGACCCAACTGCCTCTCTAAGAATCGACCGTATCCCCCATCCGCCAAGCACGTTCGCAGCACCATGCCGCGACCACCATGACCCAACAAAAACAGAAAGTCGCTCGTCCGGATCAACTTTCTCGCGCGGATACCGCCTTCTGTCTTCGGCTTGGAACGAGCGGATGTGCTGAAGAACCTCGAGCTCTCGTTCCGGCGGGGCGCGCGAGTAGAGCCCGGTAGAGTGCTGCGTGACGCCCATGTCGTGCTCGAGCCGACGGACCCAGATCATTAGAAACAAAGCGCATTCCCACTCGACCACAATGTCGTCAATCCCGCCGGCTCCCTGCGGTGCCTGCGCAGAGTCCGTGAATAGTACACTGCAAGAGATCTCGGCTGCAAGCGCGAGTCGATCAGGCGCCGCAGCGGTGCTGATAGCGGGATGCGTGCGCGGCAGGCGGGAGAATTGGGAACTGATACCTCGGAGGATATGGACGAGCTCACCGACGTCGTGGTACCGCAAAGACTCAGCGACAAGGCTAAGGTCAACTCCCACTATCCGCATCCGCGCAAGCTTCCAGGTAGCTTCAGCGGCCCGCAAAAGACAACCGGTCGAATCAGTGCGGACGACACGGATGTATGACGAGAGTAGACTATCGAGCTGATCGAGACGGGGAGTGAACAACAACCCGGCCGACGTAGCTGCCCAGCACTCTATAAACATCGCCGACGCAAGCACGCGGCTCGCAAAAGGTGAACAGCGCAGCGGCTGACCGTTGAGAACGTGGTCGAGCCCTGCGCGGAAGGTCGACACGGGGGTAGACGGCACAGCGGTGGTGCCGTTCCAGACCTCTTCGTCGCACGGCAGAGTAACGTTTGCGGGTTCGGAGTTTGGGATAGAAGGCGGGAAGTTGAAGACGGCGGTGAGTTGAGCAAAGAAAGCGTAGATGGCAAAATATGTCCGGCGCATGGCTTCGAGCTTTATCCACTCGTCGTCCTCGGAGGCCGAATTTGTGATTGGCGGCTTCGGCGAGCGGCGGAATAACTCGAAGCGCAGGCCGGCAGCAAGATTTGCAAGGAAACTCTTGACCGAGCATGCAAACTCAAGTCCGCGCGGGTCTCCGGACCAGGCCGCGAAAGCGGTGTTGAGGAGCACGGTCTGGGAGACCCAGAGCGGGGCGGAGCGGGAGGAGAAGCCGTCGGTGTCGATGCGGGAGTTGACCATCATTTTTGATGCGACATGAAGACGGGATGCGATTTCTTTAGCGGAAGGTAGGGCTCCAAGAGAAACAATAGCTAGTAGCAAGGGTCTCGGGGTGTTGTGTGGGACGAAGGTTGGGAGATGGATGAACGGATGGAAGGGATGGTGGATGCAGAAGTAGGTCGAGATGTGGCCGGCGAGGTCGTTGTGGGTTGGCAGCAGAGTGTCTGCGAGCACAGCGCCCGACGGATCAAGAGAAAGAAGGGTCTCTCGCAGGAGCAGGTGCAGATCTCCTTCGACAGGGGGAGCGGGAGCGGGAGCGACTGCGGCGGGCGGCGGCGGCGGCAGCTGCTCGCGAGGCTGCTCGCCCCATTGCGGGGGATGGGCGAGACGGGTCATGAGCATTGCTGCTGATATCTCGGGAGTATCTTCATGCATGTTGGAGTTGAGAGTATCGTGGAGAGAGGTGCCGTTGGTCTTGTAGGAGTCAATCTGCTGCTGCTGTAGGGGCTGTTGGTGTTGTTGTTGATGCTGCTCGAGATAGACCGCATCGTTATTGCTGCCTGCGCTGACGACGCTGTCGTTGCTGGGCTCTATAGCCTGGTCCTGTTCCTGCTCTGGTTCGGGGTCAGCGTCGGGCTCGGCGTCGTGGTGGCTGTGGTCTGCCCCGTTCTCGGAAGGTTTGAGGGCGTGGACGGTTCGAACGTGACGGAGGAGGAGGTCGCGGCGGACGAACGTGCTGCGGCAGCGGTCGCATTTGAAGGGGCGCTCTTTTGTGTCTGGGTGAAAATGAATAAGAGATAAGCAACAGTGCACTATTATAAGCAAAACACCTAGAAACAGCAATAAAGGGACATACGGGAGCGCTCGTGACGGTTTTTGTGCTCGGAGCGGGAGAAGGCGCGGGCGCAGAAGGAGCATTTGTAGCGGCGATCAGGCGGCTGCACAGCGGCGGGCGGACGGCCGTCGTCCTCGCGCGCGTCGAGGGCCAGAACAGACTGCATTGAAGAGACGACGGAGAAGAAGGCGGACGAGGAGGAGAAGAGGCCGGGACGGACGAGCGCAGGGAGGCCTGTTTTCGATAGAGAAGAGCCCCGCGGTGGAGCAGACCGGACTCTGGACGCGTGGCTCCAGAATAAGCGGCTGTGCGGGGCGGGGCGGGGTTCCGGGGAAGCCCGGAAGATTGGCTGCTGAGTGAGGGATTAGGTAATGATGAGCCGCACCTGCCTTCTTGATTCCGTCTCTGCAGAAGTTTTGTGGTTTGTCTGATATCGACAATGGATCCTGCTCGACTGGCTCGAAGACTGCTTCTATCGCGGCCGCAGCTGTCGTCTGTGTCTGCTGCTCGCAGGTGCTTACTGCGGAGACCTCCTTCTCTCTTCTTGAATTTACGTGGTCTCTCCTCCCGTCCGCCGGTAATCGACGAGCGCTACTACATCCTGACCCCTGCCAACCCCGATCCCCACCACCATCACCAAAACCACAGCAATACACCCCCTCCAAAGCCATCCTATGTGCTCTTTCTACTCCGCCTCTCGGCCGTCTCCGGCGGCCTCGGTCTCGCCTTCTTCCTCGGCTCGACCACCCTCGTCAGCGTCTGCGATCGCAACTTCCCCTCCATCCACACAGTCCTGAAAACCTCCGATGCCCCAATCACCGTCACGCTCGTGGCAGTCAACGTCGCCCTCTTTGCACTCAAGCGCGGCGTGCCCAGTCTCACGCCGCTCCTGGTCCGCTACGGCTACCTCCGCAACGACGTCTTCGAGCAGACCCGCCGCGTCTCGACCGAGGCCTCTCCCGCGCTCAGCATCCTGCTCTCGTCCTTCTCCCACGGCAGCGTTCTCCACCTCTTTTGCAATTGCTACGCAATGTACTCCTTCGGTTCAGCCATCGAGTTCCTCGACGGCTGGTCCACCCTGCTCGCCGTCTACGCCCTCTGCGTGCCCTTCACCGTCCTCGGCTCGTTCATGCTCAGAGGCGTAGCCGCCCCCTCGCTCGGCGCATCCGGCGCCTGCATGGGCATGGTCTCCTACCTCGCCGTCCGACGCCCCGAGCTCGGCATGGGCATCATCTTCATCCCAAACGTCTCGATCTCGATCGGCGACGGCACCCTCCTCACCGCCGCCTACAGCATCTTCAGCATCGCCCGCAGCGTCATCACAAAACGCCCGGGCTTCATCGACCACGGCGGCCATCTCGGCGGCCTCCTCGGCGGCTACTTGCTCGCCTCTGAAGTCCAGCGCATCCGCAAACAGCAGAGATCGGCTCGGCCCTGGTACTCGCGATAGAACACAGTCGTGCGCATAATCAATTACATAATACAAACTTTATCCTGCGCGTCCGAGGCATCTGATAGCCCTAAACAGCAAAGTGATCCCGAACATCGGGACTCCAACCAGATAACCAGGTCGACAGAAGCATGGACCTGATCTCTGTCTTTCGACGACGATAGCCTTCTTCTTCTTCTACTCCTCCTCCTCTCCTCTGCACATTCTCTCCTCACAGCACACAGCAGACAACATGCCTACCACGTTCGAAAACCCCTACAAAAAGGGCGAGTTCCTTCCTACCCTCGACGAGCTCATGGCCGCCAACCCCGAAGGCGTTCCCAAGGAAGCCGCCTGGATCTGGGGCAAGGAGGACGAGGTATGCCCAATTCTTCTCTCCCTCTCTCTTTTGATATACTGACCAACATCTCTAGGTTGGACGCCTGAACCTGCTCTCTCCCGGGCTCGTCAAGGCCGTCGCCAGCTCAGAGGCGACCACCGGCGAAGTCGCCTCGCTCAACTGGGACATCACTCTTCCGCTGCACCCGCCCTTCGGCCGTCCCGCGCTCCAGTACGAAATCACCGGTAACCCGAACGCGCTGATCCACGACGACACCGTCGTCATGAACGTGCAGTCCGGATCGCAGTTTGACGGCTTCCGACATTTCGGACACATCTCCTGCCAGGTCATGTACAACGGCCTCACGCGCGACGAGGTCCTCGGCGAAAACAAGACGACCCGGTGCGGCATGCAGGCCTGCGCGAAGCACGGCATCGTCGGCCGCGGCGTGCTCATCGATTTCGCAAAGTGGGCAGAGCACAAGGGCATCAAATTCGATCCTTTCGAGCGCTACCCGATCACGCTCGAGCAGATCAAGGAGATCGCAGCCTGGGAAGGCGTCGAGTTCAAGTTCGGCGATATCCTGCTCGTCCGCACCGGCTGGATCAGCAAATACAACGCCCTCCTCGCCGAGGGCAAGATCAGCGACCTCGAGCCCACCGGCGCCGCATCCCCCAACGCCATCGGCGTCGACCAGGGCGACGAAATGAAGCACTGGCTGCACGACAGCTACTTCTCCGTCGTCGGAGGTGATCAGCCCGCTTTCGAGGCCTGGCCTTCCCGCACCCCCGAATGCCTGCACGAGTACCTTCTCGCGTGCTGGGGTGTCTTGATCGGCGAGATGCTCGATCTCGAGGATCTTTCGGAAAAGTGCGCAAAGGCAGGAAAGTACTCTTTCCTCTTCACCGCCGCTCCTTTCAACTCGCCCGGTGGAATCGCTACCTTTGCGAACTCACTCTGCGTCATTTGATTTTTTTATGTGAATTCATTCAAGTCATCTGTATATATACATACATCATATAAAAAAAGACAATAAATGATAGTAAATAACAAAGCGACATCTCATCAGTAGATAATCCTATAACAACCACACTCCCCGTATATATATCGTTCCTCATTTTGAATTAGAAAGTAAAGTTACAGGTAGAACCCAAGCGGAGCGGCAAGTGACCAGATCCACGCCTGCTGCGGATGCTCTGAACTGGCGGCACACCATTCGCCCACCTTGTCATCTTCAAAGATCACTGGATAAAAAGTTAGTTCTAATTCGCTCTTCAACTACGCACAAAGAAATGAATTTCGACAGAAAGACACATACCTGATTGCAGATTCGCCAGGGTAGCGGTAAACACTCGGTTCTCGACAACAGATATGCCACCGGCTATGACCGCCAGCGGCGTGTCTCCGTTCTCAAGCTGCTTCTGACTTGCTTTCCCATTCTTCAACGACGAATTCTCCGCAACAGCAGCAGCAGCGGCGGCAGCAGCAGCAGAGGCAGCAGCGTCGGAAAGCGACTGCGAGAGAGAAACACTGGCACTCTTGGGACTTATGTCGCCGGTGTGAGCGAGCTGGTAGCTCAGGCTCGTCAAAGTAGCCGCCGCAGTTCGATCGTCGTCGCTACCACCTTTCGAAGCAGCCTGATCCAGAGAAACAGACGGAGTGATATCGCCCGAGAGAATCTTCTCCATCTCCTTTTGAATCACCACCCGCGCGAGGTTTTCCAGCACCCGCAAACCCGACTCCGAGACCATAACCCGCTTTTTCAACGCCTTGCGCATCTGAATGATCCGGCTCAGACCCAGTTTCGACTCCAGCGCTCGTTGACTCAGTGGCTCGCTTGAGCCAAAGATACTCAGAAGCACGCCGGCGGTGAACAAGTGCATGCCCACGAACGCAATCGCATGCGTCTGCTGGCTTTTGGAGAATATCGGATGCTGCGCGATTTTGGACGACCGCAGAGCTGAGCGCCAACAAGTGTCGGCGGACTGACTGAACGGGTCTTCGCCGTCAGAAGCAGCAGCGGAATTCTTCTTTTTACAGGCTGAGAACCCAAGAAGCGGCCGATGCACTAAAATCATAGCGTTGTCGTACGCAAGCTGAAGTTGCAGAGCCTCGACTGCAAACAAATCGTTCTTCATCTGCCGTCGCTTCTCCTGCGCGATCGCTGGATCCTCGTCACCAGAGATTGCGCGTTCGTCGTCATCCACATCTTCAATCTCTGCAAGCCCGACCCCTCCGTCGCCGTACGCACCACCATCCTCAAGTTTTAGCACGCTCGGCAGTTCGTCGTACCATGCTTTCAGCTTTGCCTCCAGCCGTTGAGCAGTCGACACCAGATATTCGATTTTCGCCGAAACTGAATTCTCAGCCGCGGGACTCTCGCGAGGGGTAGACTCGAATTTCGCCGTGTGGTGCTGGAATGTGACTGTCTTGCGCTGGTAGAACTGCGAGATGATCTCTCCGACGATGATGTAGAACTGGGCTTTGCGACTTTGGTATGTCAAGAGAGTTGTTCCCGAGTCGCCGATTGCGCGGATGTCATCGCCGATGGATACAAATGGTATGGTGTTGAATAGATGGCCGTTGGTCGATGGAGCTGAGGAGGAGGAGGAGGAGGAAGAGGTTGTTGATGATGCTGACGAAGTAGAGGAGGAGGAGGAGGACGAAGAAGAGACAGTGAGAGAGGCGCATGCATTGACGGAAGAGGACTTGAAATTGGTGCTGGATCCAAAAGCAAAGCTGTCGGATGGAATACCCACATCGCAGTCATTGTCAATCAGAGCTGCGGGCATACCGTACGAGATTGTGGTTAGCCGATCTAGGTTATAAAGCGCCCAGAAGACGCGCCGACGGAGCATGCAGGTCGCAGATTTGCTGTCCGAGAACTCAGACGACGAAGAAGCAGATGTGGATTCCCGATGCAGCCCTAGCGACTGCGCAGACTTGATTGCACTGCCGGCAATCGTCCATGCCAAAGAAGGGTTACCGTGATGCAGGTAAAAGTACGAAAGCAAGACGCAGGATTGCACGGAGGCAATGGTACCGCAAGACAGGATATCAAAGAGGTGGATGCGGACGACCGAGACAAGCTGCGAAATCACGAGGTCGATGTTGAGTTTGGGATGGCTTGCGTGCGCGAGCGCGAGACCGCCTGGAAGACAAGACTGGTAGATTGCGGTTGCATGCTTTCGCCGCACCGGGTGCATGAGCGCGTTGCTAGCACCGAGAGAGACGATCGTCATGATGAGGAGGACGGTCGAGAAGTCGGCGTCTGAGTTTGGCAGGTTTGCAGGGTCGGTTTCATATGTGTGGATAAGCGAGCGGTATTGCTCCATGAACGGACCCTGATGGACCACAAACACAAACCAGTGGAAGGAGTTGAAGTAGACGGCGATGGCATACTCGACAAGCGGTCGCGGCGGTAGCTGAGAGAGAAGAGCGATGGTCGACGGACGCGAATGCAGCCAAGGCATGGGCGAAGGCTCAAAGATATCAGAGATGACGCTGTTGGATGGCGTCCCCGACTTTTCGACAAGCGAGCCCGAGCGGGCACCGATCAGCGAATGGGCCGAGGGCGGGACCGCGGGGAGATTCGGCGGGGGCAGCGGTGGAGGGTGAGCATGCTGCGGGGGCAGGTGGTAGAGCTGAGGAGACCCGCTGTCGTCTGCAGACTCTGAGCGAACATGGGCAAAGGGGGTTGCTGCGGATGTGGATGTGGATGTGGATGATGGGGCAGTGACAGAGAGTGGGCCGGCGGCGACTGAGTTGTTGGTGGAGAGTGGGGGCAGCCGCGACGAAGCCTGGTCGTCGCCAAAGTCGGTGCGGGTGCTGTTGGGGAAGGAGAGCGAGCGGGGACGGTGGGCGGAGGAAGGGTAGATACGAGAGTCTTCGAAGGATAGTCGCTGGAGCTTGGACGCCGGCGGTATATCTTCAGGAAGGGGATCAGCGACCGAGAACGAGCGACGGAAGGCGTACGAGGGCGGGGGAGGCGGCAGTCCGGTGCGCATAGACTCTGTGAGAGAAGCCATGGAGGGCAGGGTGTTTGCAGAGGAGGCGGAGGAGGAGGAGTTTGTGGTGGAGTTAGAGGATGAGAGGTGGCTGGTGGCCGAGGAGGATGTGACGTTGGAGACGAGGGAGTAGGCGGAAGGAGGCGAGGAGGTGGATGATTTTTTTGACTCGCTCTCGGGGCGACTTATGCATGCGACGTTTGCGCGCACACATAGCGCACAGGGGCGATAGCTATCGCACTGGAGAAAGGAGTTAGAGGGAGGAGGGGAGGAGAGGTGGAGAGGAGAGGTGATACCTTGAGCTTCTGGCGTCGGCAGCGGACACATGCACGGGCGGTGCGCTTGGCGACGGTTGTGGGGGTTGCGGAGGAGGAAGCGGCCGGGGCGACGGAGAGAGCGGGTTTCTGAGTGTCGACGGCCGCTGGCTCGTAGACGAAGATGTCGTTTCTGGCGGCCATGAGGGAGGAGGTGAAGAGAGAGAGAGTGAGAGAGAGAGTGAGATAGGAAGAAGAAGCCGAAGCCGGATCACAGCAGGAGCGGAGGAGTTGGAAGAACAGAAAGCACGCGGGAAGAAGGAGAAGAAGAAGAAGAAGCAGAAGCAGATAGAACAACAATACACAGACTACTTGCTGAAAAGCCGACAAAAGAGAAACTGGACAAAGACAAAGGAAAAGACAAAGAAGAGGAAGACGAGGAAGGAGCACCGAACGGCTGCTATTTTGCGGGGTAGAAGAGCCGGGTAATACTTTAAAACTCTATTTCAGCCATTTCCACCGCCGCCGGGTTTATGCTGCTTTGTTTGTGTTGATGCTGGTGTATTGTTGGTTTGATGTAATAAAGAGAATTAGTTTGTTAATGTACAATATCTTTGAATAAATAGCAGTAATAATCCCCCTTCGCCTCCTTCACTGCCTCGGTCGCGGCGCTGTTCTGCGCGCTTTCAGTTCATTTCAGAACCAAAAACTTTTCCACCGGAGATCCATCGACCACCACTCCGAAGCCTCGGGAATAGTGTTATGTAATGTATTACTAATAATATACATCGACGTCCTACAGCAAGTCGTAGTCGTCGAGCTCGTTTCTGTAGGCGAGAATCGTGCGCTTGATCTTGCTCGAGTCGACCCAGGTGAGGTAGTCCTCGCGGTTGCGCGTCACCAGGTACGCGGGATCCGTGACGACCTCGGGGCCGACGCGGACATGGCCCTGCTCGACGAGCTTGACGGCGGCGGATATCGTCTCCGCCATGCGCAGTCTGCACATCACCACGCCTATCCGCCGCCGACAGAACGCAGAGACTGTGACGTTCTTCTCGAGCGCGGAGATCTTGGTTGTGCCCGCGCCCAAAATGCCCATGTTTTCCAGCTTGTCTAGGAGGAGCTCTTCGTGCTTTTGCCGGACTGGGTCGTCTGGCGGCAGCTGCGCCAGCTTGTGCGCCATCTGGCGGATCTGTCCACAGAGCTTGTTGTATCTGTATCTGTTAGTTTCAATTTCTTTATAGCAGAGAAACCATATATGTTTATATTATGGCTCAGCAAGGAAGAATCAGAGTGCGTACTTGTGGTAATCGTCGCGCTTCTCGACATGATACCGTCTCATGACATCTGCCTCGCGATGCCCATTGTCGCCCTTCCACTCAAGAAAGCTGACCTTCTTGAGCAGCTTTTGCTCGTGATGTTTCAGTGTCCGCACCATCTTTGCTGGTCTCTGCTGATCTCGGCTGGTGATGTGTGGTGAAATTATTAAAATGCGTTGGGAGAAAGAGTTGCAAATTTGATGTGTGAGTCAGTCACATGACCAACTCACATCGCTCACAGAAATCACAAACCGCGCAGCCAAAGCCGGACAAGGTTTGAAGCTATCGTGGTTCCTCGCGGCGATTCGACGCTGGTCTTTTGCTCGGCCGCCCGACAGCGTTCGTTACCTATTTCTCTCAACACTCCTCTCACCTTCTTATTATCGATTCAATCAATTGATTTTGTTGCAATGCAGCAAGACTACTTGGCTCTACCCGGGATGCAGGCCCTGCAGGCCAGGATGATGCCTCAGGTCGGCGCGGGCGGTGTGCCCCAGCTTCCGCAGGTACCGCAGCTTCCCCAGCAGCAGTTCCAGCAGCAGTTCCAGCTCCAGCCCCAGCACATCCAGCAGCAGTACATGCAGCAGCAGACGCAGCCGCAGTTTCTGCAGCCGCAGCCGACGGGGATCCAGATGATGCAGACGATGATGATGCCTCAGATCACTGGTGCGCCGGGGGCGGCGGGCAAGATCTCGTGGGCGATCACAAAGAGCGAGAAGAAGATCTTTGATGATATCTTTGATGCCTGGGACGGACTCGGTCGCGGGTTTATTAGCGGACAGACTGCTGTGGAGATTATGGGACAGAGCGGTCTTGATAGGTCTGATTTGGAGAAGATTTGGACTTTGGCCGATCCCGAGGACAGGGGCCGACTCAACAAGTCTGAGTTCTCTGTTGCCATGCATCTTGTATGATTTTATTTGAATTTGTGTTTCTGTATGGAATGAGGAGTCTAACATTTTTAGGTATATCGCCGATTGAACGGCTTCCCGGTGCCGGACCGGCTGCCGCCGGAGTTGGTGCCGCCGTCTACGCGGAATCTGACAGAGTCAGTGTCTGCGATCAAGTCGCTTTTGCGGAGCGATGCTGATCAGCGTCGTGCGTCGGGGGGATTGCAGGCGCAGCAGACGGGTGGGATGTCGTATTTGAAGTCACGGTCGTTCCGTGAGTCGGGGTCGAGTGTGATTGACGCGAAGAAGGATGCGACTGTGTACAAGAACAATGACGATGATGTTGCGCAGTTTGTGTCGTCAGCGCGGCGGCGTCGGAACAACAACAGTAATGGTAATGGTAATAATCGGGCCAGTACTGGGTCGCCGGCGTTGTCGGAGATCAGCGGGAATATGAGCAAAGGCGAGACGCTGGAGTATTTGCGCAAGCAGATTCGGGAGAAGAAGATTTTGCTGAACGCGCTTGATGCGGAGGATGACTTGGACTTCAACGAGGACTCGTATCTGGACAGCCGGGACCGGGACGAGGCGGACGATTTGATTCGGAAGATTAGGAACCTGCAGGAGGATATTAATGAGTACGGCGGGGCGAGCGGTGTTGATTCTGCGAGCGAGAAGACGGCGTTGAGAAATCAGCTTCAGTTTTTGACGGACCGACTTCCGGTGCTTGTGGGTCGCGCGCGAGGGATCGGGAATAAGATTGCGGACGCGAAGCTGGAGCTGTTTAGGCTGAGGGACGTGAAGGCGCACCCCGGGTCTGCGATTGTTGGTACGGGACCGGGCGGACGGGTGACGGAGGCGGATCGACGGAAGGCCAAGTCGCTTGCGCTTTTGCAGTCGCGGATGGCGATGTTGACGGGTAAGGCGCCGAGCGCGGGGATGGATGCTGATGACGAGCATGGGGCGGAGTTGCGGATTGCGGCGGAGAGTACGAAGGTGAATGGGGAGAAGGAGCAGAACGAGAAGATGATTCGGGATGTGGAGGAGGGGGTGCGGGAGGTGCAGGAGTCGATTGAGGGGATGCTGAGGGAGTCGAGGGCGGATTTTAAGGTGACGCGGGAGAAGCAGATGTTTGAGGAGGGGGTGGGGACGGAGGATGAGGTGCGGGACTTGATTTTGGATCTGAATAGACGGTCGCGGTCGGTGAAGTCAGAGCCGAGGGGCGGAGTGAGAGGGTGAGTGTATCTTTATGATTGTTTTATTCAGGATGCTAACAGGGTTGATAGTCGGAATGGAGGATCGACATCTAGGTCACCGGCTAGAGCGAGTGCTACGAGTGCGCCATATGCAGCAGCTTCTCCGGTGAGTGCATCAGCAGCAGCACCGGCAGCAGGAGCAGCTAGTGAGAGCAGCTCAGGATCGTTTTATTCTCAGTTCCGTACACCGGAAGAGAGATCGGCGTGGATTAAGGCGGAGGCGGAGAGGAGGATGAATGAGCGACTTGCTGCGCTTGGGATTTCGAGACAGGGCAAGAGTACGGGTGGTGGAGCGAGTGCGAGCAGTGCGTTTACACCTCCAGCTCAGCCTGTGGTCCAGCCAGCAGTTCAGCCAGCGGTTCAGCCAGCGGTTCAGCCAGCAGCTCCTCCAGCAGCTCCGCCAGCGAGCAGTGCGTTCTCACCACCAGCACCGGCGCCGAAGCCAGCTAGTGCGTTTTCTCCACCAGCACCGGCTAGTAATGCGTTTTCTCCAGCACCGGCTAGCAATACGTTTTCTCCTGCGAGTCCGGAGAATAATGGATTCTTTTCAGCGCCTGCGAGTACTCAGACTCAGGCTCAGACTAGGAATGTGTCGGGAGGTCATAATACACGAAACCCGTTCCCTGTGCAGGAAGAGTATGCGGAAGAGTATGCGGAAGAGTCTAGGGGAGTGCCTACGAGTACGTCGAGTTACAAGCCGGTGAACTTTGATGAGCCTCCTACACCTTCCGGAGGAGCTGCAGGAGCAGGAGGGGAGAGGGATTACTTTGCGGAGGAGAGGGCAGTGTCACCAGAGCCGGAGAGACGGTCGCCAGTGCGTCCGACGGCGGTGCCAGCTGCGATCCCGGTGTCTGTGTCGGCTACGAAGACAGCGGAGACGAGTGCAGCGCCGGCGGTTGTGCGGCCAGCGTCAGCGCAGCCGGTGGTGAGCAGTGGGCCGGCGGAGTTGGATGTTGCAGACAAGGCGGCGCTGGACGCGCAGAGACGGTACCAGAGAGGACACGGGGGCGACGACGATGACGATGATGGATGGGGAGGGAACCAGTCGTCGGATGACACTGATTCGGATGAGGATATGCCAGTGCGGTCAGCGGAGACGAACGGCGGGCCTAAGAAGCCGTCGCCGGCCGATCTGGCGTCGATGCTGTTTGGAAGCATGGGCGCGAGCACGACACCGGCGGTCGCGCCCCCGGCCGCCCCTCCATTGCCAGGAGCAGCAGCAGCAGCAGCAAGTCCGGGTATTCCCGAGGGAGGGGCCCCACCACCGCCGCCGCCAGCGCCGCCAGTGTTTGGCGCGCCAATGCCGCCCGCGCCGCCGGCCCCGGTCGCGCCTCCTCCGGGGGTTGGAGCAGGAGGAGCAGGAGGAGGAGCAGGCGGCCGCGGAGCGCTTCTGGAGCAGATTGCAGCCGGGCGCGCGCTGAAGAAGGTGCAGACGGTGGACAAGAGCCAGGCGGCGGTTGCGGGGCGGGTTGTGTGAGTGTGGGGTTTAGGGTTTGAAGGAGGAAAGAAAAAAGAGAAAGAAAAAAAGCTTAAAATTGAACTTTAAACGCGACCCTGCGAAACGGGTCGAGTCAGGCGCGGAAAGAGGAGATTTGCACGCTTGGCGCGGGCAGAGGAGCCAGTCGGAGGGGCGAGAGTTATCTACGGTTTTTAGAGTGTTTTTAGTCTGGAAGATAAGCAGAAAAGTGAGAAAAGAGCGAGAAAACAGCAGCAAAAGAAGACAAAACAAGCCATCGCGAGCAGAGCCGAGAGCGCCACCGACGTCGGGCAGCGCAGAGGTCTCGATTTCAGCCCCGGCGAGCGGAAGAAGCCGCAGCGCTGCCTGATTCTGGACTGCGGTGAACTGTCAGTCACCTTCTTCTTCTCTTCCTCTTCTCTTCTTCCTCCTCTTCTTCCTCCTCTTCTTCCTACATCTACTACTCCTACCACTACATCTACCACTACTCTACTCAATCATTACCATGGTCCAGCCCAGCGAACCCGAATTCGAGCAAGCCTACAACGAGCTCCTCCTCACCCTCGAGAGCTCCACCCTCTTTGAGAAGCGCCCCGATCTCAAAGCCTGCATCCCCGTCGTCTCCATCCCCGAGCGCGTACGCCCCCCCTTCCCTCTCCCCCTCCCCTCCCCTCCCCTCCCCTCCCCTCCCCCTCTAACTCCCTCTAGATCATCCAATTCCGCGTCACCTGGCAGAACGACGCCGGCGGCATCGAGATCAACCGCGGCTACCGCGTCCAGTTCAACTCAGCCCTAGGCCCCTACAAGGGCGGCCTCCGCTTCCACCCCTCCGTCAACCTCTCCATCCTCAAGTTCCTCGGCTACGAGCAGACCTTCAAGAACGCCCTCACCGGCCTCAACATCGGCGGCGGCAAGGGCGGCTCCGACTTTGACCCCAAGGGCAAGTCCGACGCAGAGATCCGCCGCTTCTGCGAGGCCTTCATGCGCGAGCTCTCCCGCCATATCGGCCAGGACACCGACGTCCCCGCCGGCGACATCGGCGTCGGCGGCCGCGAAATCGGCTTCCTCTTTGGCGCCTACCGCCGCTACCGCAACGCCTTCGAGGGCGTCCTCACCGGCAAGGGCCTCACCTGGGGCGGCTCCCTCATCCGCCCCGAGGCCACCGGCTACGGTCTCATCTACTACGTCGAGAAGATGCTCGACTACGCCAAACCCGGCGACTCCTTCGCCGGCAAGACCGTCGCCATCTCCGGCTCTGGCAACGTCGCCCAGTTCGCCGCCCTCAAGGCCATCGAGCTCGGCGCTACCGTCGTCTCCCTCTCCGACTCCAAGGGCGTCTACGTCTCTACCTCCCCCAAGTCTGGCTTCACCCCCGACGAGATCACCTTGATCGCCGACGCTAAGCTCGCCCGCAAGGACCTCGCCTCGCTCCAGTCCAAGCTCGAGTCCGGCAAGTTCACCTACATCCCCGGCGCTCGTCCCTGGGCAAAGGTCGGATCCGTCGACATCGCCCTTCCCTGCGCGACCCAGAACGAGGTCTCGGCCGAAGAGGCCCAGGCCCTCGTCGCTGCCGGCTGCAAGTTCATCGCCGAGGGATCAAACATGGGCTCCACCATGGAAGCCATCGACGTCTTCGAGACCGAGCGCGTCAAGGCCCCCGGCGGAATCTGGTACGCGCCCGGCAAGGCCGCCAACTGCGGCGGTGTCGCGGTCTCTGGCCTCGAAATGGCCCAGAACTCGGCTCGCGTGAGCTGGACCCGCGAGGAGGTCGACCAGAAGCTCAAGGCCATCATGGTCAACTGCTTCGAGAACTGCGTCAACACCGCCATCGAGTTCTCGTCCGAGAAGACCGACGGCTTGCCTTCGCTCGTCAAGGGCGCAAACATCGCTGGCTTTGTCAAGGTCGCCGAGGCCATGAAGGACCAGGGAGATTTCTTCTAGATTTCTTAGTCTGTCTTTTTCTTTTTCTTTTTCTTTTTCTTTTTCTGACGTGTACTTGCTGCTTCTAGCTTAGCTATTTTGAATAAGATTTGGTATTTAACATGACTCAACTTGACTCTTCTAAGCTTCTCAACCGGCACTCCGACCGCATATGTCCGAGTAGAGCAGTAAATCGAGGTCGAGGCCGAAACTGAGGCATTTCTGTAAGATTATTGTCTTCTCAATCCCGATACCGCACTCTCGGAGTCGAGACCTCTTTCTTTCGCATCGAGGCCCTGCTCATCTTACGGCAACGATGATCTGTGCTTTAAAACCGAGCTTATTTCTCGCCCAGCCGCAGACGACCCAGAATTTATCATTATGTAATGTATTATGTAACTTGAGGGGCTGGTGTCGCTGGTGTCGCTGGGAGAGTTCGGTAGATTCTTGAATTCTCGAAGTTCATTTTTCTAATTCCGCAGTCTTCAACTTCAAATATCAAAAATCGAGATACTCCAACGCAGATGCCGGCTGTGCGGACGATGCTGATGTTGCGCGCGCGCTATAAACCACCGCTCTATAGCGCAAGTGCTGTAAGTCACCTCTTATCCTCCTCTACTGCTCGCCAGCTAACTCTCCACAGCTCTCTCGTCCTCAATACAGTCCCCCATCCTTGCGCTCGGTCAAAGATGGACAGTCAGGCTCGGCAGTCGCCTTCTACGCCCGGGCGCCACGGAAACCAGGTGTCAGGAAATACCTCCCCTACAATCCCCGAAACAAGCGGAAATACGTGCCCAAGAAAGGAATGTTCATCCAGCCGCTCCTGACAATCGACAAGCCGCCTTCCTATACCTACCATTTGCTGCCATCACGCTACTACAAGCCGGCTCAGTACAAAGGCCCGAACCCCGACGCGGTCGATTCGGTGCCGAATTTTGGTCTCTCGCCGCAGATATTGGAGGCGATGAGTGGCAAAGGCTGGAGAGCGCAGAAGCTGGATTTTTACTCGAGAAACATCCGGTGGAAGTACATCAATGACTTGAAGAAAAAAGTCGTGGTGCATGACCCCGGCAGCGGCAGCAAGTATCTCGACACAGAAGAGCTACAAGAGACGATCCCCGACCACCAGCCCGAATACCTGCGCCGACGCAAACGATCCGTCTTTCTCCGCGAACTGCCTTCAGACTACGACGCCTTCAGCGCCATCCCTCACCCGAAGGACCAACCTCCGGGTTATGGCGTGAACGAGTACGATCTCGGTCTCCTGGTGTACTTTAATCCCCACACGGTCACCCTGACTCCCAAACATTCGAGACTCCCGAGAGACCCGCCGCCTAGGACGCCGGGATTTCCGGTCCGGCGTGTAAATTTCTTCAGACTCCTCGGCCCGCAAGCTGTCTACTACGGACTCGAAGGAACCCGCTTCACATACCCGGAAGAAGAAATGGAGCGCAACATCAGGCGCATGAACGCCGTGTTGCAGCTTACCCCCGGAGCGAGGACAACACCGCACCCGCACTCAAGGGGTGGAAAGATACTTAAGGAAGAATCGAAATTGCCCGAGCCGAATCCGAACAATTTTGTCAGTATTTCGCGCAACGAGTTTAAACATGTCATGATTGTTCATCATCGACTGAAGCGCTTGGACAGGGCGGCGCGCAAGGCACAGGCCAAGGCGGAGTCTGGAGATTCGGATGAAGACGGTCCAGGCAGAAAAGTCAGCAAATGGTTGGGTAACGAAGACAAGGCCGTCACCCCGCTTTATCTCAAAATGGCTCCAAAGCTGAACCTCGACATTCCTCCAAGTATAAAGAGCAAACTCGATGAAAATGCTGAGAAGGAAGAAACTATCAAAGCCGAACAAGACGCCAAAAAAGCTACCTTGCCCCTTCTCCACAGATCGAACCCGTTCGTCTTCTCTTTGACCGTCCCTATACGGGAGACCCCGCCTCCCGAAGAGTTGATCAAAGCAGTAGCTGAAGATGGAGGTAGCGCAGTTACATTTCCAGCTTCAACTCCAAACAAGAAGCCGATGTCTCTCGACGACTTATTCACCCTTGGTGCCGAACAGGCCGCCAAAGCCCCGCGTGGTCCTCGAACTATGCTCGACACCGGCCTTGTTGGGCGTCAATACGAGGAGTTTTTGGCTCAAGCCGAAGCTACAGTGTTAGTACCGCCGAGAGACCTGACCATAGGTAAAGTTCGGCGTAATGCTCTCCCAAGTGGGAAGGTTGCAGATACGGAGCCAGAGCCAGAGTTTGAGTTGATTCCAAACAGCAAGCAGTCGGAGCCTACAAACAGGCGATCGAGACGAGCGAAACGAAGGGAACAATTGAAACATTCAGCGTCTGCTGGATCATCATCTACAAAGGAGCAATCAGCGCCTACAAACAGACAATCAGCATCATCAAACAAACAACCAGCATCAACCGACAAACAATCAGTGCCTATCAACAAGCAGCACCAAAACAGACAACCGCGCCCCACCAACCAGCTCGCCGCCGACGGAACCACCAAACACGGTGACCGGAGCAAGAATTTCCTCGGCATTCTCTTGCCCGACAGCAAAAAGCCGCGCCCGTTCACCAACGCTCTACTCAGCACGTTTCTCGAGCCTGACGAACCGTCGACTCCACAAAAACGACGGTTTTCTTCCACCGCTGCGAGAACTGCATACAATTCGGGCCTGACTGAGCGGCAGCGGCCCACACTGTCATCCGCTGGATCGGGTTTGGGTGTTGGCAAACGGTCATATTCCACCGGTTCTGTCGAACCTCTACCTGCACCAGACTTGGATATCGAAAGTCTTCTCACAGATACAGTGATAGAAATCAAGCCAAAAAAGAAACCGCGGCCACGAAAGAAGAAAGAAAGACGCAATTGGGATACATCTGTCGCCCAGGGCTCCGTCCCTGGCTTCGCCGAGGCGCCTAACGAGCTGAAGCGCTGGAAAATGAAAGCTCTCAAGCTGCAGCCTGGCTATATCAAAACGCGGCCCAAGCGTAGACGGGACTTTCGCAAATGGGGATACTTTTATGTGTATTACAAGCCGCAGGCTACAAGTTTTCTCGATAGTTTTTTCGATCCGAGAGGACCGCGGCGTGTTGTCAGGATTCCTCCTCCTCCTAGTACCATGCTTCAGAATTTGGTGGGCGAACGTCTTCCTGCTGGTGATACTAAACAGCGGGCCTCAGACAGATTTAACGCTTCCGACCTGCGTACACTGCCCGAGAGAAAGCAGGTTTCCCCCGGCTTCAGCGCTCTTGGATCCTCTGCAAAGGATGTTGAACAGCCTTGGTCAGACTCGAGCGCTCTTGGATCTCATTCAAAATATGCTGGAAAGAGGTCTTCCGTTAGTGAATATTCCAAGAAGCCTGGAGGGGACGAGTTTGTTGATGAATACATCGATGGATTTGTCCAAACCCTCAAACCAACAGAGCGTGTAGGGAAAGTGCAAGTCTTCCCATACGACCCCGATAAAGTGCGACCACCTTATTCGATTCCTCCCCCGGTGGAGGAGAAGTATACCACCGCCAAGCAGATCCCCGGATTCTACCCCGTCCCCGGTTTCGGAGGCGGTTTCGATCGCAAAAAACACCGCCGGGTTCTAAGCACCTACCGGGTTTTCTACCAGGCTCGACCTAAAGTACCGGCCGGCAGTCCTGGGTACTTGCCGTTTCGGGATTTGATGGTGGATCCGGCTAAGCCGCCGATTCCTGTCAAACCGGCGTTTATCGAAGGTGCTTATAGGTCTGAGAAGGAGGTGCGGAGTGTCTTTGGTGAAAAAGGTGTACGGGCAATGCATAAGGCAAACCCATTCAAGCCTAAACAGCATCGCAAAGCTCGTGGAAAGAAATCCGCATCGGCTGGCTAGACGTCGGAGTCCGCCGGCGCTGATCGCAAAGCTCGTCGAAAGAAATCTGTATCGGCGGGTCAGACGTCGGAGTCCGCTAGCCCTGATGGCAAAACCGGTCAGTCTCGGCAAGGGAAGAAGAAACAGTCAATGCCCGAGAAGTAGCTCAGCAGTTAAGGTTATCGCAAGCCCACTCAGGTATGTTTTCCTGTTTATTTTTTTGTTTCTGCTGTAAATCAAGAGGTCGAGTAACTAACACAATTCTAATTCTCCAGTGACGACATGAGTAGCGGCACGCGAGGAGCAAAACGCGTTTGCATTTATCGTCAGTGTGAGGGCAAACCTAACCAGTATGATTTTGCAAGAGACGCTGTATATAGCGTGCAATGACGTTGCGCGTTTGTATTCTATCTTATGATTCATTGTAAATAACAACTAATGACATACCATTTTGCATTCCTAGTAAATTTACATTTAATATACATCATACTCTCCACAGCCCGTTCGTAGGATCTGCACCAACAACCAACGCCAACTGCGCAACCGCTACAAGATAATCACTCAGTTTCTCGCTCTCAATGAGCAGTCTTCCCAAACTCATCTCGTCCGTACTCTCAGCCACTAGATTCACCAACTCAAATCCTCGGATCGCATAGGAAGTCTTCACCATGGCGGCGTCCGTGAATATCCGGTGAAGCTCGAATAGCATGTAAGGAACGTAAAGCACACGCAGTCGATGGATTGCATCCGCCTGCGTCTTATCGCCGTCTTCGATCGCACTCAGCTCGACATCTACCATCCAGTGTTCGATGATATCAATCAGCGGAGCCTGGACCTGGTTCAGGAGATTTCGTGCCTTATTTTTCCAGGCGTGCAAAAATTTCCCACTTTCCTTTTCTGAGCCGTCGTTACCGGACCAGCGCGGCCGCGCTCGGTCACCCTTGCTAGGAGCGACTGGTTTTTCAGCCATCAAACCGTCCCACTGCTTGATCATACGCACAGCCTCGACCAGAGCTTCATACTGCATAAATTCTGCTCGATACTTCGCAGCCTGCATAATCATCTCAGCATCAGCGCTTCCGTTATCTTCATCTGTCACCATCATAGTCATCGCATCCTCGCCAGATCTTGCTAGTTGCTCTACAGCAATATGGACTTGAGAGGCGCCCAGTTTGCTCTGGAAAACAACTGCCGCTCCAATTCTGCCTGCAAGTAGATATCGCACATACAGTGCGTTGGCCGAAGCAACGACATCACCCCACATTCCGGCATCGACCAGCCAAAGCAGCGATCCAGTTAGCTGCCCTTCGTCATCAGTCTCCGACTCTGAAAAGTCGAATTCGGCCGAGCTGACAACTGCTGGGAACCGATCTTCCAAGTCATCAAACACACGCTGCACGGTCCTTCGAAGTGTGGTAGCAACATCCAGCCCAAACTTGTCGGCTAGAGCAAACTGCTCACTTCTGGCGCGGGCATCGGCAGCAATGTCGGCCAGCAGGTACGAGTACGCTTCGACCGCTGCAGACGGAGGAAGTTGAGCCACATAGAGGGGAACCAGTCTGCCCTTCCCGCATACGACCAAATCCTCAATGTAGAACTGCAAAATTGAGACCGCGTCATCCTCCGAGACTTCAGAATCTAGGCCGATACCACGTAGGAAGAGAATCAGGTGGGCAAGAAATCTGAGCATATAACGCTCCCCGATGATCGTATTCTCATTCTCCGTATCACCGGCCAAGCTCTGCTCAATCTGCGAGCGAACGTTGGCAATCATGAGATGTAGAACATTGTTGATTATTGAGCCTTGCAAGTATCTGAACGGGGCTTCCGACTCCGATCGAACCTGTTCGTCTGAGCTTGTTGGGGAGGCCAGAATGCGCAAAATGTCACCCAAAGATGAGTTGTGCACACTTTGAGGGAATGGCCGAAGCTCCCCCATGGAGATGTTGAGTCGGTCAGTGGCCGAGAAAAAAGTCTCCAGTTGAGTCACCGCCAGATGTTGAGCATATGCTAGCAGTTGAGCCTCCCATCCTTGACTAACCGCTAAAACGCTATCCAGGTCTCCGCATAACAGACCGTAGATTGCTCTTTCGTATTTATCGACCTTTGGGCTCCGGCACACTTGCAGGCACATCCTCCGCCACAGCGCTTTACGCTTTGTACCGCGGGATGTGGCCTCTTCGGTATCAATAGTTACCCCATCAATTAAAGGATCGCGGTATTCCACCAAGCCATTGATAGCAGCAACAAGCGAAAAGTTTCCAGTAGCCTCGCAGACAGTTGTAGCAGCCTGATAGTCACCGCGCTGTAATAAACTGAAAATATAGCGGAATAGCTCGTGCTCATATGCGGAATCCTCGGACGCGATACCTGCGTTCTCGCGCAGAGGAGCATCCAAATCCAGCGATTTGATCTGTGCTATTTGTTGCGAGGAACCAGAAAACCCTCCGAACGCAACTTTTGCCTTTTTCGTATGGGCTCGAGTAAACTGCCACTTAATTCCCCGCAGTTCCGGCTTGCTGATGGCTCTATCTCTCGACGCAAAGGGTATTCCGTACTTTTGAAGCCAAGAAATCACAATCAAAGTCTCTCTGGCAGCGCCATTTTGACGATAGAAAGACTCTTCTGCCACTGTATTGGACGTAGTCTTGTAGAGATTCAAGGGTGGTTTTGGCGGGGCCGTACGGTACATGTAGAGATCGTTCACTAGCGCCCATGTGCTACTTTCAAGAGACCAGGCTGTGATATCTTCTGGGGGGGCGTCGATCGAAATGAGCTTATCGACTCTGTGGGTGAAAACGCGAATAAGTAGATGTTATCATGCACGTTCAAATCAGATGATGTACTAACCGAGAATTCGCAATTCGGCCATATCCACGAACTGTATCGAAAGGATCGTCGTTGGCGTTTTCAAAGACTTTAGCAAATTCGTCTAGTTCTGAGAAGTCGTCATTCACTGATGTTGAGATCGTCCGTTAGCTTTTCAATATTCAAATCAATCTATCAATCAAAACTCCTTTCAGACGCACATTTTTCCTGATGAACAACCAATTAGTAAATCGTGACTTCAAAATATCATCAACAAATAAGAAACATACCTTTTTGAACGTAGAGACATCCTATACAGACGCAATAAGATCAAATGTTAGCCGACTGTGTATAACGAATGCTAGATCAACATCTGTTAGTGTCCTTACATGTGTTTTACGGGCAGGCAGCGCCCTTCTCAGTCGCCGAGCACTACCCGGAGTAGGTGGAGGGGCCTTCAGAACCTCGACAGGCATGGTGCTGTCTGATCAGTGGGATGCGTAGCCAGATAAAGATCGACGGAAATAAAGAACGAAGCTAGACGAGTATGTTTTATCTCCTGGTTTGGCGATAATTTGCTTGCTTTGTTGTGGTCACAGCATCTGCGCGTTTATGCTGAAAGGGGTAAGGGCTCCACGGACCTGAGAAGGACGATGACTCTTGAGAAAGAAAGTTGGAAGAAAGTTGTGGCTTGCGGCTCCGATGTGGCTCGTGCAACGACGAAGCACCCGTTGGTGACGCCAGTGATCCGCCGTTCTAATAATAATATAAAAACCATAGTTAACAATGCAGCACCTCACTACCCGCCGCTTCGTTTCTCTCTGTTCAGGAACCAGATCTCGTCCATCAACATCTGCTAGCTTTCTACATCTTCCAACCCAATGTCGCTTGGTACTTTCCAGACTCCGGCCGTCGAAAATGAGCCTCTCAAGGCCTACCAGGCAGGATCTCCCGAACTCCAGTCGCTGGATGCTGCCTTGAAGTCCTTACATTCTCGTTTACCTCTACAGATCCCTCTTGTGATCGACGGGGTTTCTATTTTTCTTGAAGGCGATGCCACTGTCAAGACGCCTAATCCCGCAAACATCTCAGAGACCGTGGCCATCACCAGCCAGGCTTCCGTGGAGCATGTCGCGAAGGCAATCGTGGCATCGCAGAAAGCAAAGCGACGCTGGGAGTCGTCGTCACTGGATGTCCGATCCGCGGTGTTTCTCAAGGCCGCTGAGCTTATTTCAAACAAGTATCGCTATGAGTTGATGGCTGCTACAATGGTGGGGCAGGGAAAGAACATCTACCAGGCGGAAATCGATGCCGCTGCAGAGCTGGTTGATTTCCTCAGATTCAATGCACTCTATGCACATGAGTTGTATGCTCAGCAGCCGAAAAAGTCCTCCCCGGGTGTTTGGAATCGTGCAGAGTATCGCGCGCTGGAGGGATTTGTGTATGCTGTCACTCCCTTCAATTTTACCGCAATTGCGGGGAACCTCGTGGCGGCCCCTGCGTTGATGGGCAACACCGTGTTGTGGAAGCCTTCTCCCTCTGCAGTGCTGTCAAATTACCTTCTCTACAGCATCTTTGTCGAAGCAGGACTTCCGGATGGCGTTATTAACTTCATTCCCGGTGATCCTAAACTTGTGACCGATGAAGTGCTATCGTCGAGGTATGTACTTACTTCTAATCGGTTGCTTCTTATACAACAGGCGTATGGTAAGCTGACATCAATTTTCACAGAGCGTTTGGAGCACTTCATTTTACGGGCAGCACAGTCGTATTTCAGGACTTGTACCAGCGTATTGCACAAAACCTCTCCAAATATCGGTCCTTTCCTCGAATCGTGGGAGAAACCGGAGGCAAAAACTTTCACCTTATCCACAAATCTGCTGATATCCCTTCCGCTGCTAAAGCTACAGTACGCGGTGCCTTTGAGTATCAAGGACAAAAGTGCTCTGCAACTTCTCGTATTTACGTTCCGCAGTCCGTGTGGCCAGAATTCAAGCAAGTCTTGCTATCGGAGACCAAACAACTTACAATCGGATCTCCTAAAGACCTGACTCCGTTCATTGGTCCCGTTATTCACGAAGGATCGTTCAAGAAACTCGCCTCTATTCTTGAGAATCTACAGACTGATTCCTCTGCGGAGATCATAATTGGAGGCAAACCCGATAACTCCAAGGGGTATTACGTATATCCTACTGTGGTAGTCGCGAGCGACATAGACCACTATGTCTTCCGAGAAGAGTTTTTCGGTCCTATTCTTGCTGTATTCGTGTATGAAGACGACGAATTCGAGATTATCATGGAATCTATCGATCTTTCCTCTGATTACGCCTTGACTGGTTCCATTTTTGCCAAAGATCGCGAGGCGATTGAGCTTGCCAGCACAAAACTTCGCAACAGTGCCGGAAATTTCTACATCAACGACAAATCCACAGGTGCGGTAGTCGGTCAACAATGGTTTGGCGGCGCTCGTCGATCTGGAACAAATGATAAAAGCGGCAGCGGCAATATTTTGTCTCGCTTTGTGAGCATCCGAAATATCAAAGAGACGTTCTTTGCTACCACCGATGTTTTGTACCCCAGCAACATCAATTAAATACAATCTCAGCTGAGATCACCTGTACTTTTTCGTTGCTAGTTTCTGATTTTATATATTAAGCGTATTTGTTTAAGCCCTATTGTCCATATTTACAAATCTTCTATTAATATAACTTCTCGCTATATACAACCGGCTAAAATGAAAACTTTTAAGTGCGTCCATTCCTGCGGACTTCGATAAGATCTTCCTCGCGCACTTCTGTTTCCTCTGTCTTCTGGTTCATATTTGCAAATTTTTCTCGTCGTCGCACCTCTTCCATCTCCATATTCGAATGTCTTTCCTGCTCCTGTGCAGTCAACAAGTCTTGACCTGTCTCAACCTGTAAGATAAACGGTGCTTGTTTCTCAGCTTCTGATGGATCGATTAGGGCCCCGGTCTTTGCATCGACCTTCGGTACTGCGTATGGAAGAATATCGTAGAGCTCCAGTTTCTGCGCCTCAAAGTCCCACAAGCGGATTTTCTTGAATTCTTCAGGATACGCTTTCAATGCCCAGGCTTGGATAATCTCCTTCTCCTTTGGTGTAACATAGTTGTAGAGAAGTTCGATAATCTCAGTTACCGTAGTCTCCTTCTCGCTAGAAGAATAGAATGGCGATACACTATCGGACTCTGAACTCTGCCAAGAGTTTTCTTCCTGATTCTTCAAGGCCTCGAGTCTCTCTAAGATTCTCGGCATGAAGACTGCAGCGATATTGAGTGCTTTTCCTCGAGTACCGGACTGCAAATGTGCAACAACATAAAACTTGACAACCTCCAATGTGATCGGAACATTCGCAAAGTACTGGAAATCATCCCAAAGGTGATCAGCATATCCCGCACCCGCCAGAGACGCCATTCTCATCAACAAACGGAACGTCTCAGTATTCGGCTGTCGGTCAAGTCCTGAAGAGCTATCTCTGGAGGTGGCAGCGAAGCTCATCTGTTGCCATATATGGTAGGTATAGTACGCGTCCAGGTCTGTATTACTGGCCTCAAGAATCGCATTGAATAGCTCAGTGTCAGGCTCAATATTCAGATCGATCTTGTAGCACATAAGAACTTCTTTGATTCCAGATCTGTAGAATCGTCTTGAGAACCCACGAAGAATAACAGAGTACATGTCGCGTTGAGGTGGTGTATCTGTATGTAGTCGAACGTGCCTGAAAAGCTCCAATGCCGCTTCGGGATAATCGAGATCGCAGAATTTTTTGATCGAAGCCAAATAAGTATTGTAATCTGGAATGAAATGCATGTGCAGACACTCATAGAGCATCCATGCTGCATCAGATGAATTGCTTTCCAGCACAGCCTCGCGCAGGGCGCTATATAGTTCTGGAAAAGATGAGGGTGGAAATCTATACGACTCTCCCATCTCTTCGTTTAGAAAATCCTGAAGTGTTCCTATCTCGCCATGATAAATGAAAGCCTTCACAACGGCAAGCCGCGTAGTATAGTCGACACTGTTGACATAGACGCGTATAGCCATATATAGTTCGACGAGAATCGAGGCGTCAAATTCAGCCGAAGTGTGTGAGGCAAGCGACTCGAGAATCATGAATAAAGCTTTCATATCGTCCGTCTTCACATTCCATGTCAAGCCTTCCTTTGTTCCCAGTTTAAAAGCAGCGATAGCCGCTTTTACATCCCCTGCGTATAATCGATCTCGAATTCTGAGACTGACGGAGGTATTGTCGATCGGCGCTTCGTAAGATTTGAACAGTGAAAAAACATCGTCACAGAATTGTGAGGTCGCCATGCCATTCTGTACTGAGACCTGAGAAGCCCGTAGCACGCCATTTAAAGTAGCAGTAGTGACCCTGTATCCGTATTCGGCCATGGCGTCAAATACTTTGACAACCTCATCGACACTGAACTTTGAGTAAGCAATCCACTGCGCCCAAACGTCCCACGTCTCCGGATCCAAATTTTCTCGGATACCGTCAGATTCAAACAATGCCGCTATCACTTCTGCCGCTTTTTTGTCGTCCACAACAATGCAAGCCGTCAAATAGGAACGATAAAGCTCTTGATTTTGGAGCACGTCATACGTCGCAATCAGCACACCGTCATTTCGCGTAGAGAACATGACATCCTTGACATCCTTCATGAATGCCTCAGAACGTTCAGGCTCAAAACCTTTCACAATGTAACGAAACAGTAATTCGTAAGTGTCCAGGCTTGGAAGTAAAAGATAGGATTCGTTTCCCAAAGTCTTGTCGTAAATTGACCATACATTGCGCTGGCCACCTTCGACGGCGGCCTGCAATACTATATTGAAAGCGCCTATATCCAAAGCCTCGATATCACACAACCGAGAGACCAAAATTTCCTGGATTTTGGGATCGGTGATGTTATTGATAATGGACACGAGTGCGACCGCGATACCCTCGTCTATTGAGTCAAGTTTTTGAAGCAATTGATCAAAAGCGAGAAGCATTTCATTGTCAGCCTTGTTTCGAGATAGAAGCAGGACAAATAACATAAACTGCTCCTGAGCTTCAGCTTGATTGTTGATAGGAATTTCGCGCATCAGAGCTTCATAAACCTTGCGACCGAGGACGACATGATAATCTGAACGCTGGTCGAAGCGAACGATAAGGCGTAGTAGCCGCTTGAGCTCCTCTGTATCAAAATGTAATCTTTTTACATCTTTCGCGTCCACAAGATCTTTCAGGTCCGTCTCTTGAACCCGCCCAATCTGCGGGGTGTACAGAATTTTCCAAGCCTCTTCAATCAATCGGGTGTGAACAACTGGTAGTTCGTGCATCGCCAGCTTGGAGATCAGGTCGCTCACTGCATCTTTGATATCAAACTCAACCTCAGTAAGAGCCTCAATATCATCCGTACTTGCTAATTCACTTTTGACTTTCCGAATGAGACTGCTCAACCGCTGTAGTGCCTCCCATTCAGCATCAGGCTCGTAACCTTCCTTGGAGCCGTCTGCTGCCGAACGTCGAGTCTCCCAAGAAGAGTCGGTAGCCGGTTTTTTGTCCTGGAACAGTTTCGAGAACCAGGATTTGCGCAATTGCTTGGGATTATTTGCCGCTCTGTCTCCACTATCAAAAGGTGGAGGGTCTGTTGCGTAGGCACGCGTTGAAGACAATTGAGGATATATCAAGTTGTGTTGTGTTCGGACGATTGCAATCGAAGAAGTCAATAGAGCGCTTGGGGTGTAGACCCGTGACAACAATTGAGATCTTGATGCCACTTTTGTACCGACTCGGAGATGCATTGTGTGAACTATCAGGAGAAGTCAGAGGATATTCCACACGTTTGTAGAAGGGAAGTGCTAGTTCTTACGTTACCGTGAGCGCAAGATATGCTTCATAGCTCAGTAGCAATGCAATAGGACAAGAGAAGTATTCCCCGGTGTACCTTCTGATATACAGAATGCAAACAAGGAGAGGTAATTTCGGCAAGATTCTTCAAAAAAGTGAAGGATGGAGGGAGATTCTGGGGGTCTTGGGGATTTCTCATTCGCTGAAAGCAAAGAAAGTGAAGAGCAAAAACATTCACGTGACTTTAGATTTAGTCGGAGTTTGGCTGACTCAAGTCGAGCCTTGCTCTATCAGACTTTCTGCGGCTCACTCTCAGGGGCTTGGCTGTCGGCGCGCCACCACTTAAAAAAACCGGTGATCGCATCCTTTTTGCTTTTCCGCCCTTTCACACTTCCAAAACACTCGCAACGATGTCGAATATGATGCGGGTTCTTAGCGATGAAGGGGATGAGTTCCAGCATATCAGACCTGAAGAGCAAGCAAGCGATGACGACCTGCCGCAGTCTCCATCTTCGGCCGGCACTCCCTTTTTCTCGTACGCCGAAGATCGTGCCTTTACCGATCTCGATGCAAAATATTGGGCTCAAGCTCATCCTCCTGCGAGCTCTCCACCTGCGAGCATGAGCTTCCGGCGCTCATCAGCGACTCCCAGTCTGACACCCAGTCAGTCGGCCCTTTCGGACTCCTTCAGATCCCTGCATCTGGATAATCACTCACGCAATAGCACTACCGAAGGCAGTTTTCTGCTGGAGCGCAATGCTGAAAGATCACCGGTGCGGACTAAGACTCAGTCAGCGTCTTCTGTCGATGATCCTTACCTGAAGCCCGCTGGGCCATCTGGACTTGGATTGCCGGAGCAGAGAGATTCCGCCAACTCTTCCCGACCCCAAGGCGCCGCGGAGTATATCACCCATGGTGAGTGGTCTTACTGCTTTCTTTTCTTGCTATTGATGTGGTGTTTTAATGCTCAGTTGGGATCTAACGACACTCCGGTTGACTTCTATAGATGAGGATATGGATATCGAGTTGCAAATGATATGCAAATCAGTTCAGAAGTGCCTTGAAATTCGACACAAATACATTTCACGGTCTAATCAAGGTCCCAGAGACAATCCTCGTGATCAACCTGACTGGAAAATCTATCCGGCTCCTCCGGCGCCTTCCTGGACTGCGTCCAAGGAGCCCCGAACGAATAAAGAAGAAGACTCGGTCTCTCAAATGAGTCCATCGAGGCCTGAAGGCGCTGATGGTGTTGGATGGGATTTCAATTTTGAAGCTTGCCATATTCCTGAGATCAAGGACGATATCGAGTTCTCACTTGATAACACCGGTGTGTATCAAGTTTCTAAGAACATTGATGGACACCGATCCAATATCGTCCAGGTTCCGTCGATTCGCGAATACTATATGGATTTGGAAGAGATCAGTAATACCAGCTCGGATGGACCTTCGAAAAGTTTTGCCTTTCGACGGCTGCAGTATTTGGAGGCTAGTTGGAATCTTTATATTCTCACGAATGAGTATCAAGAGCTGGCTGATACCAAGCGGAATCCCCACCGAGATTTCTACAATGTCAGAAAGGTCGATACTCACGTTCACCACTCTGCATGCATGAATCAGAAACATTTACTCCGATTTATAAAGTCCAAGATGAAAAAATGTCCTGATGTATGAGTTAATTCCCACTTCTTTTTTTTTGTCACGGTCTATCTAAGAAATACTAACACTGCAATAATAGGAGGTTGTCATTTTCAGAGATGGTAAACTTCTTACACTTCAGCAAGTGTTTGAATCGCTCAATCTTACTGCTTATGATCTCTCGATCGATACACTCGACATGCACGCCCATCGAGATACTTTCCATAGATTTGACAAGTTCAACCTAAAATACAATCCAATTGGTGAATCTCGACTGCGCGAAATCTTTCTGAAGACTGATAATTATATCAAAGGCAAATATCTCGCTGAGCTAACGAGAGAGGTATTTTATGATCTTGAGCAAAGCAAATATCAGATGGCAGAATACCGCATTTCCATATATGGCAAGAGCCTCAATGAGTGGGACAGACTTGCTGAATGGGTCGTGGATTACAAGCTGTTCTCGTCTAATGTCCGTTGGCTCATCCAGTTTCCCCGTCTTTATGAGGTGTATAAGGCGACTGGTATTGTGAATAATTTTGAACAAATCATCAAAAATATATTCCAACCTCTGTTTGAAGTCTCAAAAGACCCTTCGAGTCACCCAAAGCTTCATGTCTTCCTGCAAAGAGTGATTGGATTTGACAGTGTCGATGATGAATCGAAACCGGAGCGAAGGCTTTACAGAAAATTCCCCTACCCCAGTGAATGGACCACAGCGCAGAATCCTCCCTACTCTTACTATTTGTATTACTTATATGCGAATATGACATCTCTCAATGCTTTGAGAAAAGGCAGAGGCTTCAACACGTTAGTACTTCGTCCGCATTCTGGAGAGGCTGGAGACACTGAACATCTGGTTTCAGCATTTCTTATTGCTCACTCGATTTCACATGGAATTTTGTTGCGTAAAGTTCCATTTCTTCAATACCTGTTTTACCTCGACAAGGTTGGAATAGCTATGTCGCCATTGAGTAACAATGCACTGTTCTTAGCCTATGACAAGAACCCATTCTTCAGTTACTTCAAACGCGGCCTCAATATTTCTTTATCAACTGACGACCCTCTTCAATTTGCTTACACGAAAGAGGCTTTGATTGAAGAGTATTCAGTAGCTGCTCAAATCTATCGTCTGTCCTCTGTTGACATGTGTGAGCTTGCAAAGAATTCCGTGCTGCAAAGCGGATTTGAAGCTGCGGTCAAAGAGCATTGGCTTGGCCAGGGTTTTGATTTACCAGGTAGTTTGGGAACTCATGTTGAGAAGAGCAATGTGCCTGCTGTACGGGTGGACTACCGTCAAATGGCGCATGATCAGGAGCTTTCCCTGTAAGTATATTTCTCTATATTCTTGAAAATTCTCTTGTTGCTTACTTCATTATTCAGTGTCTATAAATACTCAGAAGCTTCGAAAGACCAATCTCAGCCTTCTGTTGGCAGCAAGAGCATCTCTTCAGTTTCGACTGAACTCAGCAATAATAGCAGCTCTCCGGAACATACTTCTCATCTTGATCCAATTGGTAGACGTCCGTCTATGACAAGGTTGGTCTTCTATAGTTCGACTCATCTGCTAGGCTATCAATTTATTAACAAACTTATATAGCAATTTTCAAATTCCTGAGACTCATGGATTTCCTGGCCTAAAGCATCAAGCTGTCAGTCGCCGAGCAACTTCTACAGCACTCACAGAGCCGTCACCTCACTAATATTAGTTAGAATTCCTGTTGATGATTGTCAATTACTGACGGTTCATAGGATATGTAGTTTATCTTTGCTTGATTTGTGATTATGTCTTAGAATAACTCAGTTATGTACTTCCATACTATGATTATCATCTATGCTTCATCAGTATGAATATGAACTCTTGGTTATCAGTGTATCAGTTATATTATATAGATAGTTTGCTAGTTAATTCATTTTCAATTAATGATGATGATAATTATTTTCATTATAGTTTATATGCAACAACTAGGTTATGACAGACTTTCTCCAACTTCACCACCATTTTTCTATCTCCATATTCAGATCCAGCTTTCAACTTTCGTCTCCTTGGTTAAGATCCACAAGTATGCCTGCATGAAGTGGTGGACAAGCTATCCGGTAGGTGCTTCTATTAAACCATTTTCACAAAGGGAAGGTGCTGTTGTAAAGTCCATAGTATAATCCATAAAATTCAGGGGACTTTGTTTCTTTCACCGCTTTGTTGTAAACTTGGTGCTACCACAGTCGGGGGTTCAATTTAAAATTGGCGACCAAGACAGTTTTTTGTTGTGGCATCAGGGCGAGAATTATAGGTGCTCATATAGACCAAAATTATCCAGGAAAAGCTCCCAAGTGAGCCTAAAACCGTGGATCTGAAGGTAGCAATGCAGCGGCCATACTGCCTAGCCATATGACCGCTCCTCTCGCTCGAACCATGGATCTAAAGGGAGCAAAGAAGCGGCCATACTGCCTAGTCATATCACTACACCCTTCTTTCCAGCCAGGCACTATCAACTGTGATCTATTTATGACATAGGCTACCAGAGTGAGGAGAAAAAACAGTTTAAGGAAATCAAAGGAAGCCATCATTATTTCTATGGCCGTACATATACTCTGCAACTACTAGTTATATGCAATGGCAAGATGCAATAGCTGCATATGTAGCTGTCTCAGACATGGGACCAGGCTGGAGAAGATGAACGCCTCGAGAGTCGATTAGACTACTGGCTATGGACTAATTAGCTTTTTCTTTGTTTCTTTGATGCCAAACGACGACTGAGATGCTCAATGTCAGGGAATATCCACCCTGGCGTGTTCCGCACATCTCTAGCAAGCTTAAGACACTGCCGGAGAAGGAGATCTCGGAAATCATCGGCAAGTGCTACATCTACATTCGCTCATTTCGCAGCGCTGAGAACAATGCTGTTGGCTGGGCATTATTGTCGAATATGGAGGGCTATCCAAGAATGATGAGTCTGGCTTTTTGGACTCTCAATGTGATCTGATATTTACTAGGGGGCGATGACCGCCTTAGCGAAGGCCACAACTTCGATATTAAAACATAGACTGTCAAACAAAGCCAACCACTTCTTCACGCATAGCCAAGTTGTTGCTACGGACTTTAGACAAAGATTTATCATTACCATCATCATCATCATCATCATCATCGTCATCATCATCTCTTCTTCACAGATGCTCCTGCTGTCTTGAAGCGCCTGGAGAAGTTTCGGCGCACCACAAATAAACGCTAAGCTACTGTCATCTATCAAGCTATCGATCGACTGTCTGAAACCAACACAAAAGTTTCTATTGACTGGCTTCGCTCTGCTACCAAAGCTGAAGGCAGCATTCGCGCCCTGGCCTCAGCGACTCAAGCAGCTTCGTAGCCATACCGCGCCAATCATGACTGTTCCTTGCGCTTTCTTGATAAGCTGGTCGATAACCTCGCTTTAAAGGAATGATGCCAGTTTTCAAGCCACGCCTCCATCGGAATACTATTAATATGAAGGCAAGCCTCGACTCTCTATAGACAAGCCCCTTGTAAATATCCCTCGCAGCATTGCCAGCTGTATTGTGAGCTTGCAGACTGTAGACGGCTTCTTCAGCAGCTACTTTGCAAGACATGGCAGAGAGCCTCGTCCCTCTTCAGAGTGTTGGTGTGGAATCCCACTGTAGTCAGTCCAGCATGTGCTTCCTGTTTGTTGCAATTACAGCGATGAAAGAACTAGCGCCTTTTCAGGTATCCCTATGGCCAAACGCACGCTCAACCGCATTTTATGGACAGACGAAGGCCCTTCTAAGTATCTTCAGAAGACCTACATCGGCACTGGTCACTGGTATCATCAGCAAACCTGTCTCACACAGAGCCAGAGGGATGAGTTACGGATCAACTTTTTTGTGGATTTGAGAGCGGACCTTACAACTTTTGAGATGGATGAGCAGTGAGGTTTCTTGAAGAAGTTGATAGCTTGGATGGTTATTACTGAGATTTTTGATTTTTGTTATTATTTATTTGAAATGTGTTCTCTTTTGACTTGGAGATTTTTTTTTTATAGATTTATTTGTTATTGTGACACGATCTTAAAATCTAATTCGTTTTATTGTAAAGTGGAGAAGGGGGAGATAGTCTGACAATCCTAATTGTTGCAACGGACTGAAAACAGAGATTTATCATCATCATCATCAGCTGTCTCAAAACAATAGGGTTTATAGGGTTTCTATAGCGTCTGATGTAAACCCTAAAAGTACTCTGCCTACCTGACCAGGCTATTCATCCTTATCTTGATGATGATGATGACGATGATAATAATAATGGACTCGTTTATTGCAGTCTACAGGCAAGAACTAGGTTATGACAAACTTCTTTCTCCAACTAATCCCACCGATTTTTTATCTCTATTTTCTAATCCAGCTGCAATTTTCCATCTCCTCGATAAGATATCCAAGTATGCCTGCCTGAAGTGGAGAACGGGCTATCTAGTAGGAGCTCCAGTTCAACCATTTCCGCAAAGGGAAGGTGCTGTTGTGAAGTCCATATTTTAATCTATCAAATCCGGAAATTATCATTTCTTTCACCGCTTTGTTGTATACTTGGTGCTGTTGTAGTAGAGAGTTCCACATAAATTTTGCAACCAATACCATTTTTGTCGAAAATTATCAAGGTGATGATGATAAATCTCTGTTTTAAGTCCGTTGCAACAACTAGGTTATGACAGACTATCTCGCCCTCCTCAACTATATAATAAAACAAAGTAGATCCTAAGATCGTGTCACAATAACAAATAATCAATAACAAATACATCTCCAAGTCAAAATAACACAAAGAAATTTGCAAAATTCACTATAACATATTTCAAATAAGAGATAAAAATCCAAAAAGAAGTCAATAATAACTATCCAAGCTATCATCCTCCTTAAAAGGCCTCAGTGTTGCCCATCCCACTCCAGGTCACCAAGTCCTACTCTCAAATCCACCAAACGATTGATCCACAACTCATCCCTCTGGCTCTGTGTGAGAGCGATTTTCTGATGATACCAGTGACCAGTGCCGATGTGGGTCTTCTGAAGATATTTGACAAGTGCAGAAAGACCTTTGTCTAAAAATTATCAAGGTGAAAACTGGGGGTATCGAAGGTTAGGCCAAAATCTAGGAAAAGCTCTGAAGCAGGGCTCAAACCGTGGATCTGAAGGGGGCAACCAGCAGCTGATAACGCTAAGCCATCCCACTGCTGTAAGATGATGATGCTGATGATGATGAAAAATCTATCTATGTTTTAAGTCTGTTGCAACAACTCGATTATGACAGACTATCTCCCCCTTCTTGCTGCAAATGGTCTTTGCCAGTGGAAATTCCAGACAAAGTGAAGTCGTCAGAGGTGTCAGCTGTTGACGATAGTTCTTAAGAGTGCTTTGGTAGATAGTGTGTAAGATTGCCGGTTAATTATTCACACAAAAACAAGGGAGGGAACTGGTTAATATATAGACAAAATCAGATCATAGAGGGCGCAGCCATTCTCCCAACCACCTCTCAGACAGCGGCCTTCTCATCATTCACCTTCCAGCCATCTGCCAGCTTTCAGCCAAGCCATCTTACAGCAATCTTACAGCCATCTACCGAGCTGTCTTTTGGCCATCTTCCAGCCTCCATCCAGCCATCTTTGGTGACTTTTGTTTCCTTAGGGTTTCAGTTCTGTTTTAGGAAATCCTGGATGTTTACTGCATTGGGACACTTTTTTTCAACACTCTTGTTTGCTGCATTACTCAGTTCATTCCCATCATTAATCTCAACTTCTGAAATTGCTCTTTTGGAATTCCTTTAGTCAATAGATCTGCAACCGATGATGATGATGATGAATCTTTTTATTATAGTCTATTTGCAACAACCAGATTATGATGACAGACTGTCTCCAACTTCTTCTACCAATTTCTTTATCTCCATTTGTCTAATCCAACTTCAATTTTTCCATCTCCCTGATAGGATATCCAAGTATGCCTGCCTGAAGTGGAGGACAAGCTATCCAGTAGGTGCTTCAGTTCAACCATTGCCAGAAAGGGAAGGCGTTTAGTAAAGTCCATAGTATAATCCATAAAATCTGGGGGATCTCATTCCTTTCACCGCATTGTTGCATACTTGGTGCTACTGCAATGGGGGGCTCAATATAAATTTTGCAACCAAGACCATTTTTTTGCTGAAAATTATCAAGGTGAAAATCGGGGGTGTTCAATATTAGGCCAAAATCCAGGAAAAGCTCACAAGCGGGGATCGAAGCAATGCAGCGGCCATACCGCTGGGCCATATCACTGCTCCCACATAGATCTGCAACCATTTCCTTGGTTCCACACCCAACAACTTCGATAATGCTGTTGATGGTTAAAAATCTCTGTTTTCGCTTCTCTGGTGAAATGATAACTAACATCAATATGCTTTGTCCTTTCATGGAATTGTGGATTCCTTGCCAGCTTGATTGCTCCCTGATTGTCTTCTCCAATTCGAATTGCCTGCTGTAAATTCTGGCTCAAGAATTCATACAGTCTCTTTAGCCAAACAGCTTCCTGAGTTGCTAGCTTCAGTGCCATATATTCTGCCTCTGTGGTTGACAAGCCAACTGATTTCTGGCGCTTGGACTTCCAACTCACTGCTCCACCTCCAAGGACAAAGACATATCCTGAGGTTGATTTCCGCTCATCAATATCCGTTGCATAATTTGCATTTGAGTAGCCGGTAAGTAAGTTGCCATGGTGTTTGCTGAAGGTGATTCCCATATGTGCCGTTCCTTTGATATATCGCAAAATTCGCTTGACTGCTGTCCAGTGCTGCTTTCCGTTATTGGAGTTGAATCTGGAGACTTCTCCCACTGCATGTGCAATGTCCGGTCTCGTCCCGGCCTCCTAGGGAGGTTGATAGGTTGGAAAATTATTATTGAAC